TCTGTCGGCTCCTCGCGACTAGGTTTCTCTCCAGGTGACGACGAACAACTCCTCAGTTGATCCAGTTCCCATCTGCTCCGGCAATCGCCGTCGCACTCGCCGAAAAATATCCAAAAATCACTTGCGCATGGAACTCTAAACGCCATTTTAGAGTTGCCCTGTTAATTCATTCTCTTTGCGTCGGCTGGACGTCTTCCATGCTGTCCGGCCACGAGTCGGACAGACCGAAAAGCTTCGGAGTTTCGAAAGAGATATCAGTCACCTCAGGTTCAACTTTTGGCACATCACAATCAAGTGATGAACTCAGTTTGCGCGTTGTGCCTTTTCACAGTCCCCTTGTTCACCCTTACTGGTACTCCAGCCAATGATAGCTTGGCGGCGCAGGTCGGGATCACACTTGGTGTCGCCAGTCCACACACTCGGGTTGGCGGATGCGAAGGGGAGGGGGGGGGGGGGGGGGGTTGCCGTCTCCCAAGGTACGGATGCTGGGACGCACCACTCCCCCGGGGAATCGACACCCGCATTGTTTCCGTCTGCTACGCTGCATAGGGTTGGACGAACGCGGGATTGGGACTCGATGCCCGGAGAATTTGTGACCAGACGATTGGCGAGTAGCTGTCGGACGGCTTGGAACTGGTGACTGCTTCTTTAAAAGCATTGGTAAGTGTTTGGTAGCTCATTTACTTGTAGATTTCATCTCTCACGTCTTTATTCAGTAATCCAGCGACATCAAGAGATGTGTAGTGGGTACCACAGCTATCCCTATCAGTCGCCTGGACGGTCATGAACCAAGCTCAGTTAACTCGTCCGATGTACTCTTCATGAGCAAAGGAGCTGGAACCCGCCACATATGAGCGGTACATGGCTACATGCTTGGGACCGCCGCATTCCTGATTGGATATGGTTGGAAATTTTGCCCGAACTGTCATTCAGCCACAGGGTCTTTTTCTTTTTGCCAGGGACTAATCGGCTTTGTTCAACATGCATTGGCGACCTCTCAACTATCTTATCTCATCCATCTGGGTCCGCCATTACGAGCTCGATGTGGAGCCATCTCTCTGTCAGACACAGATCGACCTGGAGAATTCTCAGTCTGAAGTACGCCAAGGCGAAGGCCGCTCACAAGTCTGTTACCGATAAGCAGAGGAATGGTATACTTGGCTTTCCTTGTGGAAAGGTCTTCTTCGGTCCCGCAGATCATGTCACTTGGGAATCTGAAAGCAACAGTTGGACTTGAAAGACTACTGCGTTACGTCGTACCCGGGCTTGCCCTCCGGTGTAAGGGGTTCATCAAGACTATTTCGTTATCGCGAATGGCCGATTTCTCTATCCTTTGGCGAGAAGTTGGCGAATGCAGCTTTAGAACCGGACATCGCTAACCAACGCTCTGAGTAGAGCTTAGTCAAAGGAGTACGCCAGAGAAACCCCGAACCAATGGCCGTTTTCTGCGCTTCGTGGAGCAAATCGCGTCAAGGCTTGTCAGTCGTATCAGCTCAAGCAATTTCCATCCAGGCGGAGCCTGAACACAGTTGTCTCAGACCGGGATGCTTTCTAACTACCCGCTGCCGCTGACTGACAACCAAACCTGGCCCAAGTTAACTAACGTGGCCTAGTGAGCCTGGGTACCTGGCGCTTCCCGAGCATGTCGGCTAATGTGAAGCAGAGAGACAGTATCGTTGACGGAACTCGATGCATTCAACGGAGGCTCTTCCGGGTGGCCTGGACTAACGAGCAGCGCGAACTTGAGCTCCTCAGACCTATGTATGCAACATTACCATCGAGTAAGCAAAGAAAATACTGGCTATCTAGGCTGATGTCACGATGATTCACGGAGTAAGGCTTCAAATGCGGCCTACCATCTGGTTCCATTGGATTTCACACTTTTCCAATCTTGAGGTCTCTATGACAGCATATGAAGGGAACTTTTCATCAGGGGAGTCGAGGCCACAGGTAATCTTAGGCTATATGCCAAATACGTGCTCTAGCCTATCGCCAAGTCCACAGCCGTGGTTTGATATATACATATAATGCAGAGGATCACAGTACCTGCCCTCCAGTTTCGATAGACCATCCAAGGGCGCTGGTGGTCACATCGAAGCTTCTCCCTCTCAATACTAATGGTACTAGTGTATGCCAGCTGAAGCCAAGCAACAGTGTCTAGTGATCAGCGGCCGTAGCAGATTTGATACCTTCCCATTCATTCCAAGACCATTCAGGCTGATGTCCAATCATGCGGACAGAATATGTCATTCTTAACCGGTACCTGAAGCCCAGACGACAAAGGTGGATACCAAGATACACCGGCCTGTCGCTTTCAACAAAGCACAGACCACCTGCGCACAGTGACGGTGAGGTGCTGGGGACAATTTCCACCACGCTAAGCTGTTTGGGTAATTTGGAAATGATGTGCATATCGTCGCCTGCCCGTAGCGTGTAACGACGAGCACCTCTAGTCCTGTTTGGGAGTGCAATTCGTACGTGCACCCCCCGCACCAACTGAAGCAAAAAGAACCGAACGAAGGTGAACGCACTCACTTCAACACACTTGAAGGGGATAACAGAAAAAGTTGAGTTTCAGGGTCACCTGCATCAAGTTGCATCTTCCAGCCGATAAGTAGCTCTGATATTACAGTTGCCCGACATGGTACTTCCATCTTTGGAAGCCCGTACTAAGGAAGCTGAGATTGCGCCCATCTCCAATTTACAACCCATTCTTCGATGTCGTGGCGTTTTCTCGATACCAAGCATCGCGTCAAGTTGTTGCTTTTCCGTTCCCCAGCGATCGGGACATGGAAGGTGGACGCTACGTATTCAACCCTTCATCTCTCTCTCCTGCAGAAACCCCTCTGGCGTATGAGAGCATGATGCAGTCAATGTACAATTCAATACTGGTTTGTTTGTTAGTTTGGTTCTTCGGCCATGGGCTGAACAGGGAAAATCTGGAGCTCTCATTGGCCTCCAAAGACAGAAACTGGCCTCCGTTTGAAGCGTCATGGGACAATAGCTAGGGTGGAAAACGCCACAGAAGCCTTCTCATGCCTCTCTCCGTGGTCTTCCAAAGCCTTCAAAGACTAAAAAGATATAAGATAGTAGTCCCCTACGGCACCCGTTCGCTCAAAACCCGGATGCTTTTCTATTCTAGTAGTCTGAGAGTGGAAATGGGCGTTCCTTGTACCAAACTAACAAACAAACCAGGGTTAGATTGTATGTGACCTTCCAAGTTGCCCCAACCCAAGTTTCAACGCCAGATACCGCGCCTGGTAAGCAGCACATTGCATCGCATCGCAGATGCAGCAGACACCTGAAGGGGGCAAGCGAGCTGGCAGCAGATCAACAAGTCGATACCGAACCCGCTCACCCCGTCATCCCCTTACCATGCCAAACTGAGGGCGTCGGGCATGGGCATACATATCCTCCCTCCTGTCCTGGGATCCCGGGGTACCTTGACGTATACTGTGTAGTGTTGCCCTCGGAGGACCCTTGAATTAGAGAGGGAGAGGTTTCTTACACCTGTGAGGTCTCTAGGCAGTTTGCGCCTCGACCGAAGCTTCATCAAGCTACCTATACCTATATCACATCGCACACACAGCATCACTGTGTAGGGTCTATCAAGATGTTGCAGCCTCGCCGAGCAAGTCCCCGTCCCGTCGTCGATCCCAGTATCCCTGGCAAATCCATCCCATTTCTCAACCTCACTTGCCCTTTTCATTACAGACATAGACAGGCAACCATGCACTCACGGAGCGAATCTCGCAGCTCTTTTGCCATCCGTCAGTCACGGCGAGGCCAAAAAAAAAACCAAAAAAAAAAAAACCAGGATGATTTCAGAGCTCAGGTGGTCCAGCTACCTAGCTCTGGTGCCGTGTATAGAGGTATCCCGCCATGCTACCTATCGCCTCCATAACCGCATTTCCATCTCATCTTCTCAAGTGAGAGCGGGACTCTTGCGGGAACAGGCACTGACGGGGCTCTGAGAACCACGGCTCGCTCGCCCTCCTTGCAGTCGGCTACCGTAAACAAAGATGGCCTGTCCTTGTCGCCACAGCCCCTGTACTGCGTAGGGGCTCTCCACCGAGTCCACTACTCCTTCCGACGTCCCGCAGGCGTTTCTGTTCTTCGCGGTGCTCCGCGTTTGACATTTAGCTTCACAGCAAAAACTCGACATCCAGATTGTCAAGTCCAGACCACCACCCGCCACCAACCGGGGAGCAACACAGACTCGGAGTGGAAAAGAAGCGCTCGACATGCCATCCTACGATGCATTCGCCTTAGATTCGCACAGGGCATCGCGCTTGCTTCATCAATCAGGTCTCGGAGGCATCCATGCCCCCTCGGTCTCACACTGGCTATCCAGACACTGTCTTGAGACTGTCCAGACTACCTTCGGAGTGCCGCTTCGTGATTGGCGCTCTCGAACTCCCCCGCGATGACGGCGACGAGACCCGTCTTCAGATCTCCCACCCATACCCGACTTCAATCTCATCATGTACATCGCTTCGGCCTTTGCAATTGCCCATCCTTTCGCACAAATAGTATCCCACAGAAAGTACTCACTGTGGATCTTTTCTTTTTTCCCCTCCTTCTCCGAGCGCACTTCAGCTGCAGGTAAAAGGGAGCGTACCTTGCTTGCGATGGAGACGGAGATGGGTACAGTCACAGTACACACTGACTGCCGCCGTTGCTCCGCCGTCGCCTACATCCGGTGCTCCTCGTTGTTTTAGTGCCCTGAACGGGACGTCTTTCCTCAACCCCTGTTTTGCTGTTCTTCCGGTACACAGTCCAGACAGGTTTTCTATTACCTATTCCACTCCCATGATGGCACATGCACATCATGCGGCTTGGGGACCTCCTACAGCGGCCGAGTGGGTATGCGGTTGAGAAATCTTCCCGAGGTTGATCAAGGATTGATGGTCCGCATCTTCTCCATACGGGGCTATATAACGTCTTAGCTCCCGCTTCTGAAAGCTTAATTTCCGTCCCGTCATTCCCTTCAGTTCTCCAAGTTGTTTCATCCTCTACCAAGACGACCTCCCCCTTCACAAGGCTCCGTCATATCATACCATCTGTTGTCGGTGTGAACTATATACGGAGGTTGATATTGATCAAACACCATTCTAGCCATTTCGTGTTGAAGATTAGTCAACTTGACGCCTATCACCAAGACGAGACGACAAAATACAGTCAAGCCGTTTGAGCTGTCATAACGCTCTCATTGGTGCATTCACACCTCATTCGCATTCGCCCTTCACCTAACCCACTGACAATCACCGTTGCCAACAATGGCTTTCCCTCAACCAGGCGGACCGGCTTTTCGTCACGCACAGGTACATGGTGTCTTCTCCTTCCCGCGACCGGCTTCCAACGCTCGTCCGAAAGTTAACACGCCTGCGCAGTCCTTTGCGGATGCCCAGTCCCAGTTCGACATTCTCGAGTGGCACCCATACTTCATGTCCTGCATGCGATACTTCCTGGACCACGCCCAATACCATGGCCCTGTGCAGGCTCTTGCTGGATTCATCAACATCCGACTACCTTTCCAGAAGCCCAACCCGGTGCTGTCTTCACAGACAGTCCGCCCACCACCAGAACTAGAGGCGTCTTGTGTCCGGGGAGCAGCGGGAAAGGCACCCGTCGGGGGTTATGGTCTTCAGTCGTATGCGAGTGTCAACTTGATCCCCTATATTCGGCGTCTGGTAGCTACGGGATATGATTTTCCCGGAGTTTTGCACGGCTTTTTCGGCGACGACTGGGAGGCTGGGATCGGGCCACTACACGAGAACGAGCGACGGAACTACCTCTTTGCGGCCAAGAGCTCCAACTGGCTCAAGGTCAAGGCGGCTTACGACATGAACGAGGAAGAGTCCATACCGTTTTTGAAACCTTTGCGCGATGCGACCGAAAGAGAGATTGTTCTAGCTGAGAGAAGCTGGAGTGAATGGTTGGCGATGCAGGACTGGATGTTGGGACCACGCGCACCAGATGTGCAGCAAGCCAACGGCAATGGAAACGGGAACAATGCCAATGGAGGACGGATGCAGGGTATCAAAAGGGAAGGTGACTAAGAGGGTTTATACCAGGAGGCTCTGTAACGTGAATTGGGAACGGATAGGGGAAAGTTAATGGGCTGGATATGAGTGCTCTCTGTTGAGTGTTGGCATTCCTTCGTACAACTTCCTTACGGGCCACGCCTGAGCATTTTGCTATGGGGTTAGGATGGCTCTGTATCATACAAACAAATATCGGGAATTCGAATGAGAAAACGAGGACATATTCCCAGCTGTTCCATCGGAATTATTATCAAGTTACTGCACCAGAGCGACTCCTCGGATCAATCCCATGCTTCCCCAACCTCGGACATTGAGGGAGCATGGGCAAGATACGAGACCTCGATTTGTCAATTGATACATATACCGTACGAACATCGGCCGGTAGTGGCGGTACGTCCACAAGAACTTTGATGCGTACTGTGAAGAGGGATGTACTGTAGTATAGGTACAGTCTAAGACCGGAGTGCCGGAGACGGAGACAGCTTCACAACAGCCCACGCAGCCCACTCATGGAACTGGCCCAAGCTTTGGAGTTCTTCTCCACTTTAATTGCTCTGTGGGTCCTCGGCTCGTGCCGACTTACGGTAATGTGGAAAGTTCGCCTTGTGTTTGCCCGGGTACGATACCTTACACTACAGAACACGTTCGCTTTACGGATAGGAAACATGAAAGATCGGAAGCTTTGTTTCGTTTTGTAAGTTCCACATCAGTTCGCGCTGTGTGCGACTCTGACGGGCTGCTTCACACTTCACCACCTTCCATCTATTGCTTTCAACCTTTTGCTCTGCCACTTGACAGTCGAACAGTATACTACGGAATATCGTCAATCAATCCAGCACATTTTCCAGATTGGAGCCAAGGCGCCCATGGGCGGATCACAACGGCGAACGCGCTACCTCTAGGTACATACAACGCACCGCTCAAGGCATTCACGGAATCCACAGCATCTGGAACCAAAGCCCCAAACGCCCCTGTCAGTCATCTGGAAACTGGTTGTCATCCAGTTGCGCGAAGTGGAAGGAGTGGAACCAACAGTTGCGTCGACCACATGCTCGAAAGCTGACAAGCGCATCATCGGACATTGGTCGCGACGCAACAACGTCAGCTACCAACACCACTGCCTGGAAAATGACCACAGCCCCGATATAGTACGCGCACGATCTTTGCTCCTCTACCACTCACTATCGCTACCGTCGACAATCCCGGTCTCGAATGCCCCGACCATGCCCGGAGGTCCAGCAACGGCAGGCTTGTCGGCGGCCGTGGGACAATGGACCAAGTTCCTGGCGCGCGCCGAAGCCAAACGACTAGACCCCAGCGACTTCGCGAGATTCGTGCCCATCCTTAACTCGGACTTCTATCCATTGCCTCCCATTGTTATCGCCAACCTTCTCCTCAAGCCGACGAAGCAGTCTTCCTATTCTCTTGACCCCCGCAGACTACAATATCTCACCATCCTCCTCAACCAGAAGCTCGTCAACCCCCAGTCCGTCCTGAAAGTTCTACACCATTACTCGACATCGCAGGCCAAGATTCAGAGTGAACATGATGCAAGTACTACAAACGAGGCCGCGACGGCCACTAAGGGGGGCCAGGGGCAACAAGGAGACAAAAAACCGAAGAGGGTGTTTTGGCAAAATTCATACAACGACGAGGAGGTAATCTTTCTGCGGCTCTCCAAGGTCATAACACATGGTCAAGGCATCAGGCATGCCTCTGACGCCTACGAGATGGCTACGAACCTGAGCAAGTGGACAACGCTCTTCATCGACGTCATCGCCGCCTTTTCACGAGATACGTTCGGCACTATTCAGAACATGCGAACTAAGCAGGACATGGAGACCTCTCTTCAGGCTTTCAGTTTGCTTTTGGTCAACTTTTTGGGGAATCAACGGGTGGTCTCTGCCTTTGGCCGGCCCGAGGCTAAAAGTAACGCTTCTCCCATGTTATGATTCCCTGTTCTGTGAACCGAACACTTGGCTAATGACTTTCTTCTCACCAGGCCATCGCAAACGATTGGCGAGCTCTATCGATCAGCTTATACCCTATCTCCTTCAGAATCCAAATACCTCTGGAATTGCGGAGAGGTTAGAGTTCAGCCGAGGACAGGCACTGGCCGGGGAAGAGTCTTCTGACCTGAAGGACGCTGCAGTAGCGGAGATGCATAGCTACATGGATAACATGATTGGGCTGGACACATGGCAAATCCCCGATATGCCCATAGTTAACTCTCGCGCCGGTCTGTACATTTACATCAATGCTGCGGTATGTTCGTCGGACGATTATCCTGATTTGGAGTGGATGGGGGACTTGGGATGCTGACGCCTTGGACAGCTCGTGGGACGACCTTTGATTGACGATCATTCTCTTTACACCTACCTCCATAACCGATACCAGGTTTGTTCTGTCGTTCAGCGTACAACGTCCTCCATATTTTTTTTGCTGACAAAAGGTCCAGGGTGACTTGCAAACAACAGCAATACACCTTATCCTAGCATCCTTCGATGTTTTGGCGAACGCCGTCTTCAGGGAAGGATCAAAAACGGGACACTTGCTCAAATCATACGTCGTCAACAAGGTTCCACTAATATTGGGTAACTTTGCTGCCTCCTCTACACATATGTATCCTTTTGACGCAGAGTTTTGCATATCCCAGGCGCTGGGTCAGGTTGACACTAATGTGTTTCCGACATTGTCCAACATGTTTGACATGTCGAACACTAGCAGCTCCTTTCAGGACTCCGTGCGACAAGACTTTTGCTTTGCCTGCCAGCTGCACGGGCTGTTATCTGCGTCGGCCATCGAGACCCTTTTGGGGGAGATTACTTATCAAACACTGCCGGACGAGGGTCGGTACGTGAAAGAAACGCTGGTCCAGGCATGTTTGGAAGATTTCGAGAGGAGTCAGAGGCTTGTCGGGGAATTGGATAACATGAACGGAAACGTGGGCGCTGCTGCGCAAGCTATTGTTGAGGTTAGTTGTCATTCAGTCAGACAAGAAAACCCTGTGCGTGACGGCTGCTGATATGATATAGGTGATTGGTACACTTTGCCGCAACAAGGAGACCATGACTCTCAAGCAATTGTGCAGCCAGCTGGCCAGCAAACCATCATCCTTGGATATTCTATTACTCTTCGATAAACCATACAAGATACTTCACCCTCTGTGCGAGCTCTTGGACGACTGGGGTGGCTATGACGAGGATCAGGGCGAATATCAGCCTGTATACGAGGAATTTGGGTCTATCCTGCTTCTACTGCTGGCCTTTGTGCACCGCTACAGTCTGACACCCACCGACTTGGCCATCCGATCTCCGCATTCGTTCGTGGGGAAGCTACTAGGAAGGGGCCAATTGAGTCGGCCGTTGGACGAGCTTAGCGACCAGGAAAAGTCGCATCTGAATGGTTGGGTACATGGGCTATTTGATTCCGAGGCTGGCGGTCTAGGAGACGATCTTATGTCGTCTTGTCCTCCGCAGGACTTCTATCTACTCATGCCGACGCTTTTTGATCAGATCGTCATGGCCTTGAGTACAGGCTGCTTGAACGATTACCTATTAAGAAGTGGTCTAGAATGTGAGTATGAACTTTCTTACCGCCATTGTCATGGCATTGCCGCTAACTGCCCCTTAGATCTCCTGGATACCCTATTATTGCCCTCACTAGTGCCAGCACTCTTGTTCCTTGCAAACAACCTACGAACTGATAAGCAACCCGGTCAAGGAGCGGTCATCAAGATTCTTCAACTCATTTTGCGTCCAAATTCAATATCCAATGAAGCATCTACCATGCTCTCATCGGTCCTGAACATTGTCGCCAAACCCCTGGAACTCTCACTCCGCTCCTATCAGCGTCAGGTTCCTGCGTCACAAGAGGTCGAACCCCTTTTGCGCGCTCTCAAAGAAAATCTGGCCGTGTCCAGCCGCACCGGTGGCGCCGACCACAGCGAGCTGGAAAATTGGACTGGCACACATCACAATGGTTCCGGGTCCGTCGGGGGTCTCTACGGCGCCATCCGCCACACCGTCCAAAATCTGGTCCAGTGGGCTCAGCACTCGCCCGGTAACGGCGTGCCGGCCACTTACACCCACCGCCAGGTTCTTGTCGCCCTCCAGATCTGCGGCGCAAGGCGTCTCCTCTCTGCCCTGCTTAAGGAGCTGAAAACGCAAACAGAAGCCGGCAACGGCTCCGTCGCCTACGACGTCGTCACAGCCATCATCTGTGCTCCCGACGTCCACAATACCCCCGTAACGGACGACAACGACCCCTCCTCTGCCCGAGAAGGAGGAAATGCTGCGAATCATACCATCACCAAAAAGCAGCGGAGAATCACCCTTCGCGAAGCTCTCAAATTCGAAGCGGAAGACTTTAAGAAAATTCAGAAATCAGACCCCCTAATGGCCGAAACGGTCGTGCGCCTGCATCGTCGCGTCGAGGCGCAGATGGCCCTACCTCCCCCACCTCCGCCGCCCGCGCAGCATCATCATCATCATCATCAGCAAACGATGCTGCAGCCGGAGTTGAGCGCGCTGGGGGTGGTGGCTGGCGATGCTATGGGCGATTCCATCATGAACGCTGCGGCGGTGCAGGTTTCGGGCAGTGATCATCATCATCCGATGGACGCGATGAGTTTGGATGCTACGGGCATGGGTGGGTTGGATGTGGGAGGTGCGGGTGGCATTGATATAAGTGGGATGGGGGATATGGGTATGGGGAACATGGGTATGGGGAACATGGGTGGGTTGACGGTCAATACGAATACTGGAGGCGGAATGGGAGGTGGTGTTGGGACGGGTGGTCAAGGTGGTGGTGTTGCGGGAGGAGGAGGTGCAGGTGCCTCGGCTGGGAATGGTGGAGGAGGAGGAGGAGCTGGCGGCGCTGGCGGTGGAGGCGGTGGCAGCGGTGGCGCGGGAGGAGACCTGAGTGGTGATGATATCTTTAGCGGCTTGGGGACAGGAGACTTCACGACGGATTTCGGGAACTGGGATACGATGGACTTGGGTTAGTATCCTTAGCATTAACGACAGATGGCCCCGGATGGGGACTGAGAACGGCAGAATGCGAATCGTTTGTAGACGCAGGTTCGTGACTTGAATATTCCAATTTGCATTCCTGCCTTTGGTTGAGAATAGCAAAGGGGTTAGAAACAGGCAGAATTTGAGCGAGCAGGAATTCGTGATGAAAGGAGTCAACCCGTCACGCCTGTGTGAAGGAGAGCATGTGTTGGCAATGTTTACACGATGCGTCAGGCCTTGCATCACATTACAATAGCAGATGTCAGGAGTATGACAACGAGATGAGAATGATCCACCTTGCGACCAATGCCGAGAACACATATTTACCTACATATACACGTTGTGTCGTTGCAATGACGTTGACATTCTGAGGCAGGAAAAGAAACTGACGACATCTGCGGTTTAGAAGCATCCGACTGTACCAAAAAGCAAAAAGAAATACCCAAAGACGTGGAAAAACAACAGATGTTTTAGGAAACCTCAACAACCGGACAAGATCAGTAATGAAAAAAAAAAAAAAGTGATTTGACAGAAAATTGCAAAAGAAATGATCGCGGCAGGGCTCGAACCTGCGATCCTCTGCGTTATTGTTTGTAAAGCAGATGCCTTAACCACTGGGCCACGCAACCATTGATGAAATTTTCATTATTGTAGCTAGCCTATCACTGCCATAGCATGGTGCAGTGGAGTTGGGAATGCCATCATCCAATGAGGGCGGGCAAGTTGCGACTAGCAAGCCCCTGAGGAAAGTAAACAAATGCATAACTGGAATATATAGCTCATTGCTAACACGAAATTGAAAGTCACTTGGAACAATGATGCAGTTTTAGCCGAGCGGTTAGAGTGGCATCCTTGGAATGACGCCGAAAGATGCATTTAGGAAGGAGAGACAGGGCTGGAAGAAACAATAACTGTCGCTCATAAGCTATACCTTGCATTTGAATAAGCACATACGACCATACCCACTGGAAAACTCGGGATCCCGTCCGCTCTCCCATAGATAAGCCAGTGAGGGCCAGACTAGTAGTTGGGTCGGTGACGACCAGCGAATCCCTGGTGTTGTATGTTTTTTGTATTTTTTTTCTGTATCATGGCCCGAGATATGAAGAAGGGGACTATACCCTTTATCTAAGGCACTGCGCAAGGCAAGGGCTTTCCAATCGCGCCAGAACCTTGGAAAAGTAGCACACTTGTATGTTCTACTTGATATGACCCTACAATGTTTTCCAAACACATGGTGGTAGTTGGTGCACCGGAAGTCAGGGACACATCACTGATCTTGGATACCCGGAATGAGACCCAATTAAGTCACACCTGGAGGGCCCAAACCACTTGATATTGACATGCAGTTTCAACCGAGCGGTTAGTGCGGCATCCTTGAAATAACGCCGAAAGGTGCGGAAGGTTGTTGGATGAAGAGAGGTCAAATTGACGGGTATTTGAATTCAAGTCTCTTCGACTGGATGTAATTCAATGTGCATGCTCTCGTGAACGCTATGTATAATTGCACCTACAGGTTTGCCTCAACACTTCTCAAATTACCTTCTTCCTCATCGATGGCCTCCATTTGGCATATGGATGTTCCTCCTCAACTGTCTCTGGCACAAGGTGATCAACCGCCCTCGTGTTAAGCAACCCCGGATGCACCTCATCCAGACTCGTAATCCCACACATCTTCATCGTCGTCTCCAACTCATCATTTAATATCTGCACATATCTCCTCACCCCTTCCTCCCCATATCCAAGTCCATACAAGATCCCCCTCCCAATCCCCACCCCACTGGCGCCCAAACACAAGGCCTTAAAGACATCCGTACCGCGCGTCACCCCTCCATCAATCAACACCTCCATCTTGTCAAAGACCTGCGGACAACATCTCTGCAACTCCAGCAACACCAAAATCGTCGCTGGCGCCGTATCCAAACTCCTCCCCCCATGATTCGACACCACGATCCCCTCTACGCCCGCCTCCATTGCCCTGACCGCATCCGTAGCCGTTTGCACCCCCTTCAACACAATCTTCACCTCCTCTGGTAAACACCTCCTCAACCAAGCAATATCTCCCCATGAGACACTAGCATCCAGAAACTTTCCTGTGATTCTCCCCAGCCCGCCTCCGGACTTGTCATTCTCCGCCTTCTCTCCCGTCATCGGCACTCCCGAAGATAGCCCTACCGCCTCCTCCGCCGAAATCCTCTCATCCGCCTCCCTCTTCCCCGGCACTGGCGCGTCAACAGTCAAGAACACGGCTTTCACCCCCGCCTCCACCGCCAGCTTTAGCAACTTTTCGGATTTGCTCCGGTCTTTGTCCACATAAAGCTGGAACCACAATGGTGGAATTGCTTTTTCTTCTTCTTCTGCCTCAGTGACAGTCTCACAGTCCTTGACAACCCTCGCGATTTCACCCACGGAAAAACTAGCGCTGGTACTAACTGTCATGCCCACCCCCAGCCTCTTACAAGCCTTTCCGATCGCCTTTTCGCCCTCTGGGTGAACGGTGGTTCCCAAGGAGGTGGCGGCTGCGAAGATGGGAGAGGAGACAGGGTGGCCGAGGATGCGAGTGGAAATGGAGACGCGAGAAACGTCGCGGAGGATGCGGGGTCGCAGGGTGATGAGGGAGTAAGTGTGCGAGTTGGAGCGGTGGGTGTGGCAGTCGGTGGCGGCCGAGGTGACGAACGCATGGGTTTTGGGGGGAAATATGAAGCGGCGGCGGAGAGGAAGTCGTGGGTTGAGAGGAGGGTGTGGAGGGGGGGGTGGGGGGAGGAGTGGTGAGGGTTTGTCCTAGAGGTGGTGGTTTTCACGGTTGTTGTTGGGGGGATTGTCATTTTGAATGGTGGTTAGTGTGTGTGACGGTTTGTGACGGTGATGATGGTGGTTGTGATAGTGATATTGCAGACAAGATGGGAGAGGAAGGGATGGGTGGCCAGCCAGTTTAAAAGACAATTGGGCATCGGGTCTTACAGCACATCGAGAAAGAGGTTGCTGATCAGCAATCGGTGCAGAACTGTGACATACACACACGAGAATACCTAGCTGTAAATGAACTCGGGGGAATTGGCCCCGAGCTCTGAAGATACCTTAAGCCGATTGAGACTTGGACCAGGCGGGGATCCACCATCAATCCCCCGCCCCGGAAGGCGGGACGGGAGTGGGGTTGTTCGGGCCGGCACTGGGGAAGTGGGTTATCTGTTTAGGGCCCTGCAGTGGCACTCTCTGCGTAACGAGTTAGGGATGATGCCATGCCACCTGAAGCCAATTGCGTGCTGTACGTATCAAGCACTGAATGCATTGAGCACAATATCAGTTAAAAGGTATTGTGGTCTTTTCAGGTTTCAACTCTTCTTTCGTAACGATGAAATGTAGTTAGGAGCCGAGTCGTGAAAGCGCTACTGGGATTCTTACCATACAGGCCATCATTGAAAAGGGTCCTCCCCCTCCCTTCAATACCCGTAGCGCTAAAATGTTAAGACGCCTAGTGGTAGGTACCCCTAATGCATCCAGCCTCTCGCTCTTCTCTGCATTTTGCAAACATCATATGCGATATCAAACGTTTTTACACTGTTTGAACACCCAATTCGACAAGTTATTCCTTCTTCTTTCATTCGACATGTAAATTTCACTTCTAAACACCCAAAGCCTTTTCGATCAGGATCTTAGCCCGTTCGCTCAAGTGCATCTGGAGGGCCAGCGCATGTCCAGACGGACTCATCTTGCCCCATGTCTTCCTCAAGATACCCACCATCTTCTCCTCGTCAATGTCCGGCCGCTTCTCAAAGTCCTCAAACTGCTCGTCCAGGAATACTAGGCAGGCTACGTCCTCAAGGACCTGAGTGTCGCTATCGGTCTTGAGATCCTCTTTCCTTACCAGGGCGGCCACCCGGTCGATCTCCTCCTGGCTCAGCGGAGGCTGGATGGAAGCGTCAGCGAGCAGCTCGGCCACCTGCTTTGCCGCTTGGGACTTGAGCTTGGCGCGCCAGGTGAGATATCCGGGCCGAGTCATGGGATAGCTGCTTCGCGGAATTTCCCATCTGTGTTTGGCATGTGTGAGAAGGAGGTTCATTTCAGCAAACAAGGAAAGTCGATGAACGCGAACCTTCGGAAATGCTGAGCCCGGCATGCAAGCTGCAAAACGGGCGACGCTCTAGGTTCTCTAACCGCCAGCCAGCGTGTCATATGCTGGGCATAATCGAGCTCAAACGGCACGGAACCGGACTTCCTCTCGACCGATCTCGGATCCTGGGCGTGTGCCTCGTCGATAAGCTTGAGAGCTTGATGGTAGTTGCCGGGAAGGGGGTTGATTTCATCCATGGTGAGTGAAGATCGTTTTCAGGAAAAGGTGTGTACACTATTGATGCTGACGGTTGAATCTCGACAGGCAACAGGTTCAAAATGAGTATGGACCGATCAGAAACAAAGAGACACGGAACATGAGTCGCAAAGGGCGAGTCCGTTCAGCTGAAGGGTTGATTGTCCGGGGTCTCCCTTTTCATATAAGTGGATATCTTTAGAGTGGACAGATGGGGGCCACACCAGATGAGTCAGCAGAGATAAGAGCATGGGAGACCCCCCGTCCGGATTCTGGAATGCGGCTACACCTTTCCCAACGTCATCCCACGGTTTGCGTGTGCGGCCCTTTCACAACGACAGCGCTTTACTTGTTCCGACAAACCATATTTCCATGAAATTTGTTGACCATGGACAGTCAGATGGTTGAAAAATGTCTTCTTGTCGTTCCTTTGGCTTCATCTTTCTCGCCTTGTATGTGGGGTCGGATATCTTGACCCGTGGTTTGTTGGGATGAAAGTCGTTCGCGCCTAGGACGGGACAACTCCTGTTTCCATGGCAACTTGCGAAATTGCAAGCTGGCGACCTTTGAGTATTCCCCCGCCATTCAGCTTATCCTTTACCTTTCAGCATTTGCCACCAAGCGGGCGTACATCAGGACTGCAGGCAGTTCAAAGCCGCGCTTCCCAAGCAAACTGGCACCAATTTCGCGACCTGGAAAGACCTTCTTCACCCACGCAGCATTTTAAGTCGTCTGGAATTTCTGATTTCCCTTCCCTCATTAGCCCTCCTCGAAACTGCAATCAAACTGTCAACCCAAAATCGTGCCAAATCACTTGGAATCAAAACACCACAAGTTTGGTACATCAACCTGTTGTTCTCGCGTTTAATCATCGCTGACAAGTACTCAGTTGTTTCTACCCTCGGAATCATCTTCTCTCACCTTGTGATCAAGTCTAGCGACACACACACAAGCTTTCCTTATATTCTCCAAGATGGCTCCATCTCGACGGAAGAAAGGCAAGGAGGTTGACCGGTCACCTACGAGCATCTTGAAGCATGGCGACTACACGGTCTCCCTCACCAGTTGGCTTGCTGGTGGCCCTGTAGTCCTGGGCAAGAAGCCTCGTCGGGTCATCGACCTCAAAGTTGAGCGCGATCGCAAGTCCGAAACATCGGACCAATCCCTGGTCCTGGCCAGGAAGGACCACGATGCAGCTGCCTCCGATATGGAGGTTGGGACTTCGGGATCCGAAGGAGCCCTAACGCTCACCTCGAGACAACGCCGAGAACCCAAAGGTTCTTCGCAACCAGCTGTAAGCTCAAAGCCGTTCCTCACGTACGAGGAAAAGAGAGTCGAGAAATTCACTATTCGGCCTCCGCCTGTGGTTTTCAACACGCCTGAAGACGTCCCTACTGGCTGGCTTGAAGCGATGTTGAACCAGAGGAAGAATGGTGAAAGCTCAAAGGCTGTTCCGAAGAAGGCCATCAGTTATGAGCATAACGATTCGGAGGATTACGAAGCTGGCTACGACTCTCCCCCTCACAACAAATCAAAATTACTGCCAAAGAAGTCATCGAGTGCCTCCAGGAAAGCATCAGAAATTCGCATCGAAACCAAGTCGTCATCAAAGAAGGGTACTCGAAAAGTCAAAGTCATAACTGCTGATGCAACAGATGAGTCAGATGAGTCGTTATCGGATGTCGAGTCACGTCGTCCTATGAAGACGAAGAAGCTTGAGAGCCGGAGCATGACCAAAGAGAGAATCAAGAAGAAGATGCACGTCGAGGTTTCTGACGAGGAGACAGCTGATAAAGTCACAACTGATATTGAGTCGTCAGACATTGAGTCAACAGATGTCGAGCCACGTTCCAAGCCGACATCGAAGAAGAAGCCGAGTACTCCGCCGAAGAAAGCAGGAAGTTCCAAAGTCAAGGTCGAGACACGGGGCAGAAAAGGCAAGCAGAAGGTCGTGGTGGAAGCTTCAAGCGAAGAGGAAGATTCCTCGGTTGAGTCGATCACGGAAGCTGAGCCGTCTCCCCCGAAGAAAAGCAAGAACAAGAACCGTGTTACCGTTACCGAGATCACACGAAAGGGCAAAAAGAAGACCATCACAGTTGAATCATCAGATGAAGCTGACATAGCACATGTCAAATCACGTTCATCACAGAAAGGGAAGAAGTCCGAAATCCGTGTCAAGACCAGCGACAAGACAAAGGCGAAGAAGGTTACATTCGAGCCCACCGATGAACTTGAGACTACTGACGACGCCACAACGGATGCGGAGCCTACGCCGGCGACAGCGCAGAAGGGCAAGGGCAAGTCCAAGACCAAGGCAAAGACGAAAATTGAAGTCGAATCACCCGACCCCGTAGAGACAACCGATGCCGTTACTACTGACGACGCAACTCAGACCGAAGCTGAAACCACCGATGCGGATACGGCTGTTGCCGAGAAGCCCAAGGGAACTCCAGCAGCAGGTAAAGCCGACAACGACTGGACGCCTTCGCAAGATGCAAGCATACTCAGCATGAAGGAAGGCGGCGAACCATGGGCTAACATTGGCAGCGCCATTGGCCGAAACAAGAATGAGGTCAAGAAACGGCACCAGGAACTTGTTCGTTCAGGCGCTGCTCAAGTCAATAAGGGCAATCAGAGCAAGGCACATAAGGCACAAAACAAGAAGAACAAGAACAACGAAGCGGGTCCCAGCCATGCCTCTGTTGCGGACGAGACTATGGGATCTGGCGAGCTTCCTGGATTCGGCTTTGATGCAGATCAAGACAACAGCAACAACAACGACAACAACAACAATGGTGATGGCTGGAGTGGTGGTGGTGATCAGAAAAACAACAACACCGATAACAACGGCGGTGGTGGCGAAGGTGCATGGGGAGGTGGAAACCAGACCGACAACAATGGCGGTGGAGATGTTGGCCCTGGATTTGATACCCCTGCTTGGAGTGCAGACTGTACCGGAGGCGGAGATCAAGATACCAATAACAATAACAACAGCAACAACGACAACAATAACAACGGCTTTGGTGATGCGGGTTGGGGCGGCGGAGACCAGGAGAACAACGGAGGTGGTAATGTCGGTCCGGGACCTGGTGATGGTTGGGCCGCAGACCGTACAGGAGGCGACAAGCCGCCAAGCAACTCAGGTTCCAAGAATGGTTTAAACCAAGGTAAACCGCCTAGCAACAAACCGCCCAGCAACAACGGCGGCTGCGGTCCAGGCTCGAACAATGGTAACAGGCCGCCCAGCAACAAGCCGCCCAGCAACAAGCCGCCCAGCAACAAGCCGCCCAGCAACAGTGGTGGTGGCGGGAACAATGGAGGCTCTAACCAGGGCAACAAGCCTCCTAGCAACAATGGTCAGGGAGGAAGCTCAAACCAGGGAAATAAACCGCCTAGCAATAGTGGCAACAATGGTTGGAGCGGAGGTTCAAACCAGGGGAATAAGCCTCCTAGTAACAGCGGCAACAATGGGTGGAGCGGAGGTTCAAACCAAGGGAACAACAAGCCGCCTAGCAACAATGGTGATTGGGGTTCAGGTTCAAATCAGGGGAACAACAACAACAACAACAACACCAAGCCTCCCAGCAACAGCGGCGGTTGGAATACCGGCGGTTCAAATTACGGCGGCAGCAACAACAAGCCTCCGAGCAACAGTGGTAGAGGCGGAGGCTCTAACCAAGGCAACAAGCCGCCCAGCAACAACGGCGACTGGGGTAACACAGGTCCAACTCAAAACAACAATGGGGGTGGGGGCTCAGGCTCGAATCAGGGTAATAAGCCTCCCAGTAACAGCAGCGGTTGGGAAAACGGGGGCTCGAACCAAGGCAACAGGCCGCCCAGCAACAACGGTGATTGGGGTTCAGGTTCAAATCAGGTGAACAACGACAACGTCAAGCCTCCCTCCAATGCAGGCTCTGCCAGAGGTTCAAATTACGGCAAGCCACCCAGCAACAATGGAGGTTGGGGTTCAGGTTCCAACAGTGGCAACAAACCACCCAGCAACAACGGCAATTGGGGCGGAGGTTCTAACCAGGGCAGCAAGCCTCCCAGCGACAGCGGAGGTTGGAATAAAGGAGGTTCTAATCAGGGAGGCAGGCCGCCTAGCAACACTGACTGGGGCGGAGGTTCGAATCACGGCAAGCCTCCCAGCAATGGCGGAGGATGGGATTCAGGTTCGAACAATGGCAACAAGCCGCCTAGCAACAATGACTCAAACCGTGGGAGCGGCTCTCAACAGGGCGAGGAGAAGGCCAAGTCTGTGGAAAAAGAGCTGAGTATGAAGGATCAAGAGATCAAAGATCTTAAAGAACGAGTCAGTGCGGAGAAGATGCAGCGCTTAGAGGCGGAAAATTTTGCTTTGAGAATACAGAATAGGGCTAATAGGTTGAACCAGAACAAGCAACCCGAGGACGGTATGGGTTGGAACACAGGTGGTAGCGACAACAACTGGAGGCCGCCTTCAGCTGCGGGTTCGACAAGAAGCAACAAACCACCCGACAACAACACAGGTTGGAAATCCGGTCCAGGCTCCGACCAGGGATGGAGTGTTGCTCCGAACCCAGGCTACAAACTGCCTAGCAACTCGGGCTGGGTTCCCAAGAATTTTGTTCCGCCTCAGGGCAGCAAGCCCCCTAGCAACACTGCGCCCCCCGGCAGTCCCGATGGTTGGATTTACGGTTCACCCACAGAAAGCGAACGTGGCCGCATGGCCAAGCGAGTGGAGGCTTGGAAGGGATCGATCAGTTCACCCAAAGAAGAAGGACATTGGGGTACGCCCGACGGCGGCTGGCATGCCACTCCGGCCACAGATTCCCGCCCACGTGAGATTGCGCCTGACAACACCAGGGGTCGAGGCCCTGCCGTCAGATCTACTTCTGCCAAAGATTGGAAGCAAGGATTAACTCGTGTCGATGAAGAGCCAGACACCGGTTGCGAGATGTGGAAGAAACCTCCCAGCAACAACGGAAAGCCGGGCAGCAATGCGGGCCGTAACTCACCTGGTAACTTCAACAACAAGCCATCCGGAGAGCAATATGGTTGGAACTCTGGTCCTGATGCTGTGGCTGGAACTGGAACTGGTTGGGGTGGAGGCTCGGATCAAGTCTCAACCCCAAGCTTCAGACACCCGGCGAAGGATGAGTGGACTGGAGGCACAAAAGGGAATGATAAGCCGCCTAGTAACAAACCTCCCAGTAACAAGCCGCCCAGCAATAACGGAGATTGGACTCCTGGACTCGGAGCTGCCACTGGCTGGAAGGCAGATTGTACCAAGCCGCCGAGCGACAGTGGCTGGGGCGGAGGTTCAAACCAAGGCAAGGACAACAACAAGCCTCCCAGCAACGCAGGCTCCGCGAGAGGTTCGAACTATGGCAAACCTCCCAGCAACAACGAAGGCTGGAATTACGCCCCGATCGGAGGAACTTCGAAGAACAACAACAGCAACAACAACAAGGCAACCGGCGGTAATGACAGCCTCACTGCCTTTCTTCAGAACCCTCCCCCGTGGGGCGCGGACTGTACCGGTCCCTGGGATAGCAACAAACCGGCCAACAACAAAGCCGACAAGGGAGACGTTCAGAACGCCCTTAACATTCACACGGTCAGAGACCTACCCGGCTACAATAGAGATGTAGCACCCATGGGCCTCTCGGGCTTTCCTCCCGTCGTTGAACATTATGCGCCAGTTCCAGTTCCTCCTGTCACCCCAGGCCCTTCAGGTCGCTACCCTTCAACCCCTTACTCAGCCACCCCTCACCCACCTGGCTGGCTCCCCAAGAGTGAAGCACAAACTACCCTTCTCCCACTTTACAACAACCCACCGCCTCAGGCCCCACAGCCTTCCCACGACGCGCCCTGGAACTCCACCAGCTGGGACACCAAACCTGCCGTCACCACGAAGCCGCCCGGCGGCCCGTCATCATACCAACCCGGCCAACGTAGCGCGCAGTGCAAAACCCTCTCCGAGGAAGACCTCCGATCCCTGTACAAACAAGTCGTCTTCAGCGCCATGTCCTCTCGCCAGCCCCTTCTCCAACCCAAGCCCGACCGCGATTTTACCTTGAGAGACTGCTGGGTGTTGATCGCTTTGAGCGAGCAGTATGATCATTCTTCGGCCTCGAAGGAGAAGTGGTTCGAGCTGCAAGCTAAATTTGCGAGTGCCACGGGTCGGATGGTTGATGTGAAGCTGTTGAGACAGAAGGTGAAGCAGGGGGAGAAGGAGGCGAAGGTGGTGGAGGGGTGGGAGGATGATGAGGTTGGATGGCGGTATAAGAAGAAGTGGGAGATGGAGACTGCTTGGTGAGAAAAGAGGTGAGAAAGGAGGAGAGAATAGAGGAGAGGAAGAGGTGGAGAGGTGCTTGGTGAGGGAGTATGAGTAAGATGGGAGAGGAGGAAATTTCAGGTTTTTGTAGAGTAATTTGTAAGTTGGAACATGGTTGGAAGAATCCACGAGGGACCTCATGTAGAGGTACTTATAGCGCAGAGGTAGTCGTTAGATGACCAAGTCTTGCGAGAGGAAGCTGCATCCGAAATAAAGAAGTCTGATTTCTAAGCAGAGATGGATTATATCAGCCTAGAGGTACACAGCAGCATGGCCTGCACCGTAGATGTATATGCTGACGTCCGTATAAAAGGAGGCAACCGGGGACTCGAGGGTTTCGGACTGTGGGCACTCGGAGAGCTTCATGTGGAAAACACCTTGGCAACCAGGGGACACAGTCATGAAGTGTGGTAGTCGAGCCTCGGCTTCTTGAGCTCAGATCAAGGAGCGGCCCTCAAAATCTCTATAATCATCAAGTTTTCTCTTGCATTATGAACGGCTGTCCGGTTTTGGGCGCATCTGTATGCCGCCCCAGCGTATCACACTTCAAAACTGGTACCTACATCAAAGTGAACCGTGCTTGGAAGTAAGGCATGAATTTTATGAGCTTCTTCGGTATTAACCTCTTATTCAGATACACGCCAGGTTGGGGTACATAACATACAAGCAGAAGGTGAAATGAACACAGAGAAGGGTGGACTTCGAGCCTTCTCCTTCTCAACGAAGATGAATTACGTCAACATTGGCAACTTTACCAACTACCTATCCCATTCAAAATGCCGTTTTCCCGGTACCACACGAATACGGTTCAGTGAGTGAATAATTGCCCGTGGCTCCATGGAGACGCTGAAATAACTAGCTATACCGTATAGACTCTGTATATTCTGAGTGACCTGAATACCAGAGCCGGCCTAGTAATCGGGTGTCGTAATATTCCGTAAAGTCTTCCGGTTATCGATTACTTTCCCTCTTTGACTGCTCTTTGACTGCCGGGGAAAGGGCGGATCTGTGCAGGAAGCTGACAGGACACCGGCGGATGCTGGCTTACGGGGCGCCGCGTTATGTCCTGCCAAGCGCTTTAAGAGGAGATTGACGCTGGTGAGTCTCTCGAGTGTCTACGGCAGGCAATATCGTCGCATTTTCACTACCTACCTCTATACGTGCAAGGAGAGGTGCGGACTGTTGAAATAGAGTTTTGCGGATGTCCTAGATGTCACCTGATCCTGTGCTTTTAACGCTACCTCTAAGTATATATGCGTTCTCTTCCTTTACCCATCCTCTCTTCACTTCCTTCCGCTTTCTTTTTTTCCGACGGTTCAACCAGCACAATCATGACCATCGGCGCCAGGCAGCCACAAACAACAACAGATGCTCATACAAGTGGGATATCATCCCATTTACAGGGCTCATTTGCTACTGGCCCGCGGGGTCGGAGGCATTGAGTTTCTGCCCCCGAACCTCCAGAGGATGAATAAAGTAGCCAATATTTTCAGCCTCTATTCTCGAGACCCGAGCGAAGTACCCGGTATCCCTTTCGACCTCTCTCCCCAAGATGCTCTTCGACCCGAGACCGTGTTCCGAATCTGCACAGCCGCCAAACGAGACTTCGATCCTTTCATCACCTCCGATCTGGGCGAGTTCTTGGCCCGAATCAGACACGTGTTGAGTTTGGTCCTCGGACATCCTGACTGCAACGACGAAGACAGGAAGAAGGTCGACGACGCGTGGCAGTGCGTTTGTCACGATGTAAGAGAGGCTATCTCGTTTATTCGGCAGAACAGGGAGCTCCTGTGCGCAGCTTGGGAAGCCGGCCGGCCTTATCTGGGTCCCGACACAAAGGCTGGTCGGGCGAGGATCACGAAGGCGCAGGTTTCGATGGAACTTAAGCTTGCAGATCATAGTTCTCTCGTGCCCGATAACCCTTCAAGAGAGAGTATCAATGAGGCCTGCTTCTCTTCCCCTGCTACTACTGCTCCTACCCCTGAAGATCATCGCTTACGCCAACATGAACTTGTCATACCAAATCCGACGCCTTCGAGATCGTTTCCGTCGGGAGACAAGGAGGAGTGCGTGAAAGCTACGCGGACAGCTTTGGGAGCTTTGTCGCTCTCTGAACAAAACAGACGCAGAAACAAGGCCACAAGTCCCGAGAGAGCACGCCGAGACCAGCACGAGGACGAGGGCTACAACCGTATGTCAGACATGGGTCATGTATCATCCGAGGACGATGAGAATGATGATGAGGACCTCGATATCCAGAACGACATGGGGTGCTTTCGGCTCCCCGACCGAGACGGACGAAGCAGTGCCCCAACTTCCGAGAGCCGACACCAAAATCAGCACGAGGACAAGGGCCGCATCCGTATGTCGGACCTGGGCTATGTATCACCCGAGGACGATGACGACGGCGGTGGCGGCAACTACTGGTAGGTCCTGTACCACAGACAGCTACAGCAGCTGCAGCAGCAACAGCAGCAACACCTCAACCCTTCTGGCCATGGAGAGACTCGGAAGATGAGATGGGGTCACAATGATTGTTCGTCAGAGGGCATGGATGGTCAAATGAAGTCATTTGAGGCTTGTGAATATCCTTTCTCTAGGAGACATAAGTCACCAATTGTCACCTGTTTCTTGAATCAACCTGTACTGACTTTTCTGGACACCTGAGTAGCGGAAGAAGCTGAATGTTCCTCACTCTCAACGAGTCAACCCAACCTTGACCAAAACATCACCGATCCCGATAGCCATAGCTCCAATGGTAATCCTATAATTGAGGAGCACATATGATGTCCCCACCAAGAGCCTGGGGACGATATGTGGTTACCACCGTGTGATCCCCCCAACCAGCAACAACAGGCGGGCACAGGGTCAGAAGCTGCTTTGACAGAAGACGCACACGATGTCCTATGCCCCCATAGCTACCACTCCGGCTGCCACATCAGATTCTGAAGCGATGCAAAGACGCTATTTCTCCTCCACTTCCTGCAAACATGTACCAGGATCCGAGAAATTGAACTTGAATGATCCAAGGTGGAGTCCGACATGTACTACAAAGTAGACGAGAATTGCTGCTGGGGCTGAGGAACACGATGTTAGCCCTGGTCAGCCAGAACAGCATGCCCATGATCCCGAGGATATTCCTTCCTCTTCTTTCTTTTGTTTGGTTGATGCTTTCAAATACTCTAGTGGATTAGCTGTTCTGTTGGTTTGAAGGCTGTAACGAATCTCTTGTAAGCAAGACAACGAAATAGGAAACAGATAGGTAATGACAAACTTTAAGAATCCCGAAAATGGACAGTCTATAACCTAGTAATCCACGGTAAAACACCCCCAATCAGAGAAGAATGAAACAGAAATTCTATTGGTTATCCAACGTTTTGTTCAGCAGAGTTGCGGAAACTGACAGAAAACCTCTTCGCCCCTCCCCAACGGGAAACGATCAATCCAAGCCTACTATCACGTTTTACAGACACTCGCCTCAAAAACATGTATATGCCCCAACAGACCTTGATTCTGAAGCCTCCCCGGAACTCCGACTTTATATATGCATCTCCGTGACGCTTGCATCGCTCCCATGCTTCATGACATGGAGCAATATGTCCCGGGATAACAAGAAACAGCAGGTCCTCAAATACTCAGACAAGAAATAACAGGTCCCGACCTGCGGGACCAAACTCGCCCCCCTTCGGTCACTCGGAGTCATCGTAAATACCAATCACCAGCAGCAGCAGCAGTAGCAGCGACACCGCACTTCCGATCCCCCCCCTTCCCTCCCTTTCTCTCTGTCTCTCTGTCTCTCTCTCTCTCTTCCTTTGAGACACAACCTCAGAACGTCGACATCCACTTCACTTCACTTCATTTCCTACACCCTGTCGTCGTATCAGCCGCATGACCACCAACACTCCCACTGCCGTCTTCAATCCAGCCACTATTACCACCACCACCACCACCACCACCACCACCATCTTTACACTCCTCACAAGACTCGGCCATTCGGATCGTCTGCCAGATCTGTCGCTCACCGCACCGGGTCTGGATCATGCTGGCGGAGGGACAGAAGCGGGCAAAGGTGAGGGAGACGTGTTTGCAGGTGAAGACGTGGGCGTAGTATTGGCACATTGCCCTTTTTTTTTTTTTTTTTTTCCCTTTTTCTTCTTCTCTTTTTCTTCTTTGACCTTATGATGATGGTTGCTTTGATACCGAGGGCAAGTGTATAGAACCTAGGGGGCCTGGTGAGAGATATGATGAATTATTTTGATCCCGCTAGGCTTTGAGAAGGTCGGGATTTGGGGGTGCGAATGACGCGGTAAGCAGGAGTGTTGTTGACTTTTGAAATGGGTGGCTTGACACTGAGTTGGATTTTGAGAGATATGATGACTGGCGACGGGTCTCTCAATTGTGAGATGCTGGAGACGGTAGGTTGTATAATGATATCGTGAGTAAGTGGTGTTGTTGGCTGTTGACGGTTAAGTGGTTGTGGCTTGTCTGATCGAGGTAGAATGTTTTGTCTAGGGTCGTTGGTCTAGTATAAGTCCGTGAGAGATGAAGTTAGGATGACGATATCGATGGAGACTAGACCGCCCAAGAACAGTGCGGCTAGACTAGTTTAAATATAAGGAGTTTCGGTACTGCCGTGATTCGGCAACTCCGCTCTCGTAGTGTTTCATGAACAGTGATAGAGAATATACATTACCCTCGCCGCCAATACAATGAGAGATGTTTTCTAAATTGTGGAAGCTGGAGAGAGTGGCGACAATCTGTCACGCCTGTACAGAGCTGAGATGTTGGACAGACCGTTGTTAGTCGCGCAAGGCCAAGTATCTGGCCGGTCGTGCGATTATATATATTGGAGAGTTAGGATTGTTTCCAGGAGGCTGAGCGATCCCGGTATCGCCAGTCTAAGCTGAGCCGCACTCGTGCAGACATCTACTACCAGCTTCTCGCCCGTACACGACTCGGCAAGTCTTCCGACATCGTGTAGATCTGACTCATTGACCGCGAAAAAGAAGGTCAGAATGGACAGACATACTTTTGGGCTAATTAATTCGGCTTGAATTGCGACCACCACCCCAAGTCAAGCACTCTTTTCCTCTCTTCAGAGCCATTCCTGAAACCGACAAACAGCGTTCAAATGTTTCCAAATGCCGAGTGTTTGAAAGACTGATGTTTCGGACAGGTGGAAACAGCTTCCACCAAGAGGAACTACATATGGTGAATAGATAGGGCTGCATTTGTATCTAGGCATTGATTCTTGGCAGATGTGCACATCGGGTGTAGTGTAGGCATGCAACTAGGCAGCCACATAGACAGACTTGCAGACAAAGCCTAACGCCCTGGCATGGACCAGGCGTTGAACGTTGGTAGCCAGATTGACATGTCAAATTGATAGCAGTAGGTTGTCAATTTGGAGATGCTTGGCGGAGTTGGACTTGGACGCCCCAAACTTGGGGATAGAGCCTCAACCATGGCCCCTAATCGTCCATATAGGGGAAGGGAGCCGAGGTGTTGACTTGGTTTGACGACTCCCACCGATGATGGATACCATACTTATCGAGCGTCGTTTGATCTGGTTAACATTCAGCATGGTGTACAATGTCAATGCGCGGAGGCTAATGTGATGCAGGAGAAATCAAACTTGGCTGAAACTACCGGCAGCTAGCCTCGAGATGCTTCCTGCTGTCGGTTTTCCCGCAGCCGCAGCGGATGATGGCAGATAGGTATTAATATTTGGAACATTCCCGTGTGCTGGCACCAATTGCAACTGCCGAAGTCTTGCGCCGTTGCTTGTGGCTGAATCTTGACTTTCGGGAATTAGAGAAGGTAGAGGGAGTAGCACGGACTCGGAGCACAGAGTGAGACTTGACTGCGTCTCCTAAGAACCAACATCACATAACGAATGGGTCCGAAGGATAGACAGAACACAGAGCGTGCGGGTGCGACATGGCGACAAGTTCCATTGCAGCTTCGTGGTGCTCGTGGCATCCAAGCAGCGGCCACGAGGATGGCGGAATACAAAGAGTCCCCCTTTTCTGCGGTTTGTGCGTTCTCGGTCCGATGGGGCATCGAATGATGGATCAGGCCGTCCGGCTGTTGTGATGTGAATGAGAAAAAAGGGTTTTCGAAGGGACAAGATGCTCTTTGTGGTTTGTACCCCGGTATGCTGGCGCTTGTTGTATCCTGATATTTCGCTTGCCGGCTTTCGGCGCCCCAGCTGTTTTGGAATTTCAGCTTCGACCCAACCCAAGTTCCCGTCGGGTGCACCATGCTCAAAATAGGTGTTCTGGTATGTAATTTACCTTGGAAAGTATTCCGACAGCGGGCATTTTCAGGACCGTACTGTCGAGAAGTAAGCAAGGCGTACAGTAAGAAGGAAGGCATTCGGTTGTTACGCTAGTTGCCGTAACGTACGACGGCAAGGCATGTCGTACGGGATGTTTTAGCGCCCCGTGCGCACCTCTTCCACACTTCAGTTCGGTGCCAGGCCGGGCAGGGCAGTTCCACTCACTTTTACACTAGTTCTCGGTGTTGTTATCTTTCCGTTAGGTTTCCCTGTGCTTGGGTTCCCTTCAACGCCCGGAATCGTCGATCAGATCTCGGCAAGGAACTTCAACCTCACACATCACATCCACTTTGGCTTCCACGCACGCCTATCTCAAACACGGCTTTCCGCACCATCTGCTTCCATCAACACAACTAACGGGCACCCATCAATCTGGCATTTCCTGACTCCATCTTGACGCAATCAATGTCGCTGCCCTGCATTGGACTTCGGTGGTGTGTGTCTTGCCCTGACGGAATGTGAACTGGGGCTAAACTCCGCCGAGTAAGGTGACCCAAGTGGGCTGCCCAACCGGGCCCCGACCGCACTGGGGCATCAAGACGCACGCAGGGCATCATGCGCCGACCCAGACGATTGCGGTGGACAACTCATCCTGCAGACCCCATTCATCTGCGGGCAACTTCCGCTGCCTTCGACGACTTCTTCGTTCCATACACTCCAACGCCGACCTATCGTCGCTCGCCAACTGCTTCTGCATGACATAGACCGCCGTCACTCTCGCATTCCGACTTTGCCTTCTGGAAGTCACTTGGCTCATCGAGAGCTGCCTTGCTTTTTCGAGCCAGCCGCCTTCAATCTCCGTGGAGGAGGAGACTAGTTGCGTATTGGTCTTCGAGGTCTCACTTCTTTCCCCCCCCTGGATCCTGGATTCCCGTGGCTTGAAAGCTTTGATTGTGCCGCTAAACAGCGGGGGTCCCAGTAGTTAACTTGCATGCCGCAACGCGCTCGTTCATGCACAGAATCTTCGTCCAGTGTTGCCCATCAAAGTGTCGCTGCAGGCTGCAATATTGTTCGGTTGGCCTGGTTGGCTCACACCGGCATCGCAGTCGTAGCGGCATCGCAGCACCCCGTACGGTACCTCTCTGTACGCCGCAACAGGACAACAGCTCCGATCAAGCCTGAATCTCCATGTTGGTTACCGGCTCGCCCGTCTTGTTAGCTCAATTCGAGCTTCAAAAAAGTCGCCCTTGTCTCGAGCTTCGCAATTGTCCGTGTGTACATCGTCTAGCAAAGCGCTGTCCCCCCCCTCCAGGGCAGCAGTGCGGCTATCTGCTTTTCATCTCATGTCATATCACAGTAGCATTGGGTACCGCGCCCGCGGCTGTTGCTTCATCCTAGGTCGACTGCTGTCCACTGACGTTAGCCTTACCGCCGCCCAACCGAACCCCCCAACCCAGGTCGGCTTTCTCTGCCTGTGGACGTCGACGGAGCCAAAACCCAAAATGGCACAGGGCGTCTGACGTCGCAGGGTCTTGTGGGGGCCCACCTTCAAGGCTACCTACACTACAGGCTGGCCAGGACTGCCAGGAACAGCTGGAGAGGCATGTACTGGGTACCTTGCAAGAGCACTGCATCAACCAGGACCTGCTTTACCTAGCTCGTGGTTAGCCTGTTTTCGGCGCTGCTTTGCTGCGTCTGCTGGGGCTTCAACCTGATCGCTTCCTCTCTGCTGGAGACTTTGCAAGTTTTGCGCTGCGCATTATCAAAATCCAGCAGGTGGTCCGTTCACACCGCCTTGTGCGTCTCTTAGAAGAAAGCAAAGGGGTCCCGGTCGACCTCTGGCTTCCCCTGCAGCAACCCGGGGCTAACAGGTACCAGTGACTACTGGCCCTCCGGCTTATTCGCGACGGCGTTTGCGACCTGATTGCGACGACGACTGCGCGCGCCACATCAATTGGTAAACATCTCCTTGAAAAAGACCCAATACCGTCGCCATGCCCTGCCCCAGACTCGCAAAGCCCTCCTCCGTCTCCATTCTTGAGCCTCAACCTTTTTCTTACCCTCACACCGACGCCTCACTCCTTTACTAACACCATTGCCGCCATCAAGTTCCTGATTGGCCCGTTTTGGTGGGCAGATTGCTATCTTGGTGGCCTCCCTCCGACCTAGTACAATTTGCTCTTCTGTGTGATATTGGTGAGTTTTCGTCCAGTCAACTCGTGAAGCATGCCAAGGTTGATGAGTTCTAAACAAAGCTACAGTGCCCAGTTTCAGCTTCACGAATACTATACATATTTGATTGACAGTCTTCCGCCGAAACTCTTGAGCCAAGTGCTTCATTCATCTCAGCGCTCATACACCAACTTTCCCCATGCAAGATTTTGTGCCGGGGCCAACAAAGGATTCACCACTGACGCAACACACGAATCGAATTTATCTCGGCAGTCTCTCGTTTAACTTATCATCTTCATTGGACCAATTTGCCTCCCCGAGGTAGCGAACGGACAACTCGTCGACAAACAGCACGAGTTCACCACCATTTTCATTTTCGGACACGATTCGACTCCTGTCAGTTTGACTGCTGGATTCATTACTTTTGGTGCATAGATTCATTATAGGGAAAGGATCAGTTGAATCGATTGCGAACGCTTGACTTCATGGCTTCCTCGGAGATCGACCAAAAGTTTCTTGGCAAGCTCGCCCGGCTAGTCGAGAGTGAAAACCCCCTGCTTTCCTCTGTCTTGTTCAAGATTCTAGGACTTTCGATAAACCTCTCGAGTCAGCTCATCACCGCACGAAAACAGCGCCGACAAGACGGAAGCTCAGGAAATCCTCCATTAGACCTTCATCTTCACATCGTCTGGTTGTCACGGGAGGGGTTACTGCTGCTCGATCAATATGTCCTGCCATCGGCAACGCTAAAGAAGAATGTCGAACTCAAAATCCTAGCATACAAGCTGCTAGCTTCATTCTATCACATTATCGTCTTGTTTCACAACACTCCACCTGTTACGACGATAGGAACCAACACCCCGGAAGGCCAGTCAACAAGCAGTGTAGCGAATGCCAGCGACAAGGGGAAAAGGGTAGCAAAAGGCAATGACACATACGATCACGGTGCTTCAAGGTCGATATCTGAGGGGGGGCCCGTTGGCCCACCCCCAGGTTTTGGTCCGCAATCACCAACAGCCTTCCTCATGAAGCCCGGGGACTACCTACCACTGGCCCAGCAATGCTTCAAGGAAGCTATCCAGCTCGCGGAACAGCACCTTTGGGGATCACATTCGCTACGGCTTTCGGTCAAGACAGAATACGCAGCCTTCCTATACGAATGCGTTCACGATGCCGAGGCTAGCCGAAGACTCGCAAAGGAAACCATCTCGGAGGTGTATGAGGCCACGGAAGGCATCGACAACGACATGTTTAACGACGCGTGTGAGCTCGTCACAGTGCTCGGAAAAATGATGAAGCGCGGTTTGGGGTCGAATAATACTCTTCGAAGCAAGGGTCACGGAACATCGAATTCTGGCTCGCAGGGGACACCCAGGATCGAACAAATAGAAGCCCAGGCACCAGTCACAGCTCCGCCAGGGATGATATGAACGAGAGAACTCGGCATTGGTTACTTTCCACCCTGTCGGCAGCGCTCTGGAAGGAGGACCCAAGTCCAGATGTCAGAGAGAAAGCCGTTGAGGATGCTCATCACCACGGGAGCCAGGCGCGATCAAGCACCGTCCCATCGCAGGGATATGCCAACAGACTGAACCTTCCAGAAACCTGGCTCAATGCGTCAGTCACCGAGCAGCACGAACAACTTCGAATCCCGGATGCCGATCTTGCATTATGACATCATCGCCTATATACTACGTATATCAGCCTTTTGTTGTTATCCATACCGATTAATACGCTTTATTGGACCCACGGCATTCTATATCACACGGGACATATAACCATTGTCCGAGAATCAGAAACCACGCCGTTTTCGACATGAGAGTTTGAGTGCAACTTTTCTTCTATCTGGCGGTTTTTTGGAGTTACAGAGCGATCGCCTTTGGTCTTTATACAACGACATTAATATGTCATTTCACTCACAGTTCAATCATGTTCTGGTTTTTCTTGTATATACTCATTGCGTTCTTTTGTTTTTGACAATTTGATACCCAAACGCGTCCGTTTCGACCGATGGTGTCTTTTTTTTTGTGGCTTTTTGCGTTTGATGTCTTTTTGCTTTTGGGTGGATGCGGGAAATCTCGGTTTGATGGGTGGCTGTTTTTGGATACTCATGTCAGCTGTAGTTCGCTGTCAACACAACTGTAACTGTGTAAATACTGCTGAAAGATCGTCGACAGATGATGGATCCGTTACAAGAAATGAAGAAGCATGGTCGTAAGAAGGTGCGAATGTGCGAGAAAACTCAGTCATTGCGAGTCATTGTAATCGAGAGAGTGAACGATAAGCATAGCACCAATTGATAACCAGAAATGCCTGTTGCATAAAGGTGAAAGTGGGGATTACGATCCTGGTCAACCGGAGTGTCCGAGAGAAAACCAATAAAAAAAGAGGAAAAAAGAAAAAAGACGTCGTCGAAGAGTACAGAAGAGTGTAAACCCCGAGCAAGCCGGGCATATACTCTATCAAAGCGCAGACCAAGTCCGTTGTATGGCAGACCTCTCCGTAAGCGGCCGAAACACAATTTCCGAGGCACAGTGTCATCCATAGCATCAAAAATACCCCGTTGGGAATCAGATTCCTTTGTGTAAACAAAGCGAAAAGGGGTGATCCTCGACCAAACGGGAAGCAGGTCTGGGTTAGGGTTGTTGGCTGATCGCTCCAAATGCTTGGCATTCGGCATGTAACATCTGTGTGGCGGCTGGCAATCGGGGCCTGCACTCGAACCTTCACCCGTTCCAGAACATCAACTCTCCATCAACAACGCAAGGTCGAAGAGCGAAACACCACGATTTCCGCTTCGAGTCGGCATCCAACACAACTCACCATCTCCGTCGCATAACCAACGCAACTTCCAAACCGTCATCCGCCGCATCGTCCTGTACTGTACCGAGCGACACCCTCCGAAAACAAAACAAAACACATACACCAATCACCTCCCCACCCGCCCGACTCGCGCGCAGCGAGTCCGTAATACCCATTCACGATGCCCAAAGCAGAAGTCGGCTCCGCCAAATATCTGGCCAACAAGATGAAATCCCGCGGCCTCAACCGGCTCCGCTGGTACTGCCAACTGTGCGAGAAATCCTGCCGCGACGAGAACGGGTACAAGATGCACTGCCAGTCGCCCTCGCACACGGCCAAGGCGCTCGAGGCGGGCGCCAACTTCAAGGGCGTGCAAGACACCTTTTCCGAGCAGTTCCTCAAGGATTTCATCTCGCAGCTGAAAACCAGTCACGGCGAGAAGGAGATCCACATCAACAAGTTCTACCAGGAGGTGATTGCGCGCAAGGACCATGTGCATCTCAACGCGACGAAATGGCATTCCCTCACAGAGTTTGCAAAGTTTTTGGGCAGGGAAGGGGTGTGTAGGGTGGAGGAGAAGGAGGGGGAGGGATTGTTTGTGGCGTGGATTGATGATTCTCCGGAGGCGATGGAGAGGAGGGAGAAGGTCAGGAGGAAGGAGATGATGGATAAGGGGGATGAGGAGAGGGAGCAGAGGGCTTTGAGGGAGCAGATCAAGAGGGCGCAAAAGGATGCCGAGGCGAGGGGGGTTAGCTTTGATGCGGAGGAAGAAGAGAGGAAGGAGTTGAAGAGGAGGGAGGGGGAGAAGATTAAGTTGAGTTTTGGAAAATCGGCCACAACAAAGAAAGAGGAGCCCGGGTCGGGGTCGAGTGAGGGTGAGAAGGGTTCGGCATTGGCGACGGAGATGTCAACACCGGGTGCTGGAGACGGATCGGTTCCTGCTGCTGCGGAGGAGAAGAAGGATACCGTGACGCCACATTCGACGACGACGACGACGACGACGACGACGACGACGACGACGACGACGACGATGGACGGTGTAAGACCTGAGCAAGCAAAGGTGGAAGCAAGTTCAAAGGGCGAGGAGGCCGCTGCCAAGACGACGGCAGAGGAAAGCAAACCCGCGGTTGACTCGACTGCTAGTCCTGCTGCTGCCGCTGCTCCCGCCACTAAGCCGGTATCAATGAAGTTCGGCATGAAGCCCCAACCGAAGAACGTCTTCAAGAATGCGTTTGCTGGGGCTCCCAAGAAGGTTATGGCTGCTCCGCCCAAGAAGATGAGCGAGGCCGAGAGGATAATGAAGGAGGAGTTGGAGCGCAAGAGGGCTCGCGAGGAGAAGGGTGGGAACTTTCCCAACAAGAAGCCACGCTTTCAGTTTTAACCTACTGTGGAGTCTCACGTGGGTAACTGGTCAAAGGTTATGCTATCTCCGGGTTTGGCAATATTTCGGCACATGTTATAGGGGCGTTTTCGGTGTTATGGGAAGTGTTTAAAAAAAAAGATACCATATTGCATTGGGGTTTTCGTAAAAGGGATCCGTAGCTGATGAACAACTTTTCATATATATGTTAGGTAGTGATAAACTCATTCGTATGTTTGTTGCAATTCGCTTCAGCGTGTAATTATAGCCCTAGGTGAATCATGCAAAAACCCAAAAATGGCCGCTATCCTGTCTGCTGTCTAGACCACGCCCTTTAAACCAGCCTTGACGCCTTGAACTCCTGTTGCCTTTTCTTTAACAGGCATTCCGCATTCCGCTCCTGGGTTGTCTGTGGACGATCAATTATCGGTCCCTTCTTTTTACTTGTCGGTTCTCTTTCCTGCTTTCTTATCCGCCCCATCCCTCTCGGCTTCTTGCACCACAGCTTCAAGTTTCTAGTCCGCTTCCGTCGCACTGCCATCGCGCCTGCTCCAAGTTAGTGTCTGGTTGTGCCCCGAAAACCCAACGATCATAGCCTGCTTCGCCAGACCATACGGGTGTAAGCAGGAAACTTACGGGATATACTGGATGCCGTCATCCTCCAGCGTGGTGCGCACGTCATCCGGCAACTGGCCCGACACCTTGGTCGCGTATACACCCTTCACATAACCGTCCAGCCTCTGCCACTTCGCCACCCACGACTTCTGCGGGTTGGCAATGGTGATGATTCCTTCAAAGACCTGCGACGTGCAGCTGTCGATCTGATCCGGCGAGCCCTGGAGATGGAGGAAGTCTTCGCAGTTGGGGCATCCTTCGTCACGGAAGCGCTATGACAAAAACAAAGAAGGTCAGAAACTTGTCAGCTATGGAGTGGCTAGAAACGAGGAAGGGCAGCTCGACTTACAGCATAGGTCATGACGATAGAGCAGACCATGCAGGCACGAAGGTAGCGCTGCTGGCCGGGGGCGACGTAGTTCTCCGACATTTTTGGTAGAGTTGTAGGGATGGCGATGTTACTGGTAACTTTGCGGGCGGAAACCAATAACTCACTCGTTTATGAATAGCTGAGCGAGTGAATTATTACTGGGAACGGACACTTGACGAAGGAGGGTGATGTTCTTTGGAGGTACCTAATGCATGTGAACATCGATAAGTTGTTCTTTGGCAAGAAGATCGGCCGCCTCTCTTGCCTGCCGCGTCGCGCCAGCGCAAGCTCCAGGTCTCACAGCGGGCGGGCCAGGAGGGTAGGAGGGCTGTCGGATCTTGACATGCAAGGGGGGGCACGGTCCAGGAGCTAGAGAAGCAGGAGAGAATGTGGGAAAGGTGGGGGCCGAAGCTGGGGCCGATGCCTGGAGGTGGACAGTGGAGACACTGCCGTGCACTTGGGCTGGGCGCCGTCTCACTCATCCACAGTTCAACTCTGTTCGCCGAGTCCGGGGCGTTGCATCCGAGTTCCATTCAGTTGCCAGTGGTCGCCCGCTTCTTATCGAGCAACCAGGTGGATGGCAGCTGTGCTTTTTGGCCCAAGGGAGGACAGTCAACTGCTGCAGTGATACTCTGATAACTGAACTGAGCTCTCTACCCGTCATTCTCTCGACTTCCACTTCTTCCACTTGTTTCGCGCGTCCTCGATTCGACACGACTCGAATCATCATATCTTCCAGTTTGCTGCGATATTGCCTGCTCCAAGTCTATTACGACACGACGCCTGACAAACGTCGTTCGAATTCCCGAAAACCACAACCACAGCCACGACCAGCGCTGGCGTAGCATGCAAAGCCCCTCGACTGTCGAACCACCTTCTATCCGAACTCGGCCAATTACCCCGGAGAGTGGAAGATGAATTGATTGCACCCGGTGGACGCATTGTTGAACAGGTGTAGCAGTAACAACAGCAGACCGCGGTAGCAGCGAAGCACCTGTGACGACCCCGTTCGACCGACCCGACCACCACGGCGACCCCATCCCGTCATCAGCGCCAGCGATCGAGCTAGGGAAAATGGGGAACAACCCCTCCACCTCCAGAGACTCCAAGACCCCGAATCCGCAATCCTCCTCCTCCTTCTCTCAATCGCAGTCTCAGCACCAGTCGCTGGCTTCCATCCAAAATGACTCTGCCAGAGCAGTGAAGCGCGATACCAAGCACCCTATACCGGTCCCAAATCAGCGAGTCGCTGCCCCTCCTGAGCCCTCCTTGACCCAGGCCCAGGGCACCGCCGTCCAGCCGCCCTCAACCACCGCTCGTCCCAAGTCGCTGCACTCGCGAATGCCACCTTCTCAGAGCGGCTCGCCGGGCTCGTCGGTGCCTACCAGCTCTGCCACCCCTACCAAACCTGTCGAAGTAAGACAGCCGAGACCCGAAGACAGCCATGAGCCCGCGAAACCTGTAGCCGTGCCCGCACCCTGCCACGCCTCGTCGTGCTCACCTAGGTCGCCGGTGCGATCACCGCTATCAGAGAGATCGGATGCCTTTGAGACTGCGGCTATGCAGCTGAGCAGTCTGCAAGATGTCTCGTACCTGACCAGGCCGCCGCGACTACCTCTGCCGATTGAGGAAGAGGTCCACACACCCGGATCGCCTATCATTGCCCCGACCGACATTGGGGTCCCACTCGAGGATGCCGACACTTTCACCGCGCTCACCAGACGCTCTTCCAACTTGAGTAACAGCTCAACTCTGGACGAAGAAGACACGGAGGAGCTACGGGTGGACAAGACTAGACCGACTGTCCCCACCAGGCTCGAATGGCTCCGTGGCGGCGAGAAGGTTTACGTGACAGGCACTATTTTCCAGTGGAACAGGAAGACACGATTACACCCGGTGTAAGTACTTTCTACATCCCAGCCACTTTCGCTCCCATTATGGATGGAGCCTTGCTGACACCGCTACTCGCTAAACAGTGAGGGCCGACCGGGTGTATTCGCTGCTACCATCAATATCCTGCCGGGCACACATCACGTTCGCTTTCTGGTTGACGGGCAGATGCAGACCTCGCCAGACTTGCCGACCACGGTAGACTTTGGCAACAACCTGGTCAACTACATCGAGGTCAGCCCTGATGATGTGGGGCGCACCGCTGCCCAGGCAGCTGCTGCAAGCGCCGCCAAGGATTCCCAGCAACCTACGGAGCCCAAAACCTCCGCGTCCGAGACGGAGGAAAGCAAGGCACCTAGGGACCGACCTGTCCCTCCGGCGGAGCTGTTCGAGAACAAGATCCCGCAATATCTACTCGACTTCGATGCACCCGAGGAAAGTCCACCTTACCTAAGCGCTGTCAACGCCATCGAGAAACTCCCAACGCCGCCTGCGCTTCCTGGCTTCCTCGGCAAGCCCATCCTCAACGCGGCCACCTTGATTAAGGATGACAACAGCGTTCTGAACATGCCCAACCATACCGTTCTTAACCATCTAGCTACTAGCAGTATTAAGAATAATATTCTGGCTGTGTCGGCCACGACGAGATATAAGAACAAGGTTCGTCTCCCCATATTTCGTAGCCGCATCTTTTTGCACATAGTCGTTAATGCTAACGGACTGTACAGTATGTGACGACAATCATGTACAAGCCAACAACGACAGAGGGCATCTGAGTTTGGAATGCTAGTAGTCAGAGCTGGGTACCAGTTGGCTGGTGGCTACCACACTAGACGAACAGCGCAAGTCATGAGTAGAATAGCGGTGCATTATGAACCGCCCAGTATGACCTATTCTAGATATGTCTACAAGTAATGTCTATAAGACGCTGTAGCGATGACGAGGACACTTTATGGAAGCGGGCGCAAACTGTTGTCAGCGAGCTGTCCACGGGCATCCTGCTCCATTAAAGGAGGCACTGAGGAACAACAAGAGGCGCATATAGAGTGGCTGCCGTGGATAGAGTAAAGGTTATGGGATTTGGGGGTATCGTCGTAATGGTCATCTTCAACTTCGTTTCCTTCTTTGACATTAGTCCCTCCACTTGACGAAGACTTCGTCGGTTCTGAAGCGTTGTGTACATGTGCTTTCATCAAGCGGCGTCCGGAAGCCCGTCTCGTAGGCCAATAGACCAGCATGAGCAATCATGATGCCGTTGTCGATGCAGAACCGTTCGTCAGTGGCGTAGACACTTCCGCCTCGCTCCGCTGCCATCGCGCCCATCATCTCCTGTAGCCGCTCGTTGCAACCGACACCGCCAACGATAAGAACCTGGTTGCTACCGACGTGCGCCATAGCCCGCTCGGTGATCTCGACAAGCATGGCAAATACCGTCTCCTGCAAGCTGAAGCACAGATCTGCGGGTGTAAACGGTTCGCCGTCGGGGCCCGGCTCGCCCGCCTTCATCTGCGCCGCCAAGTCATCTGCCCGCCCCAGGATTCCGCTGAACGAGCAATCCATTCCCTTGACCGCATACGGCAAGTCCAACAAGACTCGCCCTCCTTGCTTGGCCAGCTGCTCAATATTGTACCCGGGCGCCGGGTCGTTGCTGATCTCCAGCGTGCGCGCGAACCGGTCCAGGCAGTTGCCCACTGCAATATCCAGCGTCTCGCCAAAGATACGGTACCGCTGCTCCGCGTACGCAATCACCTGCGTATTACCCCCGCTCACGTACAGCACCACCGGGTTCGACGCCCCCGTTATCGCCCGCCCCATCTCGATATGCCCGACACAGTGGTTCACGCCCACCAATTCTTTACCCCACAGCAGCGCGAGTGTGCGGGCGCCCACGGCCACCGACGTTAGGGGCCCGCCCATCCCGGGTCCCTTGGTGTAGCAGATGCAGTCGATTTCCGAGATGGAGACCCCCGACAAGGCGAGCGCCTTCTTGGCTACGCGCACAAAGTAGGCACGGTGGTGTCGGGCTGTGTCCTTGGGAAGGAAACCGGTGCCGGGAGGAGAGACGAAGGTGTCGCGCACGTTGGACAGGACAAGGGCTTCGCCAGTGATGGGGTCGTGCGCGATGATGCCGATGCCGAGCTTGTTGGCGGAGCCTTCGCATCCGAGAGCGATGCGGCGGCCTTTGGCGTCGGGCATTGTTGGCTGTTGGGGCTTTGCTGAATAGAGCGAGGGAGAAAGGGAGAGGGTTTCGGTTGCTTGGTGAATCGGGAGCCGGTTGCTTCGTATCAGATAACTCGCATAGATATTTCGTTGGGGATGTTTATCGAGGACCTTGATATCCTTCAGTTTGGTTGTTGATAGGCGTCGCGTCGCGTACGGAATAGGTAGGATGGATGGATGTTGTCAGTGCCAAATCCAATGCCAGATGTCAGATGGAGAAAGTGATAATAATGGAGGGGCACCTTTTTAGAGTGGGGAAAATTTCGTCGCGTCTGTGAATAGGCTAGGCGCGCCGTAGTGATCAAGGTGACGAAACTCGAGATCGAGATGAAAGAGGATGTACATACTTATTCCCCCAGCGGGCCTGTATTCCGTCTCCTGAAGCCGGTCGACATCTTCATTACTTGCAACGATGCTTTAAAGCCATTCTCGCCCGTTGTTCCTCTCAAAACAAGGGAACGGCCTCGCCATGGGAATCAGCAATGGGATTTCGTCAGAGCCTTCCATGGAGTCGATGAGGGGTTCAAGGAAATGTGGGTCCCCGCAGCCGCTTGTGCACAGTCGAGTGGGACTTTATGTTGCTTTGGATGCGCAATGCAATGTTATGTAAGGCAGGCACGTAGCGTGGCTCGTGCGCTAGTAGTACCTGTAGCAACGATTTCTATCCACATATAGCCGCAACGGCGCAAACTGTGACCATAGGCGCATGAGTTGTGTAAAAGACACTAGAAGTTTGATTATTTCTAGCTTTACCATGAGCTGATCCAACAGTTCCATTGCAACAAGAATGTGCAGATGAGCTTACGTGCTTTGACTTGCTCTGTGGAAGCGCAAAAAGGCTCCGAGAAGTTCGGGGTCTGCCGAGCCTGGGCTTGGGGCTCTCTGCACGGGACCCCACTGCACCGAGAATCAATTCTCCCAGCCAAGCGAGAGTCCGCAGCCGTCCAACCGTCTTCCATCCTCCGAGCCTGTATCACCCAACACCTCACCTCGTTGCCGCCAAACCCAAACCTCCCAACCGCACGGCCTGACCTGCCTCTTTCAACAGCTCAGTCAACTTCTTCCTCGTCTTCACCATCCTTTGCTGGCCATTCCTTCTGCAGAACATGGCCGGGCTTCTTGTTCGGTTCTTGCAAGCTTTCGAGCTCACGGGGCCGTCTGGGCCGGATTGGAGGCCGTGAATTCAGCACCGCCCCAAGTCTATGGGGATGGAGATACCGATTTTCCCTCTTGAGGTGTGTTTCTCTCGTTCGTCTGACTTCAGAGTGCTGTTCTGGACATCTTTTTGTCTCGAACAACCCGTCTGATGTGGGCTTAATATGTCCGGTACCGTTGTGGGTGAACCTAAGCTGACCAGAACTCTGCACCACAGGACCATCAATCTCCCATGGAAAGCTGTTCACTCGACACCTCCATTCTGTCTTTCACCTTCTTCGGACATCGCTTCTTCTTCCGCCTTTCCAAGTCTTTGGGAAATGCTGATGTGGGCTGCTGGCTTCATGGTTCAAAATCACGAACCTCGCCACCAAGTCAGCAAAGCTGGCCTCCAGTCAGCCAGCCAGCCAGCCATTGCCGCTCGGTGATCCCACCCTAGAGCGCCCTCGAACTCTTCAGCTCGAGTTGTCACCCATATCAACATCAAATTCACGGATTACCGGATCGGAATGTCCCTGTTTGCAAGATATCTTCTGTTCCGGAAAACCGGCGATCAGCAGTTCTGCCAGAAGCCAGGGTCCTGCACCGAAAGGAGCAGCGGTCTCGACTCCGAAGCCTGGCAACGGAAGACTCGACCTCCAAGCCAGCATCAATATCGAAACGGCCGGTCAATTTCTCTTTCCTCGAGTTTTCTCTTTCTCAGCTATTTTTTCCACCTACGTACCTCGCAAGACCTCTTTCTTCGAGGCGTCCCCACTCTTTTATCACCAAGCACGCTGCACGGTCGCTCCGAAAGCCAAAGGGGCGACCCCCGTCTCTACGCTAAGCAGCGACCCGGTCTACCAGGGGCGCGAGGGAACACCTTTTTCTCTCTCTCGACACTTTTGTCGTCCTCTTAACTTCCTGTCTTCTTCTGAAGCGTCTTGTGTCGGACCGCAGCTCGATTGCTGGTTTCCCTATTGGCCCACCCGGTTCGCAAATTCTCGCACACCTCCGACCAATTCGCACATCGGCCCAGGGCAGCACCGTGTGTTACCTAAGCCCAAATGTGGCACATGCATACGCTCGCAGCACTTGTCTCGGGGCTGCCGATGACCAAACGCTCGGAACATCTCTGAGATCATTCCTGCTTTCCCCTGGCAACAACCTCCCGGACGCACCCGGTCTACAAGGCTTCGGTCGCCCTCCAGGCTTTCCAGAAGCAAAGATGCCTTAACAGACATCGAGACCAGCCTCCACGCTTGATGGCCATAGCCACTTTCGTGGTTCAGTCACACTGCACAATACAACACCGCGTGAAGCAACTGATGGGAGCCAGAAGTGGTATTTTACTGCTTTGGTATCTCATTACTGTTGTCGCTGCACAGCATCTCGCGTGTCTCAGCTATCCGCCGCCATCTACACGATATCGGTACGACTACTTGTTTACATATATACATGAGTCGTTCCCCACTTCGCCAAACCTACACAAAAGCTGCAACCCAAACGCCTCGCCCCGGCCAGATCCTTCTCTTTAGCCCTGGCCCCATATCGCTAAATGCATCAATCGAGAGTTGAGGGGTATACACAGCAGCGGTCTTCCGAAGTTTATTCGGCTGCTCGACCACCAGCCCGCGAAAAAAGCCAAACGATATCTAAAAGAGATGACAACACAACACTCCTACAAACGCCAATTTTATGACACCGGTTGAGCCTGGGGCTGCGGTTGCGGCTGTGGCTGTGCTACTGGTTGTTGTGGTTGAGGTAGAGGGAGAGATTGTGATTGATTTGGTTGAGGTTGTGATTGCGGTTGTGGTTGTCCCGGAGCAAAAGAAGATTGGGCAAGTTGTTGTGGGACGGCGCCCGGAGGGATGAACTGCCGGTTGATAACCGGTGGGGGTGGTCTTGTGACCGTCTGGAGTGGTATTGAAGCACGGTACCTCAATGCCTTTGTATCAAAGGGGTCCAGCATATACACCGGCGCGTCGTCCTCGTCATCCGAGGACTGATCATACTTCCAGCGATCGGACTGTTCTTCACTGAGGTCTCGGGCTGGACTAGGTAAACCACGACGGTCGATCCACAACCTGTTCAACCGGCCGATACGACGACGATATGAGGGTGGATGCGCCAATGACTGTTCGTCCTGGGCAACGCCCCTGAATTTTACTGGTGGTGGTGGGTTGGGTTTGGGCTTATCAAGATCCATCGGGGTGGGCTCATCCATGGATCCTGAGGATGCAGACGCTGGTGGCGTCATGAGATACTGCGTCTTGGCAGGTCTGAAGCCCAAATCTTGTCTTGGGCCCTGAACGGGAGACAGCGGCTTGCCAGTGAGATCGACATAGTTCTTGTTCCAGTCGATGTGGTTCTGAATCTTCTTCTCGATCTCGATGATGAGCTCCGCATTCTTCTCGGCAAGGCGATCTGAGAGTTGGACAAGATCTGACTCTGCGGGACGGCCATCGGGGCGCACAGGCATACGGATCTGGGGAGGTGGAGGGGGTCTTTGAGCTGAGGGTGCCTCCGGAGCCTTCCTCTTTTGCGGCTGTTGTGAAGCGTTAGCGTTGGCTGATGTAAGTCTTGCACGTCTTGCCGTTTGACTAACCTTTTGGTTTACTAGATCCTCGTCGCCCGTCCTGATGCCTAGTCGGAGTTTTTGCTCCTTGATGATGGCTCGTTGATCGAAGATGGCTCGCTCTACCTTGAGCATATCTGCCTTGAGCAATTCCCGGTTGTGGGCTGCCAGGATGAGTTGACGACCTTCCTCCAGCTCCTTCCGCAGCCGCTTGAGTTTGTCCGCACTCTGGACATCTCTTGCCCTCGTTTTGCGAGTTTGACGAATCTCTCTTCGGCGAAAGCAGACGTAGGGATCAAGCTCGTCGCTTTCCGCATGTGTCTCGAATTTCAGTGTAGGGTTGAGCGGTCGGTTTTTGCTGATTTCGCGGCGCGACTTCCAGTACTCATATATTTGCTTGGCATGAACCATGACTTTTGTGCTGTCTAATGGCTCCAGTCCTCGCAACATCTCCTGATAAGACGGCACTGTCTGGTCTATGGCCGAGAACGGCGTTATGTTCGCCGCCATGTCCTCATACACGTCCATGATTCTCTCGAAATCATCTTCGGAGAGACGAGCGGACGGGGTCAGTTTCAGGTTGTAGGACTTGAGGAACGTCTCATCGTCCTCGGTCATGTCATACATGCAACTGATGCATTCTTCTACCGTTTGGGAAAACCGGATATACGTGGATGTCTTGGCCACCTTTTGAGGGTAGAACTGGTCGTAATCTAGTTCACTCTGCTGTGGAGGGGGGACAGGAATCTCCTGGTCGGCGGCGACTCCTGCCCCCTTGAGCACAGCCTGAAGATGGTATTCCTATTTACAGAAAGGGTAAGGTCAGCACCGGTGACATGCATGACTGTGTGCATGGAAGGTAAGGTGAGTTGGTGATGGAGGCGTGATGGAGGCGCGGCAGACGGGTGGCACGTGCACGTGCACGTGACCCTGGTCGCGATCAATCGGACATAGGTGTTTAACTCACATTTTCCTCGGCCTGTTCGACACCGGTGGCTATTTGGTTTTCGGAAGTGAGTGATTCATACTCGGAGGCTTCAATTTGATCCTCCCTGAGCACCGCAAGTTGTGTTTTGACACTCAGTTTCTTGTACCGAACCTTGCGGGTCGCCATGGTGAAGGTATGGGCAATTGCGGCAGACAGGCCTGGGGAAACCCCGACGAAATTTTTTTTATCTCATGCGGGATTGCATGCGAAATCGAACCGTCGAGTTTTTTGATGGAAAACTCGCGTCGTGGGTGATATTTTGATGGGCAAAATCTGGTCCCTCGATGGAGTGTCGTTGAGGTTTCGGCGCAGATTTTGCTGTTTTGGCGGCGGATTCGACGGCCAATGCACGGTCTTGGCGATTGGCTGGGCTTCTGCTCTTGCGAAGCCTGAATGGCGGGGAGAGGGGTTGAATGGGGTGGTTTTGGGCGAAGTTTTGCTGGTCGCGCTGGCTTTGCTGGCTTTTCAGGGAGGGAACGTAAGCGTGGTGCCCACTGCCCGGGCCGTCCATGGTCTGCGCGTCCACTCGCAACGAACCAGTCAACCACCACTGCCAGTGGCCACTGCACTGTTTGAAAGTTGGAAGCGCGGGCGCGCCTCCAAGGACGGGAACCCGATCCGACGACTCCAACCTCGACTGCCCGCCTGAGAAGCCAAGCTGCCAACTGGAGCCCAAGGCAGTGCCAGCCCGCTCCGATAAGAGCAATATCGTCATGTAAGGTAAGGATTGGCGTGCAATCTTACAGAAATACACCGCGGCCTCAGCGATACTACTATTTTGTTACCTGTTTTTGCTTGTTTTCAATCTTACTATCAGAACCCTTTGGCTCTTGGTGGAATGACGATGCAAGCAAGCATTTGCTGGTCGTCATGGACTCCTTGAACTGAGGGCATTCAGTGCTCAACCTGACAACACCCAAGTTGGATACAAATAAAGACTGATATCCTGCACCACTTCTCCATGTTGTCGTTGATATCGCATTTGATATTCAACGACAACTTGTGACTGTCTGGAGATTTGGGCATTTGACTGTTACCAGTGCACCGCAGCCAAATAAAGATGGATTCCGAGGTGCAAACCACATGCGCGGCAGCACATGCCATGTATTCCTTTTAGAATTCCTCAAACGGTCAATGGTTGGTTTGGTTTCAACGAGGAGGCACGCGAACAGTTCCAACAGACATCAACCCTGACCGTCGAAAGGGGCAGCGTGTTGAAATGAATCAATCAATGGGCTGATACGAGATGAGGAGGAGAAGTGGCCCGTGCATCCCACTTTTACCCCCCCATCCACGGCATAGATCCTCATGCCTGCCCCCGCTGTCCGCCTGCCCAGCCGAGCCAAAGGCCGCGGCCCGCCTCTCCCTCTTTTGCCTCCGTTCCAGTCTGTGACCGCCAAACCGAAGAGGGGACCTGCCGACTGCGGGACGACAGTGGCCGCGGCGGGCTGCTGCTCTGCTGGTGTCAGCCCAGGAGTGCTCGTGAATGGGAGGCCCCCGCTGAGGTGTTCGGTGAGGCAATCGAGCGCCGCACTGCAGCTATGGACTAGTGACAGCCCGAGCTACCTGGACCTTGACCACTTGTCAACCACCACTGGTGGCATCCCATCTCAGCCTTATTCCTGCCTTGTCCAGACCCTTATCGACCCGGAGTCGACCCCTAATTCCTCCAACCTGTGAATACCTCCTGCCTCACACTTTTTCCTTTGCTGCTCAAGTGTTAACCCCCACCACCCAGCGCCCGAACTTCTTGCCAAAGTAACGACGACTACCGACACGACCCATTCGTATTCTATCGCTTCAGCGTCGCATCACGTCGCATCTTTCGGCACGGGCACATTGCTATCATCACGAGCACGACAACCAGCGGTGGAAAGGAAACAGAACAAAACGAGAACTTGTCGACGATTCAGCACGGCGATTTGTACACCACCGTGCACGTTTTATACCCAATAATACAGATATCCGTCGGTCGAAAGAGTCCAGCAATACACAACACAAGCAGCAACCATGGGCAACACCACCAGCTCCGTCCTGGACAACATCATCCAGGGATCCAACTGTACGTTTCGCTCGGCGACATGTTGAAGCCTGAAACCCTCTACATTCTTCGTTATGTCCTGAACTTTGTCGCATCGACAGCGGTGCAAAATTGTTACTCCCTTCTACGACGAAGTCACAGAGATGTGGAGATGCACATTGCATGCTGCTTTACATCAACAAGCGCTATGCGCCTTTCTCGCAAGCTCTTGTTAAGATGACTTTACTAACACATCCTTTTTTACAGTCGACAGGGAAGAGGTTGACCGCTTGCGTAAGAGGTTTATGAAGTTGGACAAGGCATGTTTCTGCACATCCATTCCCGTCCTGCGATCTTGTCCAGTTTAACTGTTGTCGCAAGCCAATAAAAGCAAAAGTCGAACGGTCAAGACGGTGGTCTTGTTGTTGGAATAACTGGCTAACCGGGCGGCATCTGGTCTAACAGGATAATTCCGGTACCATCGAGCGCGAAGAGTTCTTGAGCCTACCGCAAATATCGACAAATCCTCTGGCTACAAGGTTCGTTCTGTTCTACCCCTCTATACCTACCCTTGCTCATATCAGTATATCGCATACCTCCGGCTCTTCCTGGGGAAATGCTGTTTGGGCACAATATGCGACATCATCCATAGTGAAAACTGGCGACTAACGGTTTCCGACTTGGATGTTATACAGAATGATTGCCATATTCGACGAAGACGGTGGCGGCGACGTCGACTTTCAAGAGTTCGTATCCGGTTTAAGCGCCTTCTCGAGCAAAGGCAACAAGGAGCAGAAGTTGCGGTTCGCTTTCAAGGTGTACGACATTGACCGTGACGGCTACATCAGCAACGGCGAGCTGTTTATCGTGCTGAAGATGATGGTGGGTAGCAACCTTAAGGACCAACAGCTGCAGCAGATTGTCGACAAGACGATCATGGAGGCAGATTTGGACAAGGACGGCAAGATCAGCTTTGAGGAGTTCACCAAGATGGTGGAAAACACGGATGTCAGCATGAGCATGACATTGGGTGAGTTCGCTCCTTTTTTCCTTCCTCCCGCCGGCTGAACACTTGTCTTCCGTCAGGCGCTTGCCTCTGTTGGCCCCCTTGGCTATTGATATTTGGACGACCAAAAGCTGACAGTCGACGCTTTAACAGATCAATTCTAGTGTGCCTCTCATACCACGTTTGGCTTCTGATACCCCTGAAAGTGGGAAGTTGCTTTGTCACCTTCAGCAGACCGTTGAGGCTTTCTGTGCTCGGTTTCTTTTGCAACTGGCAGGTGTATAGCCCACCTTTTCCCCGGTGGGATGAGTTGGGACAAGGAACGATGTGAAGGAAAAGGAGATATACAAGCCTCGGCGTCCTTCTATGTCAATTGAGGCGCTGAGTGCTTGACGAAGACATGAAGAAAACGGACATAACACAGGAAGATCTAATAAAAGGCGCAACTTGACCCAAGCGAGTATTATATCTCCAATCCGGACTTTTCGGTCGCATCTGTAAGTTTGAACAATATATCAGTGAACTTTGCTTACGTGCGGGGAGACAGTGCGATCAAAATTGTTCCTGGCGGTCACCACATTTAACGATCATGCGAATCAGAGTCTCAAATCCTACTTTTCTCTGCTACCATTACCAAAGCCTTGGTACGCCGAATCCTGGACCGTTACTTGGCCCCTGGCCTAACACCCGTCTACGCACTTTGATTGGTCAGCTAGGGTTGGAGTGGCAAAACTCAAGACTTACCTGATGGAAAATGAACATGGGGGGAAATTTTGCCCGGTATTGTAGTGTATATCGCGCAAGGGAGAAAGGACGGAGATGTCTCCGTTTAGCAGGTATTCAGCATATACGGAATATGCCGTGCCGTTGAAGTCGACGGTGCGATGCGGTGGGACGTCTACTGTGGTTGCGAGCCAAATAGGGTTCCCTTGTCGATGTACCAAGCACGAATCATCACAAGCAAAACTTACTGTTTCTGTACAGGGCACTGTGTGGTTAGCGATCGTCGGCTACTTGGCCCATGGGTTTTCCTTACCCATCAAAGTGGTTCCAAGAAAAGACTACACCACACACGGGCTTGCCGAAACTTTTTTCTTTCTCCCTTGGAACCACCTGCCATCTCTTCATAGTATCTCATCTATAGGCTTCCGAGAGTCTTACCATTGGGCGGGGGGCGATGTTATAGTCCGGCATCGATCCGGTTCGGAGGCTTTCTCCTTAACTGAATGATATTCAAGTTGGACATCATGCTTCCTTCCCTCCCACGCAGCCATTGCGTTTCTCTGTTACCGCTCCGCCACACATCGCTGATGCGCATGCTCAACAGGACGACGGGCAAGACAGACATGGATGGGTAGTCCACAGTCACCCTCGAATCCGGTCCGATTTCGACCAAAGTTTTTGCAACCGCGTGCTCAAAAACGGTAGTGAGGTAGTGTACGCAGTAGTGTGGGAGTGCGACATAATACAGTGTGCCGGCAGGTCTGTTGGAAACTCACTTCCCTGTTCTACACACTGAACAAGACGCCCAGGGCTTGTTCGGAAACGGAAGCACAAGATCAACTAGGAAGGAGGAGGGAAGCAGGGGAACTTTGGGGGGGGATAGACACATGGCAGGGTAACCAGCAAGAAGGTATCGGTACCTACGGGTTGGAGCTGAAAGAGGAAGTACCGATACGAGCAAAGGAACACCCAGGGGTGAGACGGCATCGACGGGGGAAGGGGGGGGGGGGGGGGGTTGTCCATGACGTGACAGCGGCGAAACACGGGAAGTGCCGGTACAGAGATCGAAAACGGAGAGTGTACTCAAAGTATCGATACGTGCGCGGTACGACTCCTTGACAGCATGTCGGCTTGGATGTCAAGGATACTCGCGGTTTGACACATGGCACGAAGGCACGAAGAAGCGAGGGGCAGTGACTGGGAAGACGGGAGAGACGGGATGGGCGTGAGGACCGGGAAAAGGGAGTAAGGTCTTTTGTCTAGGGGGACAGACACCTTCACCTCTGGTGCAACGGTATGCTTGTAGTGACTTTGATGGCATACCATCAGTTGTCGCCCCCTTGTCACTGCCATGGCATGGAAGTCGCATGATCTGATGAGTACCAAGTAAGCCACTCGCTGTTCCTGGTCCTGGCAACGCTCTGAGCGACTCCGGCCGGAGTAACGGCCTATTTACCGGTGCCGGACACTAAAGTTTTACTACCGACTGTGGAAGAGAAGAAGGGCATGGAACCAATATTTGTAATGATCGAGTTTGTCAGCTTGGACTTAGACTGGTGGTGATGGAATCCCGGATTGAACTTTGATGTTGCCAGTATGAGCAGGGAAGGAGCAGAAGCTGCTGAGCATTGGTTTTTCGTGAGTGTGTCTAGGCGTGGAACAATGAGGCAGTGTCCTGAAGGCCTTGGTATACTCACGTAAGCCCCTATTGAGATCTTGACGAGAAGTATCCAGGTATGGGATGCGAGTGTCCAATGCGGCTTACAGCTAGAAGTGTATGGAAAAATTGAGCTGTGAATCCATCTAGACTTCCCCTTTGCTGGCGTATATTGTACGGGTCATTCCAGGTCTGCAGGAAATGTCCTTGCCAAGCCAAAGTTCTGTCGATTTAATTCATTGAGATCAGCGTGCTTGCCTCATTATTGGTTGTTTACTGAGAATTGTACAATCTGTTGCGTTAACTCTACCTCAACCATCATGTAGCAGAGTCGGAAAAGTTTCTGCAGGTCTGGAATACGAGTTGCCGAATTCCTATGGGTCTCAGGCTCAAAGAAGACACTACACGGTTGCAACCGAAGCCTATATGACACTTTGGTCCGCTTTCATCCATCACCTAGCAAGACGGCGGGCCTCCCGTTATCAAACATTGAAGGCCATGCACTAAATCGCAAGTGGCGAGTGTTACCGACCTTCAGTGATAATATAAGTCGAACGAACTGTCACAGGCAACGCCCAGGTGGATAAACTACTGGTGGTGTAGCACTATTTCCTGAGACTCGTATACTCAATGCTGAGTTGACCAAGGACGAACAGGGGCGCGGTTTACGCTTGGAAAGATGAGCGGCTTGCACCTTCCACCTCTTCCAAAGTTCGTTCTGCAGCCGCGTGGTGAAAAGTTTTCACGAGTCTGGATGTTCTTTCCACTTACAGCCATCCGGGGGGTAGCCACTGTCAGGGAAAGCGTTTCCTCTTTGACTACCTTATCATGGAAGGAGCTGTCAGCTTCCAGTACGGTGGAATAGTACCTTCCATGATAGGTAAAGGAATAATACACTTGTTGAACACTGACAAGAAGGAGTGGAGATTTGAGCAGGGAAGGCGGGCATAGACAAGACGGATGATTGTTGGAAGGTCGCTCGTGATACCGTTTTGAGGCTGCGTTTGTTCTTGTACGGTTTCCGTACAACGCTTAGAATTCATTCAACCTACATGGCCAACTTAACTCCACTCAACCCAACTAAACTAAAATCAATTCGAGACCCCCAAGGCCAGTTGCAACTCAGCTCTGGATAGTTGGTGGATTAGTGACATTTCTGGGTATAAAAAAGATCGTATGAGGCCTTGTATACGAAAACCGTACCAGGGCAAACGCAGCCAGTCATATATGCTACAAGAGTTTGCTGGTCTCATAACTGTTGACTCTGGAAGTTACAACCGGGTCACAGCTGACGTTTGGTCACTGTCTTGTCTCATGACTCTGAAAAGTGTTGGTAACTATTGTGTTCACGTAAATTGTAGAGTCATGACCTAACATAATCCACCTAGAAACCACGCTCTACATAGTAGTTACGAGCATAGACACTTGGAAAATGTAGTGACTTGAGGCCCGGTTTGCACTCCCTTGGACGTGAAGCTAATGTTTAGGGGCCCTGTAACACGATCACTACTTCCTCTGTGCCGTATTTTTCTGATGACAGCTCTCCAGAGGTATTTCAGTAACTCGCTTCTCTCAAAATTTCCGTCTCATGTATAGATAGGTCTTATCCTCGTCAATGCGCAACTAGAGCCTTAACTACACTTAGACTCGAATATCACAGCAAAAGAATGCCATCAACTCACCCTACTGAAGAGTTTGCTTACACATACCTACGTACCAATATAAAGATTCTCAGACAAACCACTTAACGATAACTACATGACAACGCATGTGTAGAGTTCAAAGCCAAGGAAGTGAAGAGGTTTAGCGAGTGTCCCAACGTAAATAGACTTCCACTTACACGTATTTTCTGTCAGACGCCCGTATGACATGAAGGGCTTTACTTCCTCAAATGTCAGCGAGGCTTCGGTAGACCTTGTCCTGACATTTATACTCTATAATTGTCCAAGTGCCGCTTGATATGACCAAAAGCAGAGCGTCTTGGCCGATTGTGCATTACATCAAGCAAGTCGACAATACCTACCTACTGACCGATGCTAAGATGTTGCTCAGCCAGGCAACAAACACTCGACCAACAAGCCTTCATGTCCTCCGCCACTGCCCTGATTACATTAGGTTGACAGCATGGTAAACATTGGTGATAGGAAACTACTCATTGAAATTTTCCACTATACTTGATGGAATATCCATGCTTTATTGTCCAGTATCAAATTGTAAATAATTCCTTAAACCGACGATATGCGCGAACCGCCGTGAAAATCGGCCGAGGAGCAAGTAGACTCTAAGTACGTCAGGAGTGTACAGTGATGTCGTACCTACCGCCGGCCGTTTGACCAACACTCGATGTTCAGCAGGGGTGTTCTTTCCATCGCACTTACCTCGCACTTACCTCGGCTCCAAACTGTGTATAGTGTAGTCTAAACATCTCAACGTTGAGTATAGAACAATACTTGCGACTGAACCTGCTAGTAGATACGTACCTCTGCACTCAAACATACGGTACCCTCACTAGGTAGTGTATACTATGTTGCCCAAGACTTTAAGGTAACTTAACTGGTACTCAACGCGACCTGTGGTACTACCGATCACGGGTGGCCAGTCGGTCATGGCCACGGCCCTATTTCCATCACCTGGTCAAAGTCAACCTTTAGCCAGTCACAACTAGTGTACAATTTCATTTGCAGGCAGGTTAGAGCTAAGTACCCAGTCTGCTAGCCCTCCCAATTCTGACCGACTGACCAGTCTCTCAAGGTCTCGTTAGGTCTTCTCCCACAGTTTCTCCCACCATCCCGTCCCTTTCCTTCATTTGCCATGTGACAATTTCTTCACCACCCCGGACCACACACCTTGTAGTTCCCCGATCACATATCTTGGCAGCAGCAGCCCGGGACCGTGTCGGTGGGTTCGAGGTTGGCAAATTGAGCAGACAGGCGGCATGGGCGTGGGTAGGTAAGCGGGAATGTTTCCGCTTTCCATGCATATGCCTTTTAGGAGACTAAGGGGACAAAAATGTCTCAGTCGTCTTGTGAGTGGATGTGACGGCGGCGGCGGCACGCGAGTGGAATGGGAATGAATAGGAATGACCAGTCACTTTGACCACGAACACTAGTCTTCTTGCTAGTGTAGTCTGATCCGTGGCCTTGGATTTGGATTTGCTAGGCAAGCCACCATAAGGTAAGGATTACGGTAGGTAACAGCGTATGTAGTGTACTGCGTATGTACTGTGTAATAGTAAGACAAACGGAGGTTATGAAATTATCAAACGGTACATTTTTAGGTACGTATATGATCTCCGTGTCGATAAGGTGTGCGGCGTCGCCGAGGCGACCGGGATCTGCTCTGGTTTAATTTTCTCTTTAATTTTTTTTTTTTTTTTTTTTTTTTTTTTGGTTTTTTTTTCCTTCTCCCCAAGTCACCTCCCCCACCCGTGCCCGACCAACGACGATGAACATGGATGAGTTAGATGACGGGATGTCACGGTAGCCTTATTCAGAAGGTGTGTGGTTAAACAGAAGACGGGATGTAACCGAGGTTTACCAGGCTGTTGGGCCCGTATTGCGTGACTGAACGAAAAGATTGATCATTTACACGATTTTAGTAAGCATGTCAGTTCGCTCAGCCAGCCTTTGCATCTTTCAAGGCTTTCGGTCTTTTATTTCGGTCATCGGGACTGCGGAAAGATCTTCTTGATGCTGTCGATGAGTTTTGATAGGTTGATCTGCTTGTCTCAGCGCAGCGGTTGCGGCTCTTCGACTGATGATCATTTCGAAACAAACATCCACTGAGATGCTACGGACTGAATGTTGACGTTGGTTGAGGGTATTCCGTCAATTGCATGATGTACTATTGGTGCTAAGTTCCTTGGGAAATTCATTCAGCTCTGGAATAGTGTACGTGTGTCTGCATATCTTCGGCGACACATCCATGATTAGGGTGACACGCGTTACGCTCGTAGATGGTACCGTACACTACTACCAGGTTAACAGTGTCACTCTTTCGCGAGCCAATTCCTTCCCACGCAAACAGGATCTTGATGATCTAGGCAAGGGTAGGGATACGATACAAGCTGAGATGGAAATACGGCATGAGATTGAGTAACCGGTCTCACTCATCAGTGAATTGGATGCCTCTGAGCCGAATCATTGCACATTTGAACGGAATAGTTGGTGCAATAATCCCGCTTGCCAAGAATGACTGTCAACCACTCACCACCTCAGCGGGAGTACACTAAAGTAGTGTAATGTCAGCAACATGAACCATCTGCAATCGGCATGTGGCAGTAGCCGAGGGACAGATGTGCAGGGAGTTATGCAGTTGGGTGGACATGATAGTAGAGCCTCAGGTTCCATTGCTTTTTCTGTCCCAGCCAGAGCAGAAGCAGATCCATTTTCAGCTCCAATGGCATGATATAAGACTTGTAGTTCCGATACGTACCTGTACAAGCAACTTTGCCGTCGTATACACTGTGGGGCCAAGAAGAGCACATGGCCTCCGCCGAGCACTCATCTCATTTTGTGCAAGTGCTGACTGCAGGTACATAAGGTCCAGGCCGGGCCGGTTATACATGTAGTGTACGCTATAATGTACAGTCCTGCTGAACCGGTTGGCGGAAGCTGGATCTTGGGACACGGGCGGACTGCGGATCCGGGGATTGGATCGCAGATCTACGCAGTTCATCCGTCAGCCACCCGCGCTTGTTTTGTCCAGAAGGGTAAGGTGTTTGATCAGCATGGCCGTGAATGCAGTTAATTGTGAGTGTCAGTGGATGATGAAATTGCCAAATGAGAACCGCAAGGTTCGTCGTGGTCTGGCACTTGTCTTGAGACCGATGCCACCTATAGTCCGAACTTGCCCGGCGTTCAGTAGATGCAGTCGGCACTACAAGGGACAGCAGGGCGTAGGAGACTGAAAGTCAAGAAGCCAGCTGCCTGTCAGCCTCGCGACAGTCGGCAATGGAGTGGAAAACCAGCCGGGCGGTGGGAGGCAGTTGTTTGAGGTACTGTACTGAGGCGCGCGGTTGCAGCGGTTTTTGCAGCTTCGGATTGTTGGTTGGCTGCCCATGATCTGACCTGGAATGGAGTCAACCGAGCTCGATTACGGTGTGTTGAGGGAGTCGTGAGGATGCGTGAAGGGTTGGCGGTTGGGAGACGAGATTTTGCATGTTCCATAGCAAATCATTTGGCCTTCCGAGATTGACATTGTAAGCTGACTCGACCTTTCCTCAATGATGCAGTGTCGAAAAGAGTAACCGGCGATCGAGGAGCGGCAGGCAGCAAAAGTAGAGGTCAGGTCGGTGATGGCATTGTTGCTTGTCCCTTCCTATTCAAGAAGCCATCGCCGGTACTTGTCCGAAGGCACTGCTCATGGTGAGTCTGCCGGGAGGGCCCGCGATCGTACCTGCCTATTTTTTGTGGCTGCGTTGTCGTATTGGATCGTGTCGATGCAGGAATTGAGGAAATCGCTAGCCGCGCTCTTTCTGGCCGATGACATCGGTTGATAGGCTCTTCACTCACTTACGTGTCGGCCATTGATATTCGGCGACTATTTTGGTCAAGGGCGTTCAAAAAGTCGTCGGGCATGGCGAAGCCGAATGATGCCGGCGTGAATCAAGAGGCGTTTCTTACAGCGGAAGCGGCCCTCCGATGCGTACGCGTTGGAGCAGAAAGAGGAGGGGGGCCTGAGGATCACGAAATTCCGCGTGTGATCAAGTGAGAACGCGAATGTGGTGTGCCACGCAGTGAATGATGCGAGGGCTCGCCCGGCGTTCTACGGTGCTGTTGCGGCGCAGGGGAACGACTTCCGCCCCAGGTCCCCGGATATACTGCGTACACTACACTACGCGCATCCATCGTCATAGGATCTCTCTGCTTTGTGAGCTTACGTTACAACGTGCCATCGCATCGTCTTCTCTTTTTTCTCGGGCTCCTTCGCTCTGCAACCTCTCCATGTTCGTAAGCTCGATGCTTGATTGGCTGATTGCCAACATCCTTGGCCTCAACGCCGACTGGTAAAGGGCTCATCCAATGCCAGGGCATCAGATTGGCAGGGGTCCATTTTGAGGTTGCTGCCGTCCTAGGGTCAAAGTATGGTTGCCAGAAATTGTTCGAAATGCGTAAGCCCTCATCCATTGAAATTTCTCAAGGTGGCTGTTGTGAGTGTCATTCGGTGACTGCCTAAGATCCGAGGCGGCCGTAAAAAGGGTCCTTGGAGCGAGGTGGCTGCGATATGTCGCCGATATAGCCGTAGAAGTCGCCGATTTGAGGACGCCCCAGGGCGTCAACATGACTGTCACGGTGTCCCGGTGCCGTGGTCCAGGAAGTGAGTAGTCTATAGAGGTGCCGAAAGTTGACAGCTATGTATCTCTCCGGCTCGCTTTTGTGTCCTGTTGTTACGAACAAACAATCTACTGACTCCTCTCCGCCCCGGGAGAATGGAAACATTCTCCACGACCTGGGTAGCTCCGTTTTCTCTGCTGCGCGCCGTCAGCCATCTCCACCTGATCAAAGTACACCTCTGCCGGCATGTAATTTGTTCGCACGGTACCACCGCCATGCAATATTCAGGGTATTGAATGTGAGAGAAGCAGCCATCTTTCGTATGGAAATAAAGTTATTGCCACTACAAAAGTTCACCGCGCTAACCTTTCAAATGCCGGCAGAGGTGCACATCGGAGGGAGAGGTAGCATGTGTACCTCTACCGTGACCCGACATTTGGTGGCTTGCAAGGTGTGTACTATGGTGATATGGGTAAGTTTAACCCGTGGAGGTAGGCACCGTAACGTACACTTACATGCGACCAAGTCCCGCTTCAGCCTGCGACGGCGTGCCAAACGCCGCTTTATCTGCCAGAGGCCTGGTCGAGATCTCGGCCGGCCCTTTTTCCTCCTTGTGTTTTCTTTCTGTGGGTACGCAAAGCAGCCTTGCGGAATCACGATGGGGCCCATCGACTGGTGAAAGATATGTACTGGGCATCGTGTATCTTCCCCCCCCCGGTCTGGTCCGCCTCGGGATCCAGTGGTCAAGGGTCCAAAAGCCAAGTTCCCGTTCCGACTAAACGAAACGAACTCCTCTGGGCTCCGTTCGTGTAAAATACGTGTACCGCGACCCCGTAGCTGCACGCCTCATACGTACTGCTGCCCACCGTACACTAATAATCTAGATCGCATTGTTGGAAGTGGATGGTTGGGCTGAACTACCTACCTACTTTCTGCAGCCATCCGCTCGAGGTAGTACACAGCTTTGTAGTCGTTGTTATTATTGATGTTGTTGCTGTAGCCGCCGCCCTGGTCCTCCCCATCGCCCCCCGTTTCCAGTCATCTTTGCTAGCTCTTCTGATCTTTTGATGCTGGTACGAAGATACGTTGAATCGAGGATCGCGATTGGTGGTATGCGTGCGCTTTCCATCCGGGGGTGTGGTAAAGTGCGTGGCGGCGCTCTTGTAACTTTGGCGATCTTTGGCTATGTGATACAGTTGCGTGGGAAACTGAGAAGTTGGCCGAGGGGTTTGGGGGATCGTGTTACGTCGGCTATCTGGTGCACATCGACATGCCCAATGCGACCGCCCGCCCGCCTGTCAGGAAGAGGATGGGCGGAGATGGGAGGGGGGGGGGGGGGGGGTTTCTAGCGTGGTGCGTTATGTGAATGTGCGATGTCTTGCAGTAGTGGACGGATACCAGTCTGGACCTGACTAGGGGCGCGTGTCAAATGGAAGCCGGGCAACTGTCGTCCATGTAGCTGTACATGGACGTTTTGCGTTCTGCAAACCAGCTGTCTTTTTAGCGTCTCTTGCTGCTAATGTCGAATTGCCGACACTGTTTTTGGCAGCGCAGTACTTCGCTTTTTACACTGCCATCCAACGGGCATGACACGCACACGATTCGGATGAAATGTCAACAAAGCAAACCTACTTATCTCGCACCGCGCGGTCAAGGGTTTACCGCCATTAAGCTGGCACGAAAAAATGGTGAAAACCCCAAGTGCCAAGTTTGAAGGTGTATGTACACCTATATTAGTTCATGGTATACTACACACCATCCTTCAGCTAGGAGGAGTGTATTTGTCGGAATAATCAACACCGACCCAACAGACTGGGTCAGCTAAGGCCCTTGTCCGACCACCCATAAGCCCCTGAGCCCATGCTGCCCCATCATTGGATCGTGGCATCAGGGGGTGTAGTGTAGGGAACTAAATTCTCTCGTGCTGATCGATGGTGAATAATGCTTTTTCCCGTCCCACCGAGTTCCCACCGCGCTCACGAGGTAATCGGGGGAGATCCCCTTCGTTCGCTAGCTGAAAGACCAGGTACGAGCCCTGTATCGCCGGCTTTGATGATAAAAAGAGATGGTGAAAAAAAAATGGGTAGTGTGGGAAGGAAGTGCTGCCAATCAGCCGCGAGGGGCTGTTAGTCCCAACTCTTTTCTTATTTCTATTGAACTTGCAACAACGTACTTTCCATAACAAATATGTATAAAAATAAATCATCGACGGGGGGTATTGCCTAATAGCGCCATACCCGCTAATTCGAGCTATGTACAACCTGCTCGGAGGAATGCCATGTCAAAGTAAACTGGCGTTGATGCTGGTCTGGTAACTTGGGGTTGAACCCAGGCGAGCTAGCTGTACGGGTTGGTGTTTTGGCTGTCCTGATCCACAGAACTCGGCGTCCAGCTAAGCTTCCACTCTCCTATGTTTGGCCTTAACCCAGTGGTACGTTTCCCCAATAGCTCCATCCACCCAACCGCCGTGTCTCCTGTCTCCCACCCTACCGAATATGGGAGAAATGTGTCAAGGAACACCATACTCTCGGGTCTCTGGATGAGACATGCCTTCGATCATGTAAAGCCTGCGCCCCCCCGCATCCGTCATAGGTCATCACACAAAGTTCCTCATCCCTTCTCGCCCAAACTATCCCAACCATACATCAAGCTCGACACGGAGCTAGAGATTCATGGGTCATTCCATCACGACCTCGAAAAGAGAAGTCAAGATAAGACAAGATTTCCCCAGGCATTCTCCGCAGTCCGCCTCGCGAGAACCGTAGTATGCGCCCACATCATCCGAACCGTAAAATCTCCAATGACCTAGTGCAAAAGCAAGAAACCGCCCTATCCCTTGTTTTTTTTTTCTTTTGAACGCCGGACCGAGTTGGGGAGAAACATGCCTTGATACGTAAGCCACACCAATTATACACACAACGTCCAACCAACTCCGGGTCTTGGGACCAAAAGCAACTTCCCAACTCCTTGCGCTGGAGCACGAGACACTTGAAAAAGAAAAACCCAACACAGCATGACAATTGGTAACGCCTGGTATCCAGAAGAGATAGCAATGCTTTCCAAGAAGAAAAAGCCATGTCGAGCCAAAATGTTCGCCTTCCAATGACCGGATTGGACAGAACGTGGATCACAAGTCATGGCCTTCAGCGGCGCTGTGAATCAGGGGCGACACTGTCGTCCCCGGATGACTCCGTTGGTTCGTAGACGTTCAAGCACTCCGTCAGGACTATTCCCAAGGTTAGCAAGGATATTCCACTTTTGGAGTGTCTCGGCAGCAGGTGTAACTTACTTTCAATGATTTGTTCCTCCCAGACGCCATATTGGTAGTCGACGAGACCATGGCGCTCAATTGAGTCGCACAATCTGATAAGCTCCTTCCCCATCTTTTTCAATCCTTCTGCCGAGATTACGCTCTGTGAGCGCTGTGGTTGTTGGCCAGATTCCGTCATTTCTTTCTGGCGCTGGAGCATACCCAACCAAGCATGATTGAAGTCGTTCCACAGCTTGATTCTGTCACCATGTAAACTCTGGTCGTCTGAGGTCAGTCCTACCAGGAATTTTACCGTTAGTATGCCTACCATTGCCTAAAACCGGATACGCTGGAAGCGTCTCAGCTTACCTAGGTCTGCCACATGCGACAGGAGCCAGTCCGAGACACGGATGAGCGAGTCACTAGCCGTGGCCAGGACACCGTTCTGTATGTTTTGGAATATCTCCTTCAATGCTGTTTGATAAGACGCGTAAGCGTGATCCAGGGTTCCTCCCGCCGGATAATCGTCCTCCATCCTGACGTCGGAGGTTGAGGTAGCCTGCGCATTCATACCTCCCATACCAGCCATCCCACCAGACGAATAACCTGGCATGCTAGATTGCCCATATACCTGTGCGCTGGAAGGTCCTGTTTGCGCCTGCAAAGCAGTTGCTGCCGCCGTGTTTGTTGGCTCGCTGGAGAAATACGGGGCAGTGACATCAGTTGCCATCATTTGCAGTGTGGCCGGTTGCCGTTGAGGGAACTGCTGGCTTGTGTCGTATACCGCGGTGCTCTGTGGCCCGGCGCCTTGGGGTACGTTATACATCAGAGCATTTGGATTGTAGGTGCTAGCGAAGCCTTGAGTTTGTCGTGTATCAGGCTGGCCATAGTCAGACGGTCCGTGGTGATAACTCATCGCGCCCTGAGGCATGGCGGTCGTGGGAAATCCCGCCGCCGATGGCTCTTGATAATAACCGCTGTAGCCAGCCGAACCGCTCATTCCTCTGGCCGCTCCTGATGGCGAAGATGTAAGAGGTGCAGCCCGGTACCTATCCCCCTGCGCGCCAGCAAAAGACCTCCGCTGCTGCGTCGAGTCATGCAGCGACTGGTGGTAGCGCGGGTTGGGCGCGCCATGAATAGGCGGCTCGTTCTGCCTCCTCTGGCCCCTGTTGTCCTCCATCATGCCGAAAGCTCGTGTGGTTCAATCGAGCGCTTTGGACGGCGTGTTTACCAGGTATCCAGCACACAGTGAAGCCGGGTCGTTTTAGGGGAGAGGTGAGGTGGTCGGCGCTTCGGCCACACAATAGTCGGCTTCGATAGGGCTTCGACGCCAAAGGTCCAGGCTTGGTTTTCGAGTTGGCTTGTCGAAGCGGACCGAAAATTACCAGGCGCAACAATTTTCGCAATCGCTCGGGGGCTGATAGATAGTGATCCCGGAGGTGTCGGAGGGATGTAACAGGATCTAAAACCCTCTGACACGAGTTTCTTGTGCTACCGGAGGATCAGCCCGAGGTTGGCCGTGGGGGCAGTCTCGATAGCAGCGTCTTTTAATCGCGCTACTTTCTTTAAAGGGCCGAGTGAACTTTGCCCAAAGACAACGGCGGATGCGAAAAAGGCTTGAAAAGAGGATTTCGCTGTTGAATATGTTCTTCAGCGAGTGGCACCTCCCCGCAGGAAAGACTCGAGATTAGCGCTAAGGAGCGCGTGTGAACTCTGCGTACCGAAAGTGGGGATGGCGAATTCGGTCACGGTGAAGAGTTCTTGACGAATAGGCTTGTGAACTGTGCTGGTGAGAAGAGTGGGCAAAGTGGGTGGCTTGTCAGTTGAGCCAGAGATCAACTGGGAAGATCCCAGATGCCTTGGTGTCGAGGCGTTGGCCACGCCTCTGTCTGCGTTCAAACTGCCGCACCACAATCCTCAAAAAGACCGCGTCGAAGGAGCAGGCGGGCTGCAGGGTGATCCCGTACACCTGCCTCTCTGAGAGCTGAGACCTTTTCTTCGATGTTAGCCCGGTTACGGTTACAAGTGGTAAAGCAAAACGGACGTTGTGAGGCGGTCGGGCCTGGACCGTGACAGAACGTGCTTTCTCGGCCGTCCAAGAAGGATAGGAGCAGGCGGAAGCAGGGCTCTCGTTGACTGTGACAGCGCGCCGAGCGTGGGTTAGGTCTTGCTCGTACGAGACGCTAAGGAGCTTAACCACTGGCGACGGGCGAGACAGCTCGAGCGAGTTTGGGAAGTGGGACTCGATACGAAAAGACCGAGCACCACTTTGTTTTGACAGCTTTGACGGTTGAAGCACGGCACGGCCGGAGCTGATTTGCGGCCTGGTCGGGTTGAAATTTTCGAACGCAAACTCTTGAGAGACAAAGATGTCTCATGAGACTGCCGGGGTGGTGACAGAAAACTGTGCCAAAGTCAGGAACAGTTGATGTTGGTTGACTGAGGACAGATTGACGCTGTCCTGAAGGTGATGGCCGAGATTGATATACTGCCTGGCTACAGTTCAAGGCAGAGAAATTTCTTATTAGTCGTGGTGAGTGAGTGAAGAGGAGAAGAAGCAGGAAAGTGATAAAAGCTCCACCTCAATCGAGGGCTTTGATGGTAGGTGGCCGGGCTACGTACCTGGGGGTGTCTGCGCCAGAGGTGGATGTTCGGCTCTTGGCTAAGACATACGGGAAAGAGAGAAACGGAAGTAAGGTAAAATACTGGTAGTGTGATGTCGGGAGACGGCTGCAACCCCAGGTAGGGCCTGGGTAGGGCCCAGCTTTCTCAGGTAGGGCGGGGAGATCTGCAACAACCCCAAAGAGGCTTTAAAGAGGACCCTTTCGCGCCCAGTGCCGGATGAGTCTCCGACAGGGGAATCGTGATTGTGGATCTATGAAGACGGGAGGCTGAACCCCAGGCTGATGGTACGTGGCGTTCGACGAGCTCCGACCGTCTACGAGGAAAAGGGTACGTAGCCCTGAGGCCTGGTCTGCTGGTTTGGAAACGTGACGTCGCGATGGGTGTGCTAGGGGTCTTCCACTTGCTGGGGTGCGTTGAGGCCTTGGTGGATGCCCAGCGGTGCCGCTGAACGTAGTCACGTATCATTAGTCGTGAGGGTATTAGCCGTCGAGCTGATTTCTCCAGTTCCCACCCATGCTCGACCACACGGCCACTTGGATACCTGATATCAACGCTGGCGATAGCCTTGACGATGACGGCGAAGCCGCGGAGAGGGAGAGTAAAACTCCAGCAGAGCCGATTTACACTCCCGCCTGACAATCCTTCAACCGAGGATATTGCCAAAGGATGATGTTGCTGATCCTAAGGGGACGCCGATAGAAATGTTGCTTGGAGAAAACCCCGGTGTTGGACTGTGAGTCGACCGCCGTATTTTCTTCTCAGCTCCTATCTCATTTTCGTTTCATCTCACACACAAGTGTCAAGGTGGTGGCTAAGAAAGTCAATCAGAGCCACTCTATGTTCTGCTTAAGACCACCAGCGCTGACAGATTCTAGCCAAAATTAATGATGATGATGGTGGTGGTGGTGTTGTATCTCGGCCTAGGGCAGGTGGGTTGCGGAAGCCCGCTTCCGTTGCTCTCGGTTCCGTTCTTTTATTTTTATTTTTCTTTTTTTCTTTTCCTTTACACGTCCTCGGCTGCCGTTTCCTTTTTTACGACACTTGACGGCTCGGAGCTTTCCTTGACTGTCGGGCATCAAAAAGGGGGCTACCACACCGTTGACGTCGTCCGAAAATCTCACCCTGGCGGGATCGTGTTCACCAGTCACCTTGAGGCGGTGTCCTATCTTCGGCGGGCAGTGGAAGCTGGGCTTGGTAAGGATTTGAAGAATAAAATGACAGATAAAGGTTGAACGTGCAAGGGCCCGGTGGAACCGGTGGCATGAAATGCTGGCCTTGGTGTACCGCCAGAGGTAAGGATGTTGTACGTGGTTGGGCAGGCCGATGAGCCTAGGGGAAGACATTGGAGCTGAGAGAGAGCCGTATCGGGTATGGTACCTCATAGCGCGAGATGAAGAAAACGGTATTGGAGAGGGCACCCAAGAAGGCCTAGCACGCAGCCAAGAGACGACTGTACGCCTTTGGTTGTTCCGGTAAAGGAAACAATGTACAACAGTGCAAGTAGAGTCTGGGAGAAGCAAAGGTCGAAGCTTGTCTGAGGTTGGAAGACAAAATCATCACGTCCAGTTGACCGAGACATTAGGCAGGTTCGTTTGAGGTACATGGCAGGTACGCAGTGTCTGTTAAGGCCTGCAATGCGCCTGCCCAACGGGAAAACCCAAGCTCTGGACGCCAGTGCCAGATCCGGAAGAAGACAGCGTGGAATACTGTTCAAACGGCAGGATCAAGTCCGGTAAGCAGCCAGGTCGATCGCTGATCACGCTGAACATGGATGCCCTGTATCGTATTCTGAGTGTCTGACCCAGTTGTGCCTAGCATAAACGGAGCCAAGTACACTACTTAATCGGCATGCTGGACAACCACTGCATTGCTGTGGTTGCAGTACCAGAAAATCTGATCTGTCCATACATGACCCTGCCTAGTGTGCTAGTTAAGGTGTTATGTAAGGTAGGGTTGTGGTGCGGAATTGGTGCGTGGCAGCTGTCACTTTGATCGGAATTAACCAGACGAACCATTTTGTCGGCGAGCTGGGTGTTCCAGGCCACCGACAAGCTTCACGACACGAAGAGGGATCCAGGAAAGACAGGGAACCTACGCGTTCACCTGTACCTGTAAGGTACTCTGTGATTTGCATGAAACTTTGGCTACCCGGCCATCCCGTCACAGCTTCCCAGCACTGCGTATTGCCATGTAATGATCAAACGAACTGATCACCCTTGAGCGGTTCGAGCCGTTTGGCTCGACCTGATTCGTTCGTAGATGACCCTCATCCTGCCAATTGGTTTCTGGTTCGGCGACCTGACTCCGTGTGGTACCCGTTGTCCGTTATCCGCCGCCATCGTCGTTGCTTCCGGGTTGTGCCCGGACAGAAAAAGGTACATCCAGGTATTGAGGACCTATCCCCAGGTACACTAGTCATGCGTAGCGTGAACTAACGAACGGACGCCTCTAGCACCATGCATCTCCTGCGTCACGCCTTGCAGGAGATGACTGCCATTGCCTGCCTATTACTCTGCGGCCAGTAAGGTCGGGCTGGTGGCGCGAGCTCGTGTGCAGGTACGCGGGGGGCCTTGTGCTTTCGTTAATGTTCGCTCCCGCAACACTCCGCCTTCTGTTTGATTCTTGAGACAACCTCATCATGTCCCTTGGTACCTTGTTGGCCATGCTTGGTTGGGCGTCATGCTACAGGTTCCCGGGCCCCAGGTTGGAACCAGAAAGAATGGTTATGTTTCAGTCTCAGCCGCCACTAATCTGAAAAAGCAATTTGTTTTGGGCTGACAAGGATCGCGAATCAGAAACAGCACAATGGCTCCGGGTGAAAGGTCGATGCCGTTCGGGCCTCATTATTGGCCATCAACGCTACTCCAAAGTGAAGAGGGAGGACAAGGCCCAAGGACTTCCGATTCGGCTCCAGCTGGTCGGCAACCGCCCGGCACTCACCGAGGCAGCAGGAGCACAGAAGAAACCAAGGGGCGGCGGCGGCGGCGGCGGCGGTGGTAGTGGTGGTGGTGGTGGTGATGGCGATGGTGGTAACTGGAAATATGGACCAATATCGATTTCATGGAGTTAACAGTGATGGCCATTCTGCCATCCAATACTCCAGCCCACGGTACTTCCGAGCCTGACTTCTCCCACCAACAGCCAATCCTGTGGTAAACGACCTTCGATCCAGACGGGACTCGCCCAGATCCCGCTCGCTCTGTAGCCACCGACCCCACTGACTGACCGAACGTTTGGATAGGAAAATTTGTTCCATGACGAGCTTTGATGCCAGGCATGCTTACCTGCAGCAGCAGCAGCAGCAACGGCATCGAAGGCGGCGTCAACGAAACGGCAGTACAGATGATGGACTACCTCTATGATTTTTGGTATGGGATGATCCTCCGGCGGCCTGGAAGCTCCACTTTGGCGGTGGACAGCGGTGGACAGCGGTGGACAGCTTTGGGTGTATCTGGGGCACCAGAGAGGGCAGGCAGAGAGGCAGGTAGGAAGAGGTACCGGTACCGCGCTTGCTGCAGGCTGGTAGCATGTACTGCTGGCGTATCTGTTTTCACAAAAGGATTCCTGCGCGTCAAGATGGGGGATCCATGTCGTCGAGTTAAGAGTATCGCCAGCCAGGGGGGGGGCCGTCCGCTCGGCGTCCACTCGCGTCGAAGAATGTCGTCAAACGGAGGCCCAGCTCTGCCGGACCACTGCGAGGTTAATCCCTGTCAAAAACTTGTGGTGGGTTGCGTTCTCGTTGCGTTGCTCTGGAGAAGGCTCCTTCGTTCGACCGCTCCAGAATTCGACGCAAGGGCAAATCAGACGCGGTGCCTGTCGTTTTCCTTGGGACCGTCCCCTGGGGCCTGTCTGGGACCGCTAGCCGGAAAGCTCGTACCGGTACCTCGATGCTAGCTGAGGTTTGCGTGCTAGGTCCATCGAGCTTGCGCACATGGCGGCGGGGTTACGGCGCTGCGCCCATGGATTAGCCGGACAACTGCACTGTACTGTTACCTGTTTTCTCGTTAGTTTTTGTACGGACCGTGCACTGTATACGCCAAACTCGAAGTCCGTCGACGTGGTGTCGCGATCAGGTCGATCGTCTTTGCAACATGATTGGCTGAAAGCTCAAAAGCCGAGCGATTTACTCCTACAGTATCGCCCCCTGATTTTGCATACAATCTTGCGCCAGAAAACTTATGCACTAAATGGCGGATATGCAGTTTCTAAAATGGCGCTAGGCCTAAATCGGCAGCCAGCTAGAGGCCGAAACGCTAAAATCTGACCCTGTACTGCAGATTTCTCTACCCAGGACGGAGCCTATAAGTGCATATGCACCAAGAATTGTCCGAAATCAGTATGCAGTATGCAGTTATGCAGTTGTAGCTGGAGATTAATTCTGCCAGCCAGATCTTATGCAGTAACTAGCGTATATGCAGTTCCTAGAGGATGCATTTGCAGGGGTTTCTACTGTATTTTCATTCGATCCTTTCACTTTCTTCCCTGCCTCATCAAGCTCAGTACATAAGAGATTTCCGTTGCTGCCCTGGCGTCGATGACCTCGAATCCGCAATCAATGACACGGACATTTGAGATTTTTTGAATCTTGGTCTTCAGAGGTCCATCTCCTTGTTTTTCCATTGCTGGTCGCCGACGCGTACATTCTGCAACAGGCCTGCAATTCAACTTTCGTCTGCTGCGCAATTGGCTTCGTCGTGTCTTGGGTGCATGCGAAGAGATTTAAGGGGTCGGTCAGGTTCGGCCGTTGAGAAACGAAGCTCCGGCGCACAGCTTTGACTTCATGTGAAATCGGATCCATTGGCTGCCCGGGCTTGTTCACCTACACACCTCTACTATAATTTACCTGCCCATAGGTCGGCCTATATCGCCGCCCGAAATTATGTCGACTTCATCGCCGCCGCCGAGTCCTGCCAGAAGCCATCCGATCTGGCAACCCCGGACATCCTCTGCTGGTCGCGATGTTGTGTTTCGCTCCGGCTTCGCTTGATTTGTTATGTTTCCGTTGTTCCCGATGTCTTCTTCGCCGTTGCTGTCGGTGGACTCGAAATGCCTAGCTTTTTGCCTCTGTGGATGACAGTGGGCTTAGTTATCTTGCGCTACGGTCACGCGCTCAATGTGGTCGAATTTCCATCACAACGCCAGCTGACTGCTCTCTGTCTCGGTCCTAGATCCTAATTGCCTATACGGCTTGCAGCGTGCGTTGCTGGCATGCCAACAAGCCTGTGTGAATGACAACCTACACTAATCCTCAAAACACACCCAGGTGCGCAGATCCCGGATCGCAACTCTTCGGAGAAAGTAAGCGAATCTCAGAATCTCTCTTTTGTGTTGCCAAATTACACGGGGGGAAGCTCCGGTTGGCAACTACTCGACAGCTCAACCGGGCTCTACACGTCTAGAGAACTGAGTTTTGCTGAACACGGATTCGAATTTGGATTCACAGGCATGGCAAACGAAATACCGTTCCGATTGTGCTTATGGTACAAGTTACGGTACGAACGCGATTACCAATCGAACAGAGCGGCCAAATTCAAACCATGAACCGATCAACTTCTCCAATTTCACGACTGTTTGGAAATCCGGACAGTTACGCGTATCTGCTACGCCGATGACCTCTATGAGAAGGCATCACCAAATTCCCTCCGTTCCTCTTCACTGAGTCAATTTCTTTGGCAATCATGATGTTTCCGCTCACATCAACTAGTTGTGACCTGTCGCAATCGAGCCACTACGTTTCCACTCACAAGACGAATTGTTGGCCAGTACCTAGTTATCAGCTCGAACGATAAATAATCCGTCTATGCAGTAGTGTAGGTCCATCGTCGTGACAGCATCCACTTACGTTTCCTTGGGTCTTTACAATGGTCATGCACTCCATTTAGCAGCAGTTCAAGCGCTTACACTCGCATAATCTAAAGATATACCGAGTAACACCAGCCCATCGATGCATCGTTTTGTTTTCCCCCTCCCGGGACCAAGGCTAATAAGTCCACTATCTGACTGACATGAATCCACGATGCCCACAAAGTCGCAGCAAAATACTTGGCCGCACGGGCCATCCTGGCCTCGAGGCCAAGATCGGACATAAGTTCACTTGAAGGAACGAAGTAAAAATCTCGATTCCTAAGTCTCATATCAAGGTGCTAGTCACTCTCGAGCATCAAGAGCATCGAACGGCAACTCCAAATCCAAATTCCAGCTGCATTCCGAATACGGGAGATAGGTAGCGAACGCGCTCACAGGACCAGACTTTATCCTACAGGACAGCGGCCATTCGCATGACGGATCACGAAGCAGCCCTCATTTCCTCCGTTGCCCAAGCCTTGGGTTACGCGTCTAAACTCCTAAACGCATTTTGGCCTTCTAAACAGTATCATGAATGACTCCAGCGATTCGTGATTTCTTCGCACTTTTCATCCTTTACCTTGCGGCGTAGCGGGGTCACCAAAGACTTGGTGTATATAAGTTACGTCTTTGGTGTGGGTAGCGTAGAGGTAGATTTATCAGCCCACACAATGGGTTGATCAGGATTGCCGTTGAGCATGTCATCAAAACACACTGAAGCGATCCTGACTATTGCATGTATAAGGAGAAACAACAACTCCTGGGTTGTCTGCTCAATGACAGTTAGACCAGAAACAAACTGTCCACTTAAAATGTCATTGGATAAGATCGAACCCCTAAAATGTCACATCCGACTTCGAAACAGCTTATAGAAGCATGTTCGTCCATGACAACAACTCAATAGACCACCACAGCCAAGTGTGTGTGTGTGTGTCTGTGGACCGGTTGTTGACGACTTCATCCTCAACCTCTCCCGTCATATCGCAGAAATATTGTGCAGCTTCCATAAAACCATCGTTATGTAACGACACCATCAAGTAGCGATTTCAGACGAAACGGGACACGCAGAAGACTCATCAGCTGCCAAAAGTCTCCCAACGCGTTCATCTGGCATCAATTACATGCACTAATCTGGGCGATTTTGCCATGATTATCCAGGTCAAAGGGAGCATACTCTCGACCACCTCATACTACATAGGCCACTTATATACGAATGCGAACGTGAGCACTGGTATGGACCTCTGACTACCTATTCCGACCTCATTACGGGTCAAGCATAATGAGAATGGTGGGACTTGGGACAATAATAAAGCATGACATGGTTACCAAACACCATCTTATAGGATCCTTACAGTCCCCAGGGCCCTCGGGCGAGGATGCTTCACACGGATTGCACTCTGCCGCCACGGGAACGGAATCTGAAGTTCAGAAAACGCGGTTCTGACAGCGCGGCTAACCCACATGTGCCTTGCAGTGCGTATCGTTCCCACCTAATCTGGGAGATGGGAGTTGTTCGGCATGCCTCTTACACATTGGATGTAACCCCCGGATGGTTCATGACTTGTAGTCGCACGAATCAGTCAACCCATCATAAACAAAATCCATGTCAAAGTTGCAGTGATGCCGGTCGAAGAGGCAAGGCGTCGAATCGGTTTGCATACCTTTTTTCCATAGCAAAAGAACCATTGTAACCCCCCAGCACACACATAAATTGTATTATACACACACAACAAGGTCGTGCCGGCCCCCCTGACACGGTTTGTTGAACCCTTCCTGTACAAGTACACGCGTGCTTGCTTGAGATCGACCTGTGCTGAACTTGCTAGGCCCAGGCGAGGCCCCAAGCGAGACGGACACTCACATGCATATCCACATATAGAGTACGCACATGAGAGAAAATGCTTCCCAGAAAGAAAGGAGCTGTGATGCTGCGCTGGTGGGGAAAAAAAGCATCGCTCCATTTGACTGGTCGTTCGTGCATAAACCGAAACTGAGGCAGCATATTCACAATGCCCCCCCAAAAACGAAACCCATCCAATAATACCACAAACTGTAGCAGGAGGACGATTATCTCTTGACCCAGGTAGGCATCTTTCTGGCCTTGACATGGCCGTGCTTCTTTCTTTCGACCTTCCTCGGGTCGCGTGTGACACATCCGGCTACAGTAAGAGAAAGAGGGACTCGTTAGCAAAGGTGCATCATCCCTACCTACCATACCGCAAAAGCCCGTATGGTGAGGCACAGTCATAGAAAGCCAAGACGTGTGTGATGTAGTGCGAAGCTTACCCCTTCTTAATGCCGGCTTCAGAGCAGGCTCATGAGCCAGCAAGGCCTTTGCGATAGCCAGCGTAATGGCCTCCGCCTGACCCGTGGTACCACCACCCTCCACCTTGACCCAGACGTTGTACTTGTCAATGCGATTTGTTGCGCGCAAAGCCCAAACAGCGCTCTCGCGATCGTGAACCCGCCCAAAGTACTCAGCCAAGGTCTTGCCGTTGACCAGAACCTCGCCGGTACCCTCCACCACGAAGGCCCGAGCACTCGAGGCCTTTCTCTTGCCGACTCCACAAGCGCGGCCAAACTGGTCGATCGGGATCGGTTTGGCGACATTTGTAAAGGGTTGTACATTGCGCCTGAAGCTGTCGAGCACATCCTTGATCTCTTGTGGCTTAAGGTCGGGGTGGATCGAGTTGAGCCGTTTGACGAGAGCCAGACACCTTGCGAACTCGGATGCCTTAACCTGCTCGCCGAGCTCTTTCCTGATATCCTCGAGCGTCTTCCAGGCCACGCGCTCGACGGCGGTCGCGGGGATGACAGGAAGGTCTTCGTACTCCTCCATGAGCTTTTCTAGGGAAAGATAGTTGTCGTAGAACCGGGGCGTCCGGGTGAAGTACGAGGGCGACACGGGGACGGCGCGGGCATAGGGATGGAGTTTGAAGTTGTCTATGCTGAGCGCAGGGGCGGCGATGAATTGGCCATCTACGTTCGGGTTGTGGTCGTGGGCGTGGGTGGACAGGGACCTCGAGCTGGAAGACGCAAGGGAGCTGATGCGCAAAGCGCCGAATTGCTGGTCAAGCGACTGCCATTGCGCCGACTTGGAACAGCCCTGGCGGGAGCTCCGAAGAGCATTGGTAATGCTGTGTCTAAGAGATGCCATCATTCATAAGCGGCTGTTCACCTCTCGTACATTATCGGGCCCCGAGGGCTCTGAATCGGGAGAGGAGTAAGATCGGGGGTCGAGGTGTGGTCGGCTCGCCGATGGGTATCTTTGGGGCTGTCGGGGGCGAGGGCAGGTCCAGCGCGGGCAGTGGTCAATCAGGTCCGGACTCCGGGTCCCGTCTGCGCGTCGTGGGCCGTCCCGCGGCGGAACAATTCGCAAGAGGATTTTTCCACCCGGCAAGCGGAAATGGGAGCTCGGACCACCCACGCATGCTTCCCACTCAAGCACCGCACTCACCTCGCCTGGGCTCCCGTCACCTTCCCCTCCACGCACGCGGCCCCGACAGGGGGACCACCTGCATTCCCCCCGGCAGGCAGATAAGACAAAACGCCCGGCAATCAAGCGGCACCTTGTTTCCTGGGCTGGAAGCCTGGCAGCCAACAAGGCATGGCACGAGGGAACGAACTGAAAGCACAGACAGCGGAACTGTGAATCACTGGCCGAAAGCAGACCATCTCAATGGAATCCCTATCTGGGCAGCCTTCCACAGCCGCCAACGGGCCGGCGGGCGGTTAAGGTACTGAGCTCTCTCATGCATTCTGTCGAGTTCCAGCGCTGCGAGGTTCTGATGTGAGGGGAAGCAACCCAGCTGCCAGAACGGGATGCAGGCTCAGCAGCACAGGCAATTTCCCCGCCACTGCCGTGGCCGCACGCATGCCCCACCACAGATAAAATTTCCTCTGTGTCTTCCCATCCACATCATCCATCGCACAGATCCCTTTTTATTTGCTTCCCCGTCACCCCTCTTCTTCCCAAACCCATCTTTCCTCATCATTGATCAAATCATCAAAGATGGCCTTCGGAAAGCTTTACACCTACGAGGTAAGATGAGCAGAATTCACAGATTGCGGCGCTCGTCTTGACACGGCGGGCGCCTGCGGACGAGCGCCGACATTCTAACAGATTCTGCTCACTAGGCGAACCCCCGCTCCACGGCCATCTTGGCTGTCGCGAAGGCCAACAACCTCGACCTCGAGGTTGTCAAGGTCGACCTCGAGGCTGCCATCGAGGAGTACAAGAAGGTCAACCCTCTCGGCAAGGTCCCCACCTTCGTCGGTGCCGACGGCTACACTCTCTTCGAGTGCATCGCCATCGCCATCTATGGTACGTTTGACAGAATATATTGGGCGTCAAGCAAGACTGCCCTGCCCCGCACTTTGAAACACGCATCAACTTTACGCCAGATACCCTCTGATGTGCTAGCGCACAACCCCTTGCCCCTTCGACCTGATGACCGAGACATTTTTCAAACAGTTATCCCTATCTGAAATACGGTGTTGACTTGGTTCTAACTTCTGATTGTCGAACTCACTCTTTGTCCTCTTGCAATTGCCACGTATCTTGATTGGACAGTCATGGCTAACGGACAACAGTCGCTTCCCAGAACGAGAAGACCACTCTCCTCGGCAAGACCAAGCAGGAGTAAGTTTATGGTCGAGCATTCAAACCTGTGCAATCACCTGCTAACGCGTGGTTCAGCTATGCCTCCATCCTGAAGTGGCTCTCTTTCTTCAACACCGAGGTCCTTCCCCCCCTTGCTGGCTGGTACCGCCCTCTCCTTGGCAAGGCTCCCTACAACAAGAAGGCTGTTGAGGACGCTCAGGCTACTGCCCTCAAGGCCATCTCTGTCGCTGAGGCCCACCTCAAGAACAACACCTTCCTTGTTGGCGAGCGCATCACCCTTGCCGATCTCTTCGCCACTGGCATCATTGCCCGCGGCTTCGAGTTCTTCTTCGACAAGGCCTGGCGCGAGCAGTACCCCAACGTCACCCGTTGGTACACCACTGTCTACAACCAGCCCATCTACTCGGCCGTTGCTCCTCCCTTCGCTCTCCTTGATACCCCCAAGTTGACCAACGTCGCCCCCAAGAAGGCTGAGGCCCCTAAGCCCGCCGCCGCCCCCAAGCCCGCTGCTGCTCCCGCCGCTGCCGCTGAGGAGCCCGCTGAGGCCCCCAAGCCCAAGCACCCCCTTGAGGCCCTTCCCCGTGCCTCTTTCCCCCTCGACGAGTGGAAGCGCCAGTACTCCAACGTTGACACCCCCGAGGCCCTCAAGTGGTTCTGGGAGAACGTTCCCTTCACTGAGTACTCCATCTGGAAGGTCAACTACAAGTACAACGATGAGCTCACCCTCACCTTCATGTCTAACAACTTGATTGGTGGCTTCAACAACCGTCTTGAGGCTTCTCGCAAGTACCTCTTCGGCTGCGCCTCCGTCTATGGCACCAACAACGACTCCGTCATCCAGGGTGCCTTCGTCATCCGTGGCGATGACTGGAAGCCCGTCTTCGACGTCGCTCCCGATTATGAGAGCTACGAGTTCACCAAGCTCGACCCCCAGAACCCTGAGGATCGCGCTTTCGTCGAGGCTGAGTGGTCCTGGGACAAGCCCGCCCTTGTCAACGGCAAGGAGTACCCCCACGCCTCCGGCAAGGTCTTCAAATAAACGATACCACGAACAAATTAATTTAAGGAAGGAGGTTATACCAACAGGAGTTTACTAGACTACGGGATTTTATGATGACTTGATGAACAAATATTGATGGGTTTCAAAGGACAAGCCGTTTTTGCCCCTTTTTCTCATGAGCTCATGTGTATCGCTCGCTGATGGATAGTCGTCGCCGATGAATGAGTCTTCAGTAGATGCTAGTAACCTGTCGAAATCTCCGATAAAAGTTGTTTTCATGGCCAATTGCTATTCCCTTCCTGTAAATGCATAATCAAGTGTGGTGAACCATGCATGTTCCGTGAACGTTATCCTCATTTCAAAGTCGTATTCGCTGTAACCAGTCTAGTCTACCGGGTATGACCATGTCCAACCGAAAACTCCCATCCCATTATTCCCTATGCTCTATCCTGAACATTCCTATTGAGCCGCAGCTGGAGTAGAAGCGAGAGCAACGCCCTCGTCTCCAGTTACAGCCCCGCTGCTATCCTCGCTGATGTTGAATGGCTTCACCCTGATATAAGTGCTGATGTCCGCCTGGTGGGCTAGACTGTTAAGATATTCACGCACCATCGGCAGCACCTCCGGCTTCTCGTTCAAATCTCCCACAAATTCCGGCAGCGTAATGCAGTTATACGGCTCGCTCCTCGCCTTTTCCGCGCTGTCGTCAATCAGCACCGTATTGCCCTGATTCCACGGCTCTCCCTCCGGGTTTGACGCCGCCACCGTCGGATCGTCCCACAGCATCGTCAACCGCTTGTAGCACTGCACCCGCGTGTTAAAGTCTGCCTGCGTCAGCCCGAACTTGTCCCGTGCCCAGATCGCCACCACTTTGCCCAACTGCTCCTCCGTCAACAGCTGCTGGCACATCATCTCCACGTTCTGCGGCCGGGCGCTGGACCAGATCACCACCTTGAACGTGTCGATGCAGTATTTCAAAAAGTCCCTGGCAAAGGGCCGCTCGACGAATTTGGAGGGCCGCTTGCGGCTGGGCCGGTGCAAGAGCGTGCCGTTCAGGTCGATCACCACCAGAATCGGACGCGGCTGGGGGACCTCTCGAGCGAGGAAGGAGGCCCGTATCTTGTAGGCATGGCTGGGCTCGGGGACACCGCCTGAGGCGCGCGAGGGAGGCACGATGGGGTCCCGGGCTTCTCGCGGGGTGCCTCCTTGCGGCGGGATGAAAGAGGATGATGCGGGCATCATGGTGGTGCGTTGGGCTTGGGCTAAGGCTTCGCGGGCTGCTGCTTCGCGGGCTTTGGCCTTCTTGTTGAGCTTGGGGGGATGAGAGGGTCTGGAGGTGGGTGGTATTTGCTGTTGCTGGCTATGGTGGTTATTGATGTTATTGTTGCTGTTGTTGTACTGTCCTCGTCTTCCTCGTGGGTAAGGTCCAGGACTCCTGGGGCGATAAAAGTCTGGGTGTGTGTTGTTGGTGTAGGTGTTGTTGTTGCTATTGCTGTATTGTCTTGCTCGTGAGTAGGGTCCGGGACTCCTGGAGCGATAGTAATCAGCGGGCTGAGGAACTTGGGGCCTGTTGTTGGTGTTGGTGTGGTAACTTCGTGTTCCTGCTCCCGAGTAGAACGGCGGCAGAGGTTGTTGCCAATGCGGTATGGTCATTCCTGGGGCGAAGGCGTTGAGATGAGTAGGAGGGATGAAGCCATAGCCGATATTTGGGGGCGGCGCATATCCCATGCCATATTGCTCTTGCTGAGGAAAGTGCTGTTGGTTTTGGTATTGATATTGTTGTTGTTGTTGCTGCTGCTGAACAAACTCCCCCTGCCATATTGGCGGGTAACCCGGCTGGTAGCCGAAGTGATTGGGATCCATTTGGTCCACTGTTTGCCGTGTTTGTGCCTTAAGATTGTCACGAGGCTGTTGCTGTTGTTGTTGTGGTTTGTTTTGGTGTTGTTGACCCAACCTTTGACACCTCCTTTGCTCCTGCTTTTTGTTCTCGTTGTTGCTGTCCCTTTGAACCTTTCCAGCGGAACCCACCCTGTCCTGTTCTCCAGCCGCCTGGTGAGACGGTTCTGAGGGGCCTGGTAATGTCTCGTTTGATTGAGCGGTTCTCTTCTTGGCCAGGTGTTGTACGCCAAACGCAGAGCACAGTTTATCCGCCTCAAAACTGTCTTCAGCCGTATGAATGCACCTCGTCGAAGGTTGGCTGGCCAAGAACGGTTTAAATGTGTTGAAATGTTTATTGCGAGGCAAGTAAGGCAATAATGGTGTAGTTGGCAATTGTTGCCAGTCCTTTGTGAGACGAAAGCGACCTGGTGTGTTGAATATTCGTAATTTGTTCATCATCATCCTTGAGATGAAAAGACGAGGCCGGTGCAAAAGGTGCCGCTACAGACCACTTGGCTCCAAGGTGCTTGGAGTCGACCCGGCTCGCATTCAGCTGTAGGCCACAGCTGTTGAGGAAGATGTGCGGTAATAAATATCCAATAAGCCGTGTTCCTGGACCTCCAAACAACTCAGTGAGATGTTGCACTTTTCTAAGCAGTGATGTTGTACGCCCCGTTTGCGGCCTCTGTGCTTTTCAGGGGACGGGCAAAATATCGGTTAGGACTTTAGCCAATCATACTGCGAGAAAACCCGTTAAAGCGGGGCAATGTAGCTTTACTCGCAGGCGGCAGAACTTTCAACGCCAATTCGACAACCAACTACACATATCCATGTGACTTCACTCATACCTTTTCTTCACCCGCTGCTGTTTGTTCCCTCGTAAAAGGGTGACCATCTCAAATTAAACGCACAACGAACTTGTCACCGCAACCAGAGACAGGATAGAACTTATAAAGGACGAAATTTTGGTCCCGAAAAGAGCAAGAAATGCCGGCGGTTAAGCGAAAAGCTCCCCCTACGCTGGGTGCTAAGCTCCAGAGACGTGTTCGCCCGAGATTTGAAGCCGAGCCCGACTCGGATGTGGAGGGGAGCTCAGATGAGGCCCCTAGTGAGGAAGAAGGCGGCGGCTTTCACACAGGCAGCGACACCGAGGAGGAGGAGGATGAAGAGATTGAGGAGGGCAGTGAACCAGGCAGTGACGATGTAAGGGAATTTTTTTGTTTTCTTCAAAACGGCAAAAAAGAAAACAATACTATCATTTCAAAAACTACGACTAATGCCCAATAACAGGATTCCGACGCACCCTCAGAGCACAGCGGCGCCGGCATCGACGCCTCGCAGCTCTCATTCGGTGCTCTCGCCCGAGCCCAAGCCTCTCTCGGCGCACTGAAGAAAAAGAAGAAGAAGAAGGGCGGCGATGAGGACGGCTCCGATGACGAAGAGAAAGAAGAGCCCAACTGGAAGACCGAGATCGAAAAGGGCATGAAGGCCAAAGTCGAGAAGCACCACCGCACCAACAAGCACGCGCCCGTCGAGATGACCTCCAAAAAACCCGTCTCTCGGCGTCGCGACTTTCTCGCCAACGAGCCCGCCAAGCCCAAGTCCCGGGACCCACGGTTCGCGCCCCCCGGCATCGGCGGCAGCTCCGGTAAAAGCGTAGTAGACGAGATCAAGGCGCGCAAAGCCTACTCGTTCCTGGACGATTACCAGGAGGACGAGATGAAGCAGCTGCGGATGGCGATCAAGAAGACGAAAGATGCCAACGAAAAGGAAGAGCTGCAGCGGGCGCTCCTGTCGATGGAGAGCAAGAAGAAGGCGCGCGCCCGCAAGGATAAGGAGCGCGAGCTGTTGTCGGAGCACAAGAAGAAGGAGAAGGAGCTTATCAAGCAGGGTAAGACGCCTTTCTACTTGAAGAAGTCAGAGCAGAAGAAGCAGCTGCTTGTGGAACAGTTCGCGAGCATGAAGAAGAGCCAGGTCGATAAGGCGATTGAGCGCAAGAGGAAGAAGATTGCAGGCAAGGAGAAGAAGGCGTTGCCGTTGGCGAGACGGACGGCTGAGGATAGGTAAAGGAAAGGGTGGATTATTGCTTGCATGAAACACTGGGGGTATACTATAAATGGCTGCATTGGAGACATACCTAGGTGTCACGGACTGATACATGAAGAAGGCGCGCAAAAGGTTGGGATGGTAATATTCACATCTATTGTACAAATCACCCCACAGGTGCTGGCTATGCTTTTTGAAGTGATCTTACTCGGTAGATTCCCTATACCAGAGAACTTTTGGCCGAGATGTACGGGAAAGAAGAAAGAATCACTTGCAGAAACTCTGCTTTAACCCTCCAGATCTATCCCTACCAGCCCGACTCCCAGCCGCTGTAGTATCATACATACACCTCACTCACTTCTTCCCGAAATACTCCGTCTTCTCCAAAGCCTTCTCAAACATCTCCCTACACTTGACTCTACTCCCCAGCCTCGCGCACAACAAAAACGCCCCACTGAGCTTCCTGTGCAAGCTATACGTCTCCTCCGGCGGCGGCGCCAGCCTCTCATGAATCATGACGGGGATCTGCGCCTTGACCCTCTCCGTAATCGTCTGATTTCTGAAATCATACACCTCCGGCGCACTCTGCAGGAACGGCTCAGCCAGTGTAACGACACTAGTGATATGCGCCTCCAGCATCGCTCTACTCTCATGACCCGTCAGATACCCCAGCTCTTCAGAAAGGGACTTGACCGCAGGGCGATCACCCCGCGACGCCGCTTCGAGCAGGCGGATATACAGCGAGATGAACTCCTCCGGGTATTCTCGGCTAGCGCCAAAGTCGAGCAGCTCCAGCCGTTGTTTTTCGGGGTTGTACAAGAAGTTGGTCCAGTTGGGATCCGTCTGCATAAACTTGAACTCGGTGATCTCGCGCAGACAGAGGCGCAAGATCTGGGTGCCGATCCAGTCCTTTTGTTCCTGCGTGAAGTCCTTGACGCGCGTGACGCCCACGCCGTCCATCCACTCCATGGTAAGGACTTGCTTGCCTGAGGCTTCCGAGTAGATGTGCGGGACGGCGAAGACGGCGTCTTCTTGCCCACCCGCGGCAAGGAGTTCCCTGTAACGGGCGCCGCACTCGGCTTCCCTTAAGTAATCGCATTCCCACGCCAGCTCGGTGCGCGCATTGTCGATGGTCTTGTTCAGATACAGGCCTTTGGGGAGAAGCTTGGTGGCGGCCAGCAGGATGGCGAGGTTGTCGAGGTCCGAGTTGATGGAGTCAGCGACGCCGGGGAATTGGATCTTGACGGCGACGCGGGCGCCGTTGGACTTGAGCGTGGCGCGGTGGACTTGGCCAATGGAGGCGGCCGCGATGGGTTTCTCTTCGAACTCGTCGAACAGCGAGCGCCAGTCGGCGCCCAGGTTGGAGACCAAAACCCGGTCGCGCTGCCAGGCCGGCATGTAGTCGGCTCGATCTTGAACGCGCTGGAAGACCTCCTGGATCGTGGGTGGGAGCATCTTGGAGTCTTGAATCGACATCATCTGCCCCAGCTTGAGGGCGGCGCCACGCATCCGAGAAAGACGGGAGACCAGCCGCTCGACGTTTCCCGGGCTGAGCATGACGGACCCGGAGCTGCCGCCGCCGATGGCTCGGCTGAACCCTTCGCCGATAGCGCCGGCCATCATTCCGGCGGCGAGACCGCCGTAGTTCCATAGTCTGCTGATGCGGGAGGCTGGGACCTTGGACTCGCGGAGTTCGTGGCGGGTAGAGGCTGGGAGAGGCGAGCCTGTGAGCTCGGCAACCAAGTCTGCGTCCTCTTGCGAAAGCTTAGTTGCCTTTGTCTCTTGTGGTGTGGGCTTTACGGCAGCCGGGGGAGGAGCTGGCGTGCTCGCCGGGGCTTCCGCGACCGGAGTCGGCTTCTCTTCCGGCTTGGGCTGTCTGGCCTCTTCAACGACCGTCTGGACTGATTCCTGTTCGACTGGTGGCTGAGTGACCTGGACTTCCTCCTCCACCTCAACCTCAACCTCGGTCGTCTTAAGTTCCGGGACAACGGCAGGAACCGGCTCAGAGGTGATCTCAACTGCGGGAACGGTAGGCTCCTTGCTCAACTCCTCCAAAATCTTGGAACCCTTGTTCGTCATGAAGATGCTGCTGAGATCGACGCCAGCCTCTTCACTATTGGCCCCGTCCTTCAGGGCTGCCAGGTCGGCTGGTATCCCCGGTATTGTGCTCTTGACGCCGATTCTTGGTGGTCTGGGGAAGGGACTGGGCTGAGGAAGGGGTTTCCGGTCTGCCCATGGTGCAGGAGTGAACGGTTTGGATGTCGACTTTGGAGGCTCTGGCGTAGCGGCAGACACCCTGGCCTCGGATGCCAGTGGTGATGGGGGAATCTTGGGCTCGGTAGCAACCGACGCTGAAGGCTGCTCAACCGGCACCTCTTCCTTCACCTGAATGACCTCTTGAACCCGCGCCCCCTGTTCTGGTTGCTGACTCTGACTCTGAGCCACATCCTGCTGTCTCTGCTCCTGCTGTTGCGACTCCGGTGTCTGTTGTTGGTAATGTTGCTGCTGCTGCTGCTGCTGCTGCTGTTGCTTGCTTCTCCCAAGATCCTTGGCAAGGTTGGCAATACTACTCGTCTTGGTGTATCTGTCGATCTGGCTGGCCCGGAGCGCAACGTGTTTGCCGGCAACGGAGCGGGAGGCATTAGCCACGGCAGCCAGGTCTACTAGCAAGTCGGCAAATCTCATGTTGTGGATAGAATGTGACAAGACCAATGACGTAGTTGAAAAGAATAACGAAAGGAAAGGATGAGTGAGTTATTAGGCGGCGTATTATGGGACGAAAGGTTTCACTCTCAATCGCATCCTCTCATCCAATCCAGTGGAGCTACTTAGTGTAGGTCGAGGCAATGACGGAGTGAGGGCTGAGTATGGAGAAATAAAGAGATTGGTAGTGGATGTGAAGTGCCGGAGATAGCGGACGATGGGCGCTAAAGTGACTTGTAGTGACGAGCGAGGAAGACCGAAGGGACGCCGTTGCCGAAGTCGAGCCGCAAATTTTTGGAATCGGCTCGGCATCGTGAGAACGGTCCAGGGGCCCCTGCTAGCGTGGTAGCGTCCCGGAAACTTGGTAATGTAACCCTTACCCATTCTCATGTTCCTCTCATCTTTCATCGTCCACTCATCGCTGACAACTTGGGGCGTATACATTATGTACAATGTAAACTTGCAACTTGGAATACGGCCGACCTGGTTTCAGTCCCAAGCATTCTGCTAGCCAATCCAATTCGTCCTAGAACGACACACCGCCTAACCGGCTCAGTAGCCGTCATGTTTCTTCCAAGTACCTCTACCTAATTTCAAACTTCTATGTGTGACGCTCATGTCGTCTGGGTATCATATTGCTTAAGAGAACTCGCTCCTCCGTTTATCATTTTATCCGTCTATCCTTCCCCGCTCCCCCTTCATTTGTTTACTTCATCGGATTCCGCAAACCAGATGTCTTGACTTTAGGCGTAGCAGCCCTTGGTGTCCTTGTAATCTCACCACTAAACGGCGAGCTGGGAGTCCGACCTCCGGAGCTACCAATCTTGCTCCATAACCTTTGGGCAGCCGGCGTCAACCCACCCGAAACCCGGGGACTGCTCGGGAATTTCGGTACAGGCGTACGCTCCACCTTTCCAGTCAGTCCTAGCTTGGCTGACGTTCTCTTTGATTGTGATATCCGCTCCACCATACGATGATGTAGCGCCTCCTTCTTTCTTTGCTCCTGAAGGTGAAACGGGTTTGGCGTTGCATCACCTGGACCAAGATCGATCACCGGAAGTGGTGTTTTGGACGTTTTCCGCGGAGGCTCTGGTTCTTCGTCATCGACAAATGCATAGCCGTTGATCCGTGGTGTCTCACCACCTCCTCCGACGCTGGTCTCTGTATCGCAAGCACGTCGATTGCCCGCAATCGCATTCCTAACATCCGAGAGTGACGGTGATGTAGCCCTTGATCGGTTATCTTCGGGAGGCACATAGGGTTGCGGGACTCTGGTGTTTTCGTAAATGATCCTCTTCGGCTCGGCTCGTGATTCTCTCTGCGCTCGCTCGGCCGGCGTCTCCAACACCCCGTCCACACCTTCGGGTGCGAACATCAGTTCGTTGTTTGGTTTTGCTTTCCAATGTGCCGGGGCAGCTGGTCGGTCGTCATCCTTGCTCTTGATCGCTAGACGGTCCTTCTTGAAACCATCATCCACCAGACTCTTCCCGCTCTCGAGCAACTTCTGTTCCACCTCCCGTTGCTTGAGTTGTTGCTTGGAAGGTAGCTTGTTTCCGTTCCACAGCCAAGCGTACTTTTCTGCCCTCTTCTGGTTTTGCTTATCCAACAACTTGTAGAAACTCTCATTGTCCTCGCTAGTGTATTTCGCCTGGAATGCGCCTAGGCTCATTTTCGTGTCCAGTTTGCTCTTTTCCTGCACTGTCCTCGAGGATACCGTACTCATCGGGGTGTCGCCGGCGTAGCCCATGGGCGTTTCTGAACCGGAGCCGGAGGGAGCAGGATGGAACGAGCGGCTGGGTGCTTGATGTCGTCCGGGAGTCATTGCTTGCTGCAGACGCTGGGTGGCGCTTGAAATCCATTCTGGGTCCTTTGATTCCAGCGCATCCAAATACTCTCGCTGTGATTCTGCTTGTTGTAGGCCCGGAAAGAAGTCGCGGGCAATAATGTGAGACAGAGCGTCGGTATAGCTGTCTTCATCGATGACTCTCTTTGGCCGTTTGATCTTTTTCGCAGGGGGTGGCGGTGGCATCAACTCGGTGTCGGTCCTCTTGCGGACAAGCGCCGTCGACGTCGGCGGTTCAGAAGCCATGGTGAAGCGGCTGAAATCGATAGACTGAAGGTACGAATTTGCCGACAAAGCGTCGGCCAGTTCGTGTCCCAGGCAGAGAGGGTGGTTGTACCTATGAAATGTCGTTCGTTGTCGTGGATAGAGCGAGGTGTCGGTCGCGTGGTGTAATTATTTATTTGGAGGCGACCATCATTCTTGGCTTGTGCTTTGAAGGCACTGTTAGGTTGCCAAGACACACCGACGCACCCGTCCTGATACAGTGTAGTACTGTCAGAATCACACAGTGTAAAAAGGGCTCCACTAGGTATGGACTACTATAGAGGCCCCACTGAGTTTACTACTATTTATAATAAGTTCACCTTCCCATGTCATCGCGAACTCCAAGGGAACTCTCCCTTCTTTTTTTCTACTTTAAAGTTCTTTCGAGCTACTGTTTCCGGTTAAGGATTTCGTCCCTTGCCTAGAGACAAAAGCTATGGCAATTATGTCCCGTGAGATTCCTGTTGTTCTCGGGCAAGGATACTTCATTGTTGGGACCAGTGCCTCATCGTTGGTAGGTAGTTGACATGTCTGGAACATGTGCAATATTCGACTTTCCTTCTGGGAGTATGGAAAGATGCTGATAACACAATGCCATGGCACTGTCGCCACTCTTGTTTACCTCGTCTTTCCGTCATGAAGGATGGTTGAGTTCTTACCTGCATTCCACGGCATCATTTGATGCAAGGTTGTAATGTGGATGAGGTCGAACAGACGGGCATGTGAGACTCGTCGCATATCATCGTCTAGGATGATATAATGAAAGATTTCAGAAGGCTATCAAGATATCAAACCTTGAAGAATTATGCTTATCTATGTATAACAGCACGTGGGATGGTCTTCTTGACTTTTCGGATGCCTAGCAGTTCGGGCTGGCTTGATCATGCTGATGGTCTTGGTTTGTTTGATTGGCTGAGTCCGGGGTTTGTTGTGGTGGTTGCCGACCCAATTATGGACGACTGACCCAACCGTCCGTCCGTGAGCCTGCCTTGTGGTCTTGATCACGACAAAAGAAGGAGGATTTCAGAGTCTTCCTCCTGTTTGTTGCCCGGTTTATGCACCTTCAAGCACACTATCTCATTGGTAGGGTGTGATGTAAACTGCAGTCAACCACAGATACACTCTCGACATACATTAGTACTCCTACTGTCATCTCCTCGGCTCTTTGAGCACTCTTCTTGTTGTCTTTTGTCCCATAACGAGGCAGTCGGCACGCCGAGGATCGCAGACCTTGACGTAGATTCGGTGTCACGAACCCGACACTTGAACTCATTCTGATACTTCCCATACTAACAGAGACAAGCCGGCTGCAAGAGAGAACATTGAAGGGAAACTAGGACATTGCCCGAGGTAAGAAAGACTACTTTTTTACTGAAAAGTGCTTTTCGTCCCCAAACACCTTCACGTTTCGTTTTGTTAGCCACAACAATCATCTTTGCGACATCGCGGTCCTGCCATTTTGCTTTATTTTCTTGTCGTCTTGTTGAGGTGATCTTGTTTCCCACCCTCTTCAGCCTCTTATGCGCGCGTGCCAACGCCCACCTCAGCGAGACATTCCAATATAGCCTTAACATCTGACCCCTGCCCCCAACCGGCCAACCTCATCTTGTTGGTGACAAACCGTTACACCAAATGCTTGCATTCATCTTCTTTCGCTTGGCTGAGCCTCTGTGCAGAGTTTTTATAGCTATATCTCTCTGGATCTTTTCCCAACTCTACGGCTTATCCGAAGCAATCCGCGACGCCATCATGAGCCGAGTACTATTCGATCACAGGGCCATGGCTGTCTCCCCCAAATCGCTCGGCTCAAAAGGCAAGAACTTTGGCTGGACCGAGAAGGTCAAAGAAAAGCAGGTCGAGCAATCCGAAGAGGAAGATGCCGCAGACAAGATGTGCCCCATCTGCCACGAAGAGATCGGCTCTCCCAGCTCAGAAGGCATCGTCGAGACGTGGAGTGTTCTGCCGTGCGGGCACATGTTTGGGAGCCACTGCATCAAGCACTACATCCAGATGGTGGCCTACGATCGACCGCAATGCCCCATCTGCCGATACTCGCTCGTCCACGGCTGTGGACACCCCGTCCTGCCCGCCTTGTTCGTCACTAAGAGCCATAACGCCGCCAAGGTCAACAAACAGACGATCCGAGCCCTCGCCATGACATCCATGCAATACAACTGCGCATATTGCACGGAGATGATTGCTAGGGGGCATGGGGTAGTGGCCGCGAGGCACGGCAGAAAACGACAAGGCACATCGAAATGGAAGCTTCTGTTGAAGAAGATCTTCAGTTCACCACTAGCGATAGACAGGTGGAGCGATCTAGAGTCGGAGTACGTGATTGCTCAATTTCCAGAGACTCGATTTGACAGTTGGAATGGCGCGAGGGATTATGAGTGGGAGTGGTGGTGGAATAGGCAGGCGTTGACAGCCTTGGCTTCCTCCACAAGTAAAACGGCCTGAACCAGTCTTGGTTAGGGGTGTGGAATATGGTCTGCTGCAGAGGGAAAGAGGTGAAAGCTCGGATGTTCATTCAGGGACCTCATACCTTGTCCTGGGATGGAGTACTAATTACTATCCTTTCATCTTTCTTTATACACAGGCGTCGGTATCGGGGTGAACTTGTCTTGTCTTCCGTTGAGATGGAAGTGGCCCGTTAGTTGGACGATTCAGATGAGAGTGGCTGGGGGATTGTACATTTAAAGAGTCAACTTGAAGACAGTGGTGACGTTGTCGCGGGCAGGTACACTACAAATGGAGCCTTGGTTGGATTTTACAGGGGTACTATAGGCGGCAACCCCGCGCTAGCAGGGCTCGGGGTGATCAACCTAGTGTACCTAGTGGAAATCCCCACCTTCCGTCAATGGCGGCATCTTAACATACACAGTACTACTTCAACCTTTTCTTCATCAATTTACGCGACGCGCCCGAATCTTTGCTGCTTAGGTAGTTTAGTCCTTTGTCAACTATTATCATTCGAACGTATTCTTATTGAGTCGGATTGACTTGGTTACCGAGTATCGGAGAGATGCGCTTCAAGACAGAACTCAGAAATATCCGCACCTTTTCGAGTGAGTCCCTGTCCCAGGTCGCCTGCCTCCATACCTATCGTTTCACTTCACCACATACTCGCCTGGTTCTGACTTATATTTCCCCATTCCAGAACTTGTAGCCGCCCTCAACACTTTAGAAAAGATCGCCTGGGTCCGGCTCGATGATGATACAGTTAGGTTTACCGTCATCCCCGACACCGGGTCGCAGGTGTGGGCCTCCCTCTCCGTCGACACCATCTTCGACAGCTACCACATCCAATCCAACGAAGCCAACAACACCATCAACCTGGAGCTTCCCCTCGGCCCGCTTCAACGAGCTCTCAAATCCGCCCTCAACAGCAACCATGCTAGCTTGCGTCTCACCAAGCGCGACGGCATCCCCATGCTCTCCATGACCATCCACACAATGACCAAGGACGCTCCATCCGCCGCCCGTCGAAACAAGAATAACAGCAACAACAACAATAACGACGACGACCGAATGGGCAGCTACAACGACGACAACGACCCTTTCGCCGAAAACTCCCTCTACCCACAAGAATCCCTCGAACTAACCATGAAACGCGAGCGCGAAAAGGTCATCACGCAAGACATCCCCGTGCGGGTCCTGCACCCTGACACAGTCGAGACCATTATGCAGCCGAAAGTGCGGGAGCCAGACGTGCACATCATGTTTCCCCCCTTGTTACAGCTCAAGGCGATTTCGGACCGGTTCACCAAGCTGGCCATCACTACAGCTGCCTCCTCTTCCTCCTCCTCTAGACGCGAAGCACAGAATCCCAAACTAGAACTCTCAGCCAACATGCACGGCTCTTTGCGTCTCCGCTTAATAGCCGATACCCTGGACATTACGAGTGTCTGGGACAGCTGTCTTGAGAATCCCGAACTGGACCCGGCGGTGCTGACGATACCGATTGAGGAGCATCCGAGCACGAAATACAGGGAAGCCGGGCCGGATAAGTGGGCGACGGTCAGGGTAGATGGGAAGGATTGGTCAAGGGTGTTGAGTGTGGGCAGGCTGGAGGCGAGCAGGGTGATTGCGTGCTTTACGCACGAGCATGCGCTCATATTGTATGTCTATGTGAGGAGGGCGGATGATGATTATCCGGGGGTGGGGGCCGGAAGGGGAGGGGATGATGGAGATGATGTTGTTACTGTGAGTTTTTTCTTTCTTTTTCTCCTTTTTTGTCTCCATCTATCTGGAATCTGGACTATGACTAACGTGTTTACCGTGATGACAGTACTATGTTTCATCTATCAACACGTAATCCTTTCAGAAAAGGTTTACTAGTTATTATTATACCCGACTGAAAGATTTAGTTTCACATGGCGTTATGGACGGGATACGGGAAGGGACACAGGCAGGCTGTATGAGGCTTGCCATCTTGGGGTTACAAGCCTGGAGTTGCAATGAAGGACAGTCGCACGATTCACTGCGTCATGCACGATGCTATGCATATAAATGGAGAACAAACGTAAGCATTCAAAAAAGAAGAAGAAAAACCAATGATCCTCAAATAGGTAAACAGAGAGTCGGGAATCACAATCATGACCAGATATTTACTTAACACATATCTTCTCGAGCTGTAGTAAATTGAGCATGCTACTACTTGCCCCTTCACATCTCATCCCCATCTCCTCGGACCTTGTCCACCACCACCAAGCTGCCCCTCCATACCAATAACCGTCCCCTTGCTATATAACCCACCTCACCACCCCTCATCTCCCGTGGTCCGTTGGTGTAATGGGTAACACACTCGGGAGTAATGCGAGAAAGCTCTTCGTGAGCTATTACCAAGTAAACTGCAAGTTACCGGTTCGACTCCGGTGCGGGCCATTTTTTTTTCTTCTTCCCTTTTTTTTTTTTTTTTCTTCTTCTTTCTTTTTTTCTTCTTCTTTCTTTTTTTCTTCTTTTTCTTTTCTTTTTTTTTTTTTTAACAAAAAAGGAAAGTTTGCCGTGGAAAATTTCTTGTTGTTTTGCCTATGTTTGTGTTGTCTCAACGAATACTCCTTCCGTTTGGAACGTATTTAAATGCGAATGACGGAGTGTCTGCGACTTTGCTCACTTGCGTTCTGATGTAAACAAAACCCCTTTCTGACCACTTAGAGGTAGTTCTACCCCTTGTTTGCCAAGACCCACCCACCATCTCGACCTCGAATTGTGATCTCGACCAAACATCATCAAACTTGTACGGGAATTAGTCAATTGCATAGCTGGAGCTGAGAGACCGAAATTGACAATACAGCTGTGGGATGTAGGCAAAGAAGTAGACAATTGGCTTTAGGAATACAGATTGCATTTCTCCATCCTCGACTTCAAAAAAAAACCGTGGAAAACCACCAACTTGCACTTATCGTCCCCCTTTCGCCATTCATTACGTACATACATACATACATACATACACTCTGCATTAGAAACAGTCCAATCCAATCTCACAAGACCCAACCTTTATACACACCGACTCATTCCCACATCCCTTAACTCATTCACACCGGGCCCCCCTACTTCTGCATAACATCCACATACCTAGCCGCCTTCCTCGGCTTCTTGGCCTCTCCCCTCTTCCTCGGTACCGCCGCCCCCAACAAATCATCAATACTACTCGTCGCGCTCAAAGGCTTACTAGTACCAGCAGGGGGCGCGCTCGTGCTCGCCGAGGCCGGGCGCTGCATCGCCGCCGGACCCATGCCAGGGGACAGCAAGCCCGCACTAGGGGGCCCGTTACTTCCACTGGGACTCAGCGGTCCAACAGCGCTAGGTGGACCAGAGCCAACGTTATTCTCCGACGCCGAAGGCATGAGCGCCGCCGGTCTAGGCGGACCAGTAGGCGGGGCGCTGGCGCGGCCGGGGGTGTTGGGCGCGCTACCGCCGCCCACGCCCATACCCATGGGAGGAGCAGGGCTGGAGGCGGATGAGCGGGGGATGCCGCCCTTGGGCGGTGGCGGCGTGGATTTCTTGGCGGCTTGGTCTTCGGGACTGGCGTTCTTGTTGATCCAGCGCTTTTGCTCGGGGTCGTAGTAGAACGAGTTCGCCTCGCCGAGCTTGGCACGGATGGGCTTGCCGGGGCTGCTTCCGGCGGCGTTGGCATCGGCGGCGGCAGCCTCCTTCTTTGCGAACCAGCTGGTGAAGCCCCAACCCTTCTTGGTGGCTTTGGCTTCTGCGGCGCGTTTGGCTGGGAGTGATGTTAGTGATACGTGGGGGTTGAAGATGCTATGTAGGTGGGACTAATGGTACTAACCTTCTTCTTCGGCGATCCGACGGACCATTTCCTCGTTCTCCCGGTCAATTTCAGCCTTGGACTTGCCGGCAGGCTTCGGCGCCGCGGGGAAATCATCGTCATCGTCATCATACATAGGGCCCTTCTTCTTCGGCTTGGGCTTTTCTTCCTCAGATTCATCGTCATCTTTCGAAGGTGGGGTGTCGGGTTCGTAAGAAGGCGGCTCATAGCTATATGGCTGGAATGAAGGGGGCTCAAAGGTGTTGACACCTTCGCCACCCTGGTTAGAGTCACCATTCTCCTTGGAGGCGCCCTCCTCCTCGTCATTGGTCGCCGGCGCCTCGTAAGGGGTGAATGACGGAGGCTCATATCCGTACGACGGCGGCTGGTAGCCAGTTGACGGGGCCGAAGGGGGTTCGTTAGAGGGCTCATCATTTGCCGAGACGTTGTTTTGTGGAGTGAAGGGTTGATAACCAGAAGTAGTAGCCGCTGGGGATGTCAAACTTTGCTGAGGCTGCATGTTATGCAGAGAGTAGGATGATTCCTGTGGCGTCGTGCCGTAAGGTGTATATGGCTGAGCAGGCGAAGATGTACGGTTGGGAGCATAGCTGCTGTGTGAATAACCCCGCTGAGAGTCCAAAGACTGACGCGGAAGCTCAACTGAACTTCTGCTGTACTCGCCTGAGGCCCGTTCCATTGATGAGCGAGGCGCATATGGAGAGTTTGTCTCATAGGGGTTATAGTTCGGAGTCGATGGTTGAGGAGCGCCTGGTGCGTAGCGTGAAGCCGTCCGTGTAGGAGGAGGAGGAGAGAACATATTAGGACCGTTCGTCACGGGAGCACTAGGCATGCCATAGCTGGGGATGGTCGCGCCAAAGGTCTCAAGATTGTTGACAGAGGGCGAGCGACTGATAGTCGGGGTTCCTCCGGCGATTCGTGCAAAGGGACCAGATTCTCCCGCAGCGTCAGGTGAGCCCTTACTGCCATCCTCGTTGTCATCTCCAGCGACAAACTTGTTGAACCGATTCCACATGGAATCAGATACCTTATTCATGCTAGGCTTCGGGATCCACGAGTTTGATTCCTCCTTGGGTGCCTGCTTCAATCGCTTCATCAAGTCATCGACATAGGCCTCAAGGATGGGATGGTAATAAGGAGAGCGCTTCGTCTGCGCGGTGATCGCAGCCGTGATAGCCTCGCAGTATTGAAGGGCCTTGTCTCTAAAGCCATACTCGGCCAGGGCGTATGCGTGCTGAAGCTTGTACGCTGCCAAGTGAGGATTGCTGACGGGCACGGTACCACCAGCAAGGCTCTGGCCGTACTCATAAACCTCGCTCAACAAAAGAGGCTCTATCTCCTTTGCGAAATGGTCCGCCTGTCGCCTATGGTCAGACCCAACAAGAACGAAGTTAGAGTTCGGGTTGTCCAAGCCACCGAAGATGGTTTGACTTCTGGCAAACAAGAAGCAAATATGAGCCGCCTCGGCTCTTCCATAGCCTGATAGCAAATTGCCCAAAAAGTTAATGGCTCTGGCATCATCAGCAGTCCTGTTGCTGAGGATCAGGGAGAGGGTTTCGCGCCACTTATCAAGACCACCCATGGCGTCCTTGGAGGGACCAGAAGAGGAATTTTTGGCCACTAGCTGAAGACCAGCACGGGCATGGGCGGGCACCAGCTCGTCCACGCTTTCTTCGTGGTTTCCAGAGAGGACATCATAAAGAGCAGCAAGCGACTCATTATTATGACCGGTGGAATTTACCTCGTTCTTCACAAATTCTTGAGCGACCCGCTTATAGAGGTCAGGGTTAAGGGCGTTGGCCAGCAGGAAGGCATGGCCCCAAAGCCGCTTATCGACCGCAGCCCACACGGCCTTCTCATTGTCGCCACTGATGAGGTGGTTGCGGATCTGCTCAACAGCGGAAGAATCAACCGAGTCGGCTTGTAGTGAAGTCGTGGCAGAATTGCCCAATCCTGATGGGTTCAGAGCATTTGTGAACTCAGGCTGACCACCAATGGTTGAAGCCTCCGGGTACAGGATTTCGCGCACAGCTTGGTTAACGGTCGGGTTTCCTTCCAACACGCCATCATGCTCGACGAAGACCCTCAGAATCTTCCAAAGCAAGAGTCTCTCTGTTGTCCGCTTGTCATCGTGAGACGGGTTGAGCTGATGAGACAGGTTATGTGGCACAGTCCTCTCCAGCATCTCAATTCCGTTTGTTAACCAGGCAATGGTCTCCTTCTTCTTCGACTTCCCCTTGAGAGGCCCAGGGAATTTGGCCAAGCGCTCCTCCATTGGCTCTATGTCCTTCATGCTCTTGACCTTGACTTCTCCTGGGCTACGAATAACCATGGGGGCCGTTTGGCCCATGCCATATCGTGGCACGTTCTTGGGGAACATTGTTACCAGAGCTCCACCAACGCCCCAGGAAATGAGAGGAACACCACGCCATCTCTGTAGGGGATCATGTTCTCTACCATCTGTCGGGGGAACGAGGTTGAAATTCTGAGTGTTACCACGCGGCCGCGAGGTAGTCGTAGAAATGGGGGGGAAAGTGGAACTGGGTTGCATAGTAATGGGAGAATACAACGCAGCCCGCGGCGAAGTCGCGTCAGTGACCGACGAAGGACGAGGGATCGGTTCAATGGGCTTTACATTTCTGTTCCCATAGAGGGCACCAGGGGATTGAGTCTGCGATCGAGGCGGTGGCGCGAATTCGTGAGATGGAGCACTAGCCGCAGGTTGATAGCTGTATGCCGCCCTCTGAGGGGACGTCACCGGCTGCACAGTTAGAGACTGCGGAGGCGGTGTCCTTCTAGAGCGGTGAGGCACAGCGCCATGTCTTGACGCCGTAGGAGAGGTCTGGTGGGATGCCGGGACTTGGTTGGGGGATACCATACCCTGCATGGGGCCTTCTTCTTCCACCTCCTGAGTCGGAGGTAGAGAAGGCACTCTCTGCAGTCGCAAGTCGTACAACGAGTTGCTGCTCCGCTTTTCCGCCAGGCCACTTTCTGCATGGCTAGAAACAAGAGGCCTGGACTCGAAATGTGCTAGCGGACTTGAGGTACGGGGTTGATGCGGCAAAACCGGTGGCAGAACCGGTGGCACCGAAGTAGTCGGAGTATAACCCGAACTCGTTGGCCGAGAAGCTGGCGGGGCGGGAGAGTAACGGCTTGCCGCAGCAGGTGGGACGGGAGTGCTGAGCTGTGACCCACTGGAAGGCGCTGGGGAATAACGACTTGAAGCCGGGGCAGGAACAGCGGGAGCAAGGCTCGTAGTGCTGGACTGTATCGAAGCGTAAGGGTTGACACGTGGCGGCGCAACCAAGTTGGGAATCTCCGCATGCTGGGTAAAGGAAGAGTTGGGAACAGATCCCATGGCAGACGGCATTCCAGGTACTGGTGGCTGCGAGGCGATAGAAGGTGGGCCAGCCGAGGGCGGTGGGCCGTATGGGCTAGACTGTGCCGGCGATGCGGTACCCATCGTATTTCGAGAAGCTGGGCGCGCCTTTGTGACTACAGGAAGCTCCTCAAAGAACTTGTCCTTCGGCTTGGCTTCACCACGAGGCGGTGGTGGCTTGACACCAGGCTGAGATGAGTGTGGGACAGAGGTGGGAGGTGGAGGAGGCAGGTGAGTAGCGCTTTTGGAAGGCGGTGGAGCGGCCGGTGCTGTCACAGGTTTGTTAAGAGTTGCCGTACTTGGGCGCTTCTTGACCTTGACTACCTCCATAGGAAGGTCGTACGGTGACTGGTAGCCGCCCTTCTTGTCGACGAAGCTTTGGGCTTTCCTCTCAATCTGTGGCGGAGGGACCGCGCCGTATCCAAATCTCCCGCTTGGAGGGGGAGCCGAGACAGGGGCGCCAAAGGGCGTAACAGACGGCGTCTGCGCAACCGTGCTGGGTGCGGCAGGGAAGTAAGGATTTGACGGCGCCGAAGTTAGGGGTGGTGCAGTCGGGGCATAGGGATTCGGAGCTCCACTCAGACTCAGGCTTGGAGTTTGGGTCTGAGGCATGTACCGGGTGGTAGGGGTTGTCGTGGTGTTGGAGCCAGCTACGCTAGGCGCTGAGGGCTGGGTTGTTTCCTCCATTGTTGGAAACTCCTCCGAATCGTCGAGAAAGCCCTCATCATCACTCCCAAAGAACGCAGCCGGGTCAATCTCCTTCTCCTTGATCTCATTCGACGCCTCTGTGGAATCATCAAGAAGCGATAGGGTGTCCTCTTCATCGTCAGCAAACAGTTCCTTCCACTTGGCCTCAACATCTTCGCCTGCTGGCTTCTGTTCCTCGTGACCTTCACCTGTGTTCAGATCTGCACTCGTTGTCTCGGGATGGTCGTGGGTTTGCGTCTCTACCGTGGCATCGGCCTCTTTCTCGGGCTGCTCTTCCACTGGTGGGAAGTTTGGCTGCACGGAGCCCATGTCCATAGCGCCCAGTACTTGCATCGTCGACTTGCGTTCAAGCGGCTGCGCCTCAAATTCAGTTTGGTTGGCGGTCCCTTGCTGAACCTGGCTGAAAAAGTCGTCCTCATCATTGGCATCCTCTCCCCCGAATAGGTCCTTTGTATCTTCCCGCTCGGCTGTCGTGTTTCCATCATGTGCGATCAGGGGAACACCTTCTTCGAAACGGGCATCAAGCGCCTCAGTGGCCTTAGCACCTAGGTCACCACCCATGTACTGCTGAGAATTGTTTTCGTCTTGGGCGCCAAACTGATCAAATCCATCGTTCTGTGCCTCAGACAGCTGGCTGAAGAACCCATCATCGCCCTGTACCTCCACCTCATCGCCATCACCAAGGAAATTCGCAACCTGGGGCTGGACGATTGGTAACTGCTCCAAATGAGGCTCGGTTTGAGGTTGCTGCTGCTGCTCCACCTGCTGTACCTGCTGATTTTCTTGCTGCTCTTCCTGCTGTTGCTCGTGTTGTTCCAAGGGAGGAACAGGAGGAAAAGAGTTGGTTCGGTCGCTCGATGGCAAGAACTTGAAGGGATCCGTATCCGCTCGCGCGAGGTTCCACTCAGGATCGCCGTCATCGCTCCAGCTCGGCTCATGGGGGATGGTTCGAGTGAAGGACATAGTACTCGTGTGCTTGGAAGCGACATCCGATGGTTCGTCTGTATCGGCCTTTTCAGTAGTAGTAGCATCGGTAGGCTCAGCATGTTCGGGGGCGAGGTCGGCGGTGGCAGCGTCTTCTGGGACGGCCTTGGTAGTTTGCGCGTTCTCTGCGATGGGCTCGGGAGCTTCGTCCGTCTGAGTGGGAGCTGGCTCGACAGCTTCAGCATCTTCTGTAGTTACATGTGCGGTCTCTGTCTGTTCGGTAGCGGTATCGGGGGTGTTGGTATCAGTTTCACTGGTTATTTGGCTCGTAGCTTGCGCATCAGTCGCGGGTAGTGTCGTATGATTGCCTGTTCCATAGTCGGGAAACCAGGAGTCAGAGGCGCCATTCTGGGCGGGCACGTCCTCTTCTCCTCCATCAATTCCCCAGAAGTCGGAGCCATCTTGGGCTACACGGTTCGCATGATCTGTTGTGTCGGCGACGGTGTTATCAGTCGGCAAGGGGGCCGGGAGGTCGGCGGCCGATTTTGGCATGAATGCCGGGTTCCATGAAGCCATGGCGGGCGATTAGATGGCGCGATACAGCTGGGGACGCTGTATGGGCGCGCAAAAACACGAAAAAGAAAGAATTACTGTATATAATAAGTAAGATTAGTACATGAAGAAGGGGAGAGAAGGTGGGAATATTTGAAGATGGAGAAAGGGTAGTAGTATTTGTTGTTGGCCAGGAGCTAGCTACAAACAGCAGAAGTGGGAAGTCCAGGATGGGGCGAAACTCGACGGGATCGCTTGATCGCGTAACGAACCGAACGGCGATTGGCGACGGGATTGAATGGGGAGCGGACCCGGGCTGCCCTGTTGAGGAGCCTCAGAGGACTGCGGACGGACAAGACAACCCCTGTTCAGCAGGCCCAGAGTGCGCAATTGTCGAATGGGAATAGGGGCAAGCAAAAGGGACGACTAACTTGTACAAGTAGGTTCAACAGCAGATCATGGCTGTCAACATGAGCAAGAAGGTCTAACGCCGGCTAAATTTCGTCAATGACAGGAAAGAGGGCAATGCTGTCGTCCTGTTTGTTACTAGGTACAGATCTGGGAAACGTTGGGATGGAATGGTCGATCACACGTGGGAAAGGATCATAGTATGAGACTGCGCAACTGCAGAACAATGCAAGGCCAAGTTCAGTTGTTGCAACTTGTCAAGATCCAAGACTGTGACGATGGAGGCGTCGGAAGATTCCTGGGAAAATCCGCGGAAATCAAGTCACAGAGGTTGCAGAAGGTTGACTGCTGCCCTGTCTACACAACAGTAGATACATACCTAGGCAGTACATTTAGGCGGTCTGATATATGGATGGCGGGGAATGCGCGGGGATCTCTAACAAAAAACGTTACAACAGCTGTCCTTAGGTTGTTACATGGATGGGGAAGCTTTGTAGTATACCTTATCGGCCTGTCCGAGCGTTGAGAATATACTCAGTTATTTAGGTGAATTCGCTGGATACCGGTAGGTACTGCTTTAACAGATAAGCGCGCTCAGTCCCTCTAGCATCATCACAGCCACTGCACAAACCTAGACGCACCCGGCCGGGGAGGGAGCCTGTTATCGATGGGTACTGTGACCCACTCTTTCTGGTCACGTACTGTTTACATCTTTCTTCACCTACTTAAGGCTAGCTCGAGTGGGGTTCGGGGATCTTTTCCTTTTTCTTCTCTTTAACCAACTTCTAACTAATGAGAAATTATTACTTTTTATGGTGGACAATACCGGATTATCCCATGAAGTATCAATCTTCATCTCTACCTTATCTAATCGATTAAATAAAACGAAACGAATTGCCTTTTTAACTTTATTATTTTATATACTACACGACGTACCAGGAACGTCACCGTAACCAACCTTCTAATATAATATTAATACCCCACTTAACATTACGTATAATATCCTTCCTCTATCTAAACCCGACATCCCTCGATACCTTTCGATGAGAATAAACAATTAAATTATCGATCCCTTCCCTAAGTACTATATTCGATCAATACTTAATATCCTAGTCGAACATTAAACTAGACTCTCAATATCCCTAATTATAAAAAATCAAAACTTCGGACGGAAGACCTACCCCTAAGTACCTAAATTTTAAAGCCTTAATTTAATACTTTATTTATTAAACGAAGGATAAGATCGATGCTATAGCTTAATTTTAGCGAGGCTAAATTTATATTCCGAGGATTTAGGGTTATAGAATAGAAGTACCTTTTTACTTCCTTTAAAATTTTGGTTATTATTGAGCAAAGTTTTAGTGTAAATAAATAGACCCAAATTAGGAATTTAAATATATATTCCAACCTAATTATTTACTACCCGTCGGGGGGCTTTAGTATTGTAATTATAGGGCCTCTACAGCGCCCTTATTACTAAAACATTTCTTTTATTTTATTTTATTTTAGTAAAGTATCTACAAAACCTCCTCGTACACACCAAAACTTTATACACAACAGATAATTTATACGCCGCTAACCTAGAACCTAATAATTAATAAGACTTCGATATTAAAAGTGTTAAATTAGCGATATTATTCCTGGAAATTCCAGTTAGCCTGGAAATTATTAAAGATCTTTTAATTAATTCGGGAATACTATTTATTGGGATAATGGCGGTGCTAATATTTATAGAGGTATCCCTAGTAGAAGTTCCCGCCTAAATAATCTTAATAGAATCCTCAATAGTAATTCCATTAATATAATTATTAAATTGAATAGGGACGGCGTTATTATTAATATTATCGAATATTTTAATATCTTTAAAGGAAAGTTCCCTATTTATTTCCCAATTAAATCTATTATCAGCGAGGCTACGAATAAATATAGCTAATTTAATATAGTTATACTTTGTGGAACGAAATACCGATAATATTAGTAAATATATTAAGGAGATAGAAGCGACCCTAGCCTTAACCGGAATCGATAATATTAATTAAAATACAGTATTTAGGATTTAATTCCGGAAAGGATTGAGAAGTAACGTAAAAGTTTGGTAGGAAGCTGAATTGAATACGAAGAGTAAAACGGGGAAGGCGAGCATTATATAGGTAGCGAGGGTTAAATAGGAGATAATAATAATAGACTCTAATATTATATTAAATATTGTAGGATTTAAAAGAAGGTTTAAGGAGTTTATTAATAAATATTTTAGAAGGGCGGAGAAATTGTTTATTAGAATTAAATTAAAGGAGTTAAGGTTTATTGCGGCTAGCGTAGTATTAAATAAAATAGTAAGAGATAATTAAAAAGTGGTAGTTATAAATAAAGGAATTAAATAGAGGTTAGAGGATAGACTAATAGTATTAGAATATATAATATTAATAAATTTTAGAGCAAAGGAATTTACAACGTTATTTATAGAAATAAAGAAGACAGTAAGATTATTGGGCGTAGAGATAGGAGTATATAAGGAATTAAACGGGGAGGAGGATAGTATAGTAAAATTAAAGGACGTAGTAAAATTATTTAAATAATTTCTAAACTTTAGAATTGGAGGATATTAATAATAGCCGTAGACTTTAATAATTATAACCTATAATACGAATTTTTATAACCCTAGCGGATAAAATAGTTATAATTCGAATACCGGTTATAATTCTAATAATAACGCTTATAATTCGGGGACGTCCGGCTATAATAATAGAGGAAATAGTAATTATTAAATACTAGTACCCGGAATATATTATAATAGAAGGAATTATAATAATAGTCAATCCCGTCCCCTACCTAAGATTTTTAATTCTTAGAATCTACAAAAGTATAGATTATTACTACATAGGATATATTGGTATAATAATTATATAAGCCTATAGGGTAATTATATAGATTCGTAATATCTACTTCCGAGAGTTGAAAATTGGATTAAGATGGCCAATCGCCGAAAAAGACTATAGTTAATAGAAATAAATAATATTATAATTTTAAATTCAAGCTAAAACTAAAGTTAGTAGGCCCAAACCTAATTTTAGTAGAACTAAGGATAATAGACGAATAATATCCTACAAAACTATTAGAGAATAATATATAGAATAACGAGCTGGCGTATAAATTACTAATATTATAAGGGATTTTTAGACGAAATTCGCCGGTTAGAGGAAAGAGCGTAAAGTAAAAGAATATAAATATTAAGAATAGAGTAAGAAAAAATACGGTAGGAATTTACAATTATAATCGAGAGGGATATTATAGTAAATATTCGAATATTTAATAATTTATATAATAATATACTACACAAATTAAAGGAACGGATAGTTTAGGATTTAGCAATAATTATAGAAAATACTTTAAATAAAATAAAGGAAAGAGAAAAATAGGTAGAATCTATTTAATAAAATACCGGCGTAGAGATAAATGTCGATATAAGAGATATTTTTAGCGAAGATGATTTGCCTAGAGACCTAGTAGAAGTACCCAAAGTAGTGCCCCTAGTAGCCCGGGAAGAAAAATACCGAGAGAAGACTTTAAACCCTACATTGAAAGTTTTTAAATAATTATAGTAGAGTAAAGGACCGGTATTCTAATTAATTATAAAATTAAGAACGGCGGAACTATTTCTAACGGGAGATAATACTCTAGGCACAATACGAATACATCTACCGACTATTATAGTAGGCCTAATAGAAACACTAAAGGAATTCTACAAACCCTAGCTAGTAATTACTAGAAATATAATTCGGGAGACTAGATAATAAATTAAAGAGATCTTCGAAAAGGCTAAAGAGATTTTGAGAATTAGGTACGCCCGGTCGTATATTAAAGGATTAAAGGAATATAGTATTAAACTTCTTAATATCGGAAGGATTTTAGCAGATATAAACCTTCCCGTTAATATACTATAATTATTCAACATTGCGCTAAAAATTAAAATAGACTTTATAAAATTAATTATAATAATCTAAAGAGTAAATGGAGGGAAGAAGCTTTTAAAGAAATAAGTTAGAACGTGTATTTTCGAGGCTATTGAGTGTAATATTGTAAATTTAGAATGGCGGAAATAGGTAGTAGATACTAATTTAGATACTAAATAGTTCGGAAAAGTGAATATAGGCTTTATCGAAGGATTTGTATGTGGAATAAAGTCGTCTTTTATTTTATTAGATAGCGGGGCTATAATAGAATATATTAATATCCTATTTACGAGGAAATTGGAATTGGAGATTAGAAAGTTTTTGTAGCTATAGAAGGTAGCGTTAATTAACAATATAGTAAATATAATTAATAATTGGGCAATAATTAAAGTAGCTATTAGTAGGATTATATATAGAATAATAGCGATAGTATATAGAAGCGGAGCTTATTATAATTTTATTTTATTTTAAATATAGTTTTTATAGGTTAGAGCAATTTAGGATTAGGGAGAGAGGAATATTATATTATATAGAAAGGAGGGTACAGTAAAGAAAGTTCTATTTTATATAAAGGAAAAGTCTAAGGATTTAGCAATATTAGCCCCGGGTTAGTAAGAGAGTTTTAAAACGGAGGTAAAGAAAGGAGAAATTATTGGAGGAAATATAGTAGAAGATAATGAGGAGGTATTAGATATTAAAATAGAGGAGGTAAGTAAGGAGGTAGTGGAGATTTTAGAGGGATTGGAGAATATTA